ACGTCTTCCCGTGGAACGACATCGCGACGAAGTCGAGTTCCGAGAGGTGCTTCACGACGTCCTCCGCCTCGGCGGGGTCCGACACGAACACCACCGCCTGGTGCTGCTTCTCGTCCGTCAGCGCGTCCACGAGCGCGTCTTTCCGCTCGTCGTCGCCGCGGACGTCGCGCACGCGCTGCTGCAGCTGCGGGTGCGTGTCGCCGAACCCCGACGAGCTGATCCACTTCATCTTTTCCATTCTCTCCTCGAGCGCGCCGAGGATGGGTCCCTCCTCGCGCATCGTCGCCGCGGCGAAGCAGAACTGCACCTTCGCGCCGAAGCGGTTCACGCCGTCGTCCTGATACGCGGCGCGTATGACCCCGGCGACTTCGTTCTCGAAGCCTCTGGAGAGCATCTCGTCCGCCTCGTCGACGACGACGTGTTTGATCCGCCCGGGCATGACCCAACCGTCGCGCATCATGGACAGCAGCCGCGCCGGCGTCGCGACGAGTATCTCCGCCCTGCGAAACTCCGGGATGACCTCCATGTCGCCCGACATCTTGCTCCCCTTCGCGCCAGCCTTGATCGCGTGCCCGGTCGTCGCGGCGCGTCGGATTTCGTTGGAAGCTCTCGACCCGGCGTCGTCCGCGGCGGCGTCGCCGACCTCCGCGATTTCCTCCTCGGACGCGCCCTCGCCCGCGGCGGCTCTCTCCGCAGCCTCCCTCGCCGCCGCCCTCGCGGCGCGCACCGCGGCCTTCTCCTGGACCTTGCGCTTGATCGCCGCGGTCTTCGCCGCGCCGCGCGCTTTCGGCGTGGTCGGCTTCAGAAGCTTCTTGTCCTTCCCGAGGAGGGAAAACACTCCGGGCCTCGGGAACTCATCCGTCTCGACCCACTCCGCCGCGAGCTCGGCCATGTACGCCACCTGCCTCCCGAGCTCGACGTTCGGGACCAAGATTATCATGGACGGGCAGCAGCGGCCCTGGACTTTCGTGCCGCCGCGCCCGGGCGCGCCGATCGCGGCCACGGCGGGGAGGACGTACGCGAACGTTTTTCCGCTGCCAGTCTCTGCCAACAACACGACGTCCTCGCCGCGCGAGAGCTCCGGGATCGCGAGCCGCTGGATCTCCGTCGTGCGCTTCAGCCCCGCCTTCTCCATCGCGCCGCACATGTGCGAAGGGAGGCCGGCGCGCGCGAACGCGTTCGACGGCTCCGGCGCGGCTTCTAATCGTTTCGCGAGCGGCGCTTCCGCCGCCGCGGCGGCGGCCGCGTCCCGCGCCGCGCGCGCCACCTCCCACGGCCGCAGGCCGCCTCTCTTGTACGCCGTCTTCGCCGGCTTCGCTGGCTTCTCCGCGATCGGTCCGGCGTCGTCGTGCGTCTCGACGACGGTCGCGGTCGTCTCCCCCCGCGCTTCCTTCGCGCGGGCGCTGAGCTCCCTCTTTTGCTTACCCTTCTTCAGCGCGTTCGTCTTCCCGCTCTTGCCCTCGCCCATGAACGACGACCACCCACCGAGCTCGTCGTCGTCGCTCCACACGTCGTCGTAAGGGCCGCGGTTCTGCGATGGAGGAAGGAGAGGAAGATGGCCCGGGGGGCGGGCGGTGAGCGAGAGCGAACGAATCGCATCGGCGGCGGTGAGCGAGGAGACGAGCGAGCGAAGAACGAATGGTCGAAGCGGTGCCGAACGCGCGAACGACGCGCACCTTCGTGCGGTTCTCGCGGTCTTGACGCTTGCGGAGCTCCTGGAAGTTGATGTTTCGCTCGGTGTCGCCGTAGTCGTCGTCGCGATGCGACCCGCGGCCGCGCGCGTCGTCGTCCTCGTCGTCGCGCGCGCGTCTGTCTAGGCGCTCGAATCGCGAGTCGGTCTCGCCCCATCCTCTGCGGGGGGGCGCCGCGCGAAGCGGCGGCGCGAGCGCGACGCGCCGCGCGTTCCCGCCGCGGCGCGCCGCGGGAGCGTACGCGCGAGGGCGCGAAGGCGGCGGCGCGCGCGCGACGTGCGATGCGATCGCGGAGCGCTCCATGACGCCACCGGAGGACCCTCGCTCTCGTTCTTTACTGTGCCGAGCGAGCGCTTTACGTGAGAAAAAGCGAAAAGGGCGAAATCTGTATACGCGTACGGAGTACGCACACTTCAGCAACAAAACGCATACACATACCTTCGGGGCAATCCACTCGCGCCTCGAGGGTTTCAGGGTTTCAGGGTTTCGTGGTCGCGCGACGTCACCATTGCGCGCCGTATTCGACGCCGCGCGACGCACACGGTCCGCGAAACGCACGTCGAACGCTTAGGTTCGCGTGTCACGTATCACATCTTCCGTGAATAGCCTCCGGGAGCATCCGCGCGCGACATGTCGTGCGTCACCTCCGCGACCGTCACCGGTCTCGTCGCCGCGGTAAACGCGAAATGCCGCGTCTCGCGCGCGACGCCGGCGAGCGCGCTCAGCGCGCGCGTCGCCGTCGCGTCCGCACCCGCGTTCGCGGCTCCTCGTTCCGCGGGTAACTCCCGCGCGTTGTCCATGACGACGTACGCGGCGAACCCGCGAGGGAACTCCGGCGGCTCGCGCCGTGGCCTCACGAAGTTCGTCGAGCGCGTGAACGCGCCGCAGATGAAGGACGATCTTATCCCCTTCCGCGTCGGCATGACGTGCAAGGTCGGCGTGACCGTCGTCGAGGGTGGGAAATCTCGCGTGCAGCCGTACGAGGGCATCATCATCGCGATCCACCGCGCGGGCGTCGCGACGACGATCACCGTGAGGAAGTCGTTCCAGGGTTACGGCGTCGAGCGCATCTTCCCCATTCACTCGCCGCTGTGCACGTTTGAGGAAATTCGCGGCGCGGGCAAGCCGAAGGTCCGCGTCGCGCCCGCGCGTCGTCTCTCTCTCTTTTCTTTTTCTTTTTCGCGCGCGAGCGTGCGCTGGATCGCGCGTCTACGTCGCGTCCGTCGAGCGCGCCGACGCGCCCGCACGCGCGCGCGGCCGGCCTCGTCGGCGGCGGGCGGTTCGTCCGGCGCCGTCTAGCTAGGGGGTTTCCGTTTCCGCCCGCCCGCGCGCGCCCTCGCTCGCCGACGCCGCCCGCTGACGTCCCGCCTCCTCCCTCACCCCGCACGCGATTCACGACGACAGGTTCGCCGCGCGAAGCTTTACTACCTCCGTAACTTGGTGGGCAAGCAGGCTAAGCTCAAGATGCGATTCGTGGCTAAGAAGGAGGGCAAGACGAGGCACGAGGTGAAGATGGAGGCGCTGCAAGCCACGAAGGCGGCGGCGGCGGCGGCGGCCGCCGCGGAGGCGGCGGCGGCGGAGGCGGCCGCGGCCAAGGCGGAGGCGGATGCGGCGGCGGCGGAAGCGGCTCCGGCTGAGGAAGCCGCGGCTGAGCCCGAGGCGTGAGCGAGCGGGCGAGAAATAATTCATTTCATGGAGCGGAGCCCCAGAGCGAGCGGCGGGTCCGGTCTCTGTACATGTATTAGACGCGTTTAATGCTAACGATTGAACAAAACGACCTCTCGCGCTCCAGCGATCGAGACGCGACGCGACGCGACGCGCGCGAGAAGAAGAAGCGTCGCTCACGCGTCGCTCGCCTCTCGCGTCGAACCGGAGGGCCCTCGATGATAACCGTGCGAAACGAGGTGACGAGGCCAGCCTTGGATAGATTGACGAATTAATAGACCGCCAAAACGCGCGACGGACAGCTGTGACGTCGCGTTTTTTCGGTTTGAGTTTTCGCCTCCTCGGACCGCGACGCGCGCGCTTCCCTCCGCACAAGTCCACGCGCGAGCTCTCGAACGGCGTCCGCGCATCGTCTCGCCCGGACACGCTTCTTCCCGCGTCGTTCACGCCAACGCAAGAAGCACCGCAGATCTCGCGCGCCATGGCCGACGACGAGAACCAGCAGGTCACGCTCATGTCCTCTGACACCGAGAAGTTCATGGTCGATCAGGAGGTCGCGTTGTACGTCCCCGCCCTCGTTCTCTCGCGCCTCTCTCTCCTTCATCGCGTCCTTCCCCTTCGTCTGAACCCTCCGCGACGTTTCCCACGCCGCGTCCTCCGTTCACGCTGTTCGCTGACGCCCCGCGGTCGGATCTCGCGTTTTTCCCTCGCAGCGAATCTGAGACCATCAAGAACATGATCGAGGGTGCGTCCTTTCCCGCGCGCTTCGCCCCACCCCCTTCGCGCGCCGTCGATCCCTCGCGCGCGCCCCGTCCTCGCGACGTCCCTCAGCGCGCGCGCTCGAACCCGAGACTCACGACGAATCGCGCCCTGCCTTCGCTCTCCTCCGCAGACACCGGTGTGGACGCGCCCATCCCGCTTCCGAACGTCTCGTCCAAGATCTTGGCGAAGGTGATCGAGTACTGCAAGTATCACGTCGGGGGCAAGAAGTCGGAGACGTCCGAAGACGAGCAGAAGACGTTCGACTCGGAGTTCGTCAAGGTGGATCAGGCGACGCTGTTCGAGCTCATCTTGGTGCGTCCGCGTCCCGTCTCGTCGCCGCGCTCGCGCTCGCGCTCGCGTCTCGACGAGGGGAGAAAAAACGCCCTTTTGTCGTCCCTCGTTGTAACTGGAGCCTGGTTTCTAATCTCCTCTCTCCGTCCCCGTCGTCGCCTCACCCTCAGGCGGCGAACTACTTGAACATCAAGTCCCTCCTGGACCTTACGTGCATGACCGTGGCGAACATGATCAAGGGTGCGCGCTCGGTCGCTCGCGCGGCGACCCTCCCTCCGCGCGCGTCTCTTCCTTTTCGCCCGCTGTCGCGTCGCGCCGATTTAGGGTTGCCTCCTCACCGCCTCTTCTCTTTTCCCTTTTCTTCGCTCGCGCAGGCAAGACCCCGGAGGAGATCCGCAAGACGTTCAACATCAGGAACGACTTCACCCCGGAGGAGGAGGAAGAGGTCAGGCGGGAGAACCAGTGGGCGTTCGAGTGAGCGGCGCGACGACGACGACGGCGGCGACGAGACGGGCCCCCGGGCGGCGAAGAAACCGTTTGAACGAGCGAAGAACGGTCGAGAGCGAACGGACGACAGACGACGAAAGAGAAGCGTAGCACACTACGATAGCACGACGACGACGCGGGATGTAATGGACGAAAGACGACGCGCGCGAGTGAGAGAAATCATCGAAGACATCGCATCGCATCGCGTCGCGCGCTCACACGTACGCCCCCCCTCCCGCGGCGGACTCGATCGGCGGCAGCGTCACCGAGAGCTCGATCTCCGCGCGCTCGATCTCCGCGTCCCCTCTCTTCGAAGTGCTCCCCGCCATCGTGTCCGCTCGCACGGTCCACGGCCCCGCGCCGTCGCGGACGTCGTCCCCGATGCTCTTTAAATCCCCGCTCTTGATCAGCGACACGATCGCTTTCATCATGAGCTCGAAGCACTGCAGCTCGATGATCGCCGGCCGCGTCACCGAGAGGCTATCCTCGGCGCCGTCCGCGCCCTTCTCGACCGCGATCTTACAGAACAGCGGGAAGTACTTCGCGTTCGCGTCGGACTCGCCGATCATCGGCGCGAGGTCCCACGCGTTCGCCTCCGCGGCGTCGATATCCTCGAACGGGGTCTCGAATATCGACCCGAACATGCACGATTGGCCGCCGTCCTCGCCGGCGCCGGCGTCGTCGTCGCCGTCGTCGCCGTTCTCCATCTTGTACGCCCTCATCGCGTCCTCTACGGTCTTGTGCACGCTCAGACCGAACGAGCCGCTCTCGGCGTCGCCAACGACGGATCCGTACGACGTTATCTTCATCGCGACGTCCTCGCGAAGGACTAAGCGGTACGCGAGTTGTATCGGCCGCCGCGACGCGATTTTTTCCCACGGCGCCGCGCGAACGAAATCCGCCGCCGCGCCGAACAACGACGCCCCGAAAGCCGGGGTGAACCCGTCCACGGACTCCATCAAACCCGGCAAGTGCTGCGTTCCCCACTCCTGGTTCGCCGGCGCCATGTTCGGCTCGATCTGCCCGCGGATGATGTCGTTCACGAGTTGCGGAGGCACGGGCGCGAACGAGACGTCCGACACGCCTATCGCTTTCAACCCTTCCCGGCATCCTTCGACGTATTCGCACGCCGTCTCCGCCGCCCACTTCGACTCGTCGCCCAGGTGTAAGCTCGCGGTCGTGGTGTCCGCGAATCGGATCGTCTTCGGGCGCGCGGGCTTCCGTCGCTCGCCCGCTTTCGACGTGTTCATGAGCCGCGGGTGCGTCATGCAACGGCGTAAGAATCGCAAGACCGTCTCCGCGGTGGGCTTCTCCTTGACGACGTTCCCCCCGGACGCGTCCTCGGGCGTGTCCCCGGGCTCGCACGCGAGGAACGCGCCGTCGTCGGTCGACACGACGAGCATGAGGTACGGACGCACCGGCTGCTCGTCGTCGCCGGGGATCCACGCGCGGAGCTTGTGGACGTAGAGCTGCCATCGGCCCGATTGCGGCAGCGCGTCTATCGACTTCGGCATGGCGCGACGGGACGACGGACGGCGCGCGCGTTCGCCTTGGACGCGGGAGCGGGCGCGGGCGCGTCGCGTGAGCGAGCGCGGAACGACGATGTCGCGCCGGGGCGCGCGCGGAGTGACGGCGACGGCGCGGCGGTCGCGGTCGCCGTCTTGGGTTTATCCACAACCGATAAAAGTGCAGTCTGCCGAAAAAGTTCGCGACGCGGACGAGCGCCAGAAGCGAGAGGCACGCGGGACGCCCCTCGCGTGGACGCGCGCTCGGACGCGCGGCGACGCGCCTAACCCGTCTGCGGACGCGCGTCTTCGCGACGGCGCGCGCGCCGGCGGCGAAGGACGACGTCGATGTCGCGCGTCGCCGCCGCGGCCGAGCGCGAGCGTTGGGCACCCCCTGGGAAACGTAGTCACCGCGATCGCCCTCTCCGCTCGCGTCGTCCTCCTCTTCCGCGGTCGCGCGCGGTCGCGTCGTCCTCGGAGACGCCGTACCCCGAGGGCGACTGGCGCCACGACGCGCTCGCGGCGTCGCTCGCGGACGAGGGCAGAGTCCACCGCGAGGCCGCGGGGAGGCATCACACGTACGCGCTCACGCTCGCGTACGACGGGGAAAACTACCTCGGATTCCAGTACCAACCCAGAGACGCGAAGACGGTGCAGGGCGAGGTCGAGAAGGCGCTGACGAAAATCACGGGCGAGGACAGGGACTTCTTGGGGATCCAAGCAAGCGGGAGGACGGACGCGGGCGTGCACGCGCGCGGGCAGGTCCTGCACTTCTACGCGCGCAGACCGATCGAGGACCTGGCGCGGTTTCAAAGATCGATGAACGGCGTGCTGCCGCGCGACGTCAGGGTCATGAAAGCGATCAGGCCGCACCCGGCGTTCCACGCGCGGTTCCACGCGGTTCGAAAGACGTATCACTACTACCTCGACACGCGGCTCACGATGGATCCGTTCCTTCGACGGCACGCGCTGCACGTCGGGTGGAACCCGCCGGATGTGGAAAAGTTACGACGAGGCGCCGAGTGTTTCGTCGGGACGCGCGACTTCTCCGCGTTCTCGAATAAACCCCGGGACAAGACGCTCGTGCGCGACCCGGTCCGGACGATATACCGCTTCGACGTGAACGAGCTCAAGGGCGACGGTCTGTTGCGGCTCGAGGTCGAGGGGAACGGCTTCATGTACAAGCAAGTCAGGAACATGGTCGGCGCAATGATCACCGCGGCGACGAGTAAAAAAATGCAACCGGCGGACATCGCCGCCATGCTCGAGGGGAAGGACCGCGGCGTCGCGCCGATGGGCGCGCCCGCGCACGGGCTCTTCCTGCACGACGTCGTGTATCCTCGAGAGCTGTTAGAGTGGGTCCCGCCGGACGACGACGAGGAGAGTAGCTCCGAGGTCTGAAATACTAAACTAGGCTTAGGCGAACAGAACCTGACATCATCAGCTCTCAGAATCCCGCCAGTCCGAGATTTTAGGCGCGAACCGAAGCTCGTCATCACACGCGACCCGCGCGTGGCGAAGCGGACGCACGCGGTGTCATGGCGTCCTTCGCCGTCGCGGGCGACTTCGTCGACGACCTCGACGACGACGAGCCCGAGGCGTGGCCGGAGCTCGCGCAACAGAAGCTGGACGAGTCCCTGCGATGCGCGATCTGCCAAGACTTATTCACGATGCCCGTGTCCCTGCGCTCGTGCACGCACTCCTGTGCGTCCCCTCCCGCGGCTCGTCGTCCTCATCCTTCTCCTCGTCCACTTCTCTTCGCGCCCGCGCGGCCTCGCGTTCACGCTCGCCGCGACGCCTCGCACTGACCGCGTCCTCGCCTCGTCTCCCTCCCGCCGTCGTCAGACTGCGCGCTGTGCATACGTCGCACGCTGAATCAGTTCAAACGCGAGTGCCCGACGTGCCGCAAAGAGGCGTCGGAGGAGGACCTGCAGCCGAACCACGCGCTGACCCTCGTCGTGAGCGCGTTCAAAGCCGCGCGCGCGGACTTGCTCGCGTGCGCGAGGGGGAAGAAGCGCGTGGTGACGCCGCCGCCGTCGAGCGCGACGCGAGCGCGAGGGACGAAACGCGGCACAACAGGGCCGGGTGCCGATCGAGCCGATCGAGAGGGACGGAGGACGACGTCCCCGCCCGCGCCCGCGCCGGCGACGGAGGACGCGACGGCGCGGTCGACGCGACGGTCGACGCGACGGAGCGCGCAGGCGGCGGAGCCGACGACGACGACGAGCGCCGCGGCGGCGAAGAAGACGCGGTCGGGCGCGAGGGCGGCGGCGGCGGCGGCGGCGGGCGGAGGAAGCGGCGGAGGAAGCGGCGGCGGCGCGGGCGGGAGGACGACGCGCGCTCGGAGGGCGCGCGCGGTCGAGGTCGCCGCGGAGGAGGAGGAGGAAATGGAGGAGAAGGAGGAGAAAGGCGGTCCCGACGACGACGACGACGACGAAGGAGAACCCACGCCCGCGACGGCGGAGGACGGGGGGGACGGCGACTTTGACGCGGACGCGGAGGAGGAGGAGGACGACGACGCCGTCAGCGAGTCCGAGTACGATCCCTCGAGCCAACCCGCGACGAACGCGAACGATTCGCGAAACGCGCTGCGCGCAGAGGTCGTGGACCTGCTCGACGACACCGCGGAGGAGATGGACGACGACGCCGGGGACGTGCGGTGGGGGGGCATCGCGCGGAAACGCGCGAAAAAAGCCGCGGCGGCGGCGACCAACGGGGAGAGGCGAAACGCGACGGCGACGAACGCGACGACCCCCGGGAGCTCTGGGCGCGGGCAAACGCAAAAGTGCCCGATCTGCTCCTCCATGATTTTAGAGGGTTTGATGAACTCGCACATCGACGTTTGCCTCACGAAAGGGCAGGCGGGCGCGAGCGCGGGCGGCTCCGGCGGGAACGGCAACCAAAACTACGCGGGAGGGAACCCTCAGCCGTTCGCTTCCGCGAACGGCCCCGCGTCCGCGGCCGCGATTCCGAAGCTCCCGAAGCTCGTGTACCACATCATGAAGGATAAGCCGCTGAAGAAGCTCCTCGCGGAAGCGAATCTCAGCACGGCCGGGACCCGCGCGCAGATGATCGAGCGTCACAAAGAGTATACGCTTCGCGTGAACACGTCGATCGAGTGCGGCGTACACCCGAACCTCGAGCAGGTCGCCAGGGACGTGGACAAGCTCGAGCGGGATAAAGCGCGCGCGGGGATGATGACCGCGGCGGCGTCGAACGGCCTCACCGGCGCGGTGCCGACCGCGGCTAGCGCGGCGAACGCCAAGTCGGACACGTTCAGTCGCCTCATCGCGAGCGTCCGAGAGCGGCAGCCGGCGAAGGAGAACAAGCGGCCGTCGTCGTCGGGGGAGGACGACACCGCGATCTCGGACGGCGACGAGGGAGCGGCGGGGGTCGTCGCGGAGGTAGGGGACGAAGACGTCGACGTCGTCGGCGCGGAGATGTACGAGACCGAGGTCGTCGGCGCGTACCCCGAGACGGAGGAAGTCGCGGACGACGAAAACGACGACCGCGACGACGACGAGCGAACGACCGCGGGCGAGGGCGGCGGGGAGGACGACTCCGCGGACGGCGCCGTGGCGGACAGCTGGCACGACAACGAGGAGTACCCGCTGTCGCAGATGCCGCCCAGGCGCGCCGTGGTGTGAGCGGCGACGTTCGTAGACGTATTTCGTTCCCTTAGCAGCACACTTTGGACGAGTTTAATAGATTTGCGAGGCCGTCACTGCTTCAAAAAGAGGTTTCGGAGGCTGTGGGCACCGCGAAAAATAGAAAAGAATTCAAAGGAAATCAAACCGCGGAACTAAAAACACATAGAGTACGAGTACGTGTACACGTACGTACACTCGCGCCCAGCCGCCCACGGCAGTGTTGAAATTCTCCACCACGACAATGATCCTTTCATCGGCTGCCGCACCCACCCGCGCGCGTGCCCTCGTCGATCGCGATGGCCGCCGGCCGCGTCGACGGCCGCGTCAGCGGGCTCCACAGAGGCTCGAATCTCACGGTGAACACCGGGGGACGATCCTCCCCCGGAGGCGCGAGCGCGAAGCCGACGACGTTCGACGAGTTGAACCGAATCCTCTCAAGCCGCGGGAGCTCGCTGTCCACGCGCATCAACAGCGTGCTGCAAGTCCTCGACGACAACCGCGACAACCTCCGCGGGTTCTTCAGCAACTGCTACCAGACGTTGTTGTGGCAGATCTTCAACTTCGACGACGGCGCGAGCGGATGGCTCCAGTCCGTGTCGAGTGGGAGCGAGCGCGAGGCGTCGATCTTGCTCGACTTTTTGTCCCCGAAGGGTGCGCTGATGAAAGCCGTCTTCGCCGCGGACGCGGACGGTCTCATGCAGTTCGCGTTCCCGATCGAGCGCCTCCCGGAACGCACGCAACGACTCCTGCGAACGAACCCGGCGGGCTTAAACGCGAAGCCGCCGTATCGAGGGTGCGTGCAACGCGACGCGCAAGGACGCTTCGCCGTGCACTTAGGTTTGTATCACTACTTCCTGTTCTGGTCCGCGTACTACGCCTGCTCAGAGGCGCGAGGGACCGGGCGACGGTACTCGCGCTCGCCGGCGAGGAACCAGTGGCGCGTCGCCGACGCGGCCGCGATGCTCGGGGGTTTATACCACGGCGGGGACTCCAGGCGCGTGCATCCGTATCGCGAACTCTTGCTGTCGCACCTCCGCTGCTTCCTCCCGCGAGGCGGCGCGGGCGCGGGGAACGGGTCGTGGGGGAACGGCAACGTCGGCGCGTGGACGCGCGCGTCGGAGGCGAACTACCGCGGCTCCGGGAGCGTGAGCCAAGGCGAGATGCTCGTCAGCATATTCATCGAGTTCTGGTTGCCCGACGGCGACGTCGCGAATGATTCCGCGAGCGTCGGCGGCGTCGGCGCGCGATCGCCGTTCACCCCCGGCGGTCTGCAGCGCGGCGGCGGCAGCGCGGGATCGATGAACGCTGGGTTCTACGGCGTCGTCGCGTCGTCCATGCAGCGGCAGTACACGTATAACCCTCCGAACGAGGATTTGATAAACGCCGTCGTGTTGCTCGCGACGTATTTGTTCGCGGACGCATCGCCGACCGCCGGCGGAGGACGAGGGACGCCGAGCGCGGCGACGCCGCCGAGGGACGCGCTGGAAGGGATGTCTCCGAGATCCCCGAGGTCAATATCGAAGCAGCAGCTCACGCCCGGGAGCGCGTCGATGCGCACGCCGCCGTTATCGTCGCCCGCGGGCGTGGGGGCGACGCAAGACGCGCGCGAGGAAGTCGAACGCGCGAAGGAGATGCTCCTCAAGCCTCTGTACACGTTCCTGCGCGACGCATTCACGCACTGGCCCGCGGAGAGCACCGCGAGGCTCGGTCCGTTGCTTAACCTGTGGGTGACGTACCTCACGCCGTGGACGCTGAGCTTCCCTGTGCCGTCGCGATCGAGATCCGGCGGAGGCGGTTCGCCGTTGTCGCGCGGGATCGAAGCCGTCGCCGCGGCGACGTCCGCGGAGAAGAAGTACTCCTCTCCGAGCTTCCTGGGCGACACTTCGCCTTTGAACGTGTCCACGTCATCTGGCGGCGGCAGAAGAGGGCAACCGACGAAGCGCGCGATCGACGTCGATCACGTCCTGCACAACATCCCGTTCTACAACGAGCTCATGAAGCACTTCCTAGAGCTCTGTTGCAAACGCGTCCCCGTCGACGCGGAGGGCACCGCGACGGCGCTGCTCAGCGTCCTCCAGGCGTTCGCGTCGTGTCCGGAGGTTCTGCAGCTGATCGATGACTTCGAGGAAGCGTACAACGCTTTCGTCGTCCGCGATCCGTTCTCGCCCGCGGCGACGAACGCGGAGCCGCCGCCGCCGACGCCGTACGACGCGTTTTATCCGTACGTCAAGAGTCAACTCCTCGAGATGGATCCCCCGGAGCAGACGCCGGACGCGGTCGGGGCGATGTCCCCGAGCCCGATCGCGACGCGCGCGGGGATGCGCAGTCCGATGTACGGCGCCGCGGCGAACGCGAATCCCGCGGTCGTTCCGAAGCTGTCGATGTTCGCGCTCGACCAGGAAGGGCTGCCGCAAGTCGCGCTCGCGCTGTTGCATCGCCTGGACCGCGACGTCGCCGCGCTCGGTCCGAACCACCCGCTGCGGTCGAGACTTCCGAGGCTGAGGAAGGCGGCGTTTAAGGTGTTTCGTCTCGAGCGTCTGGGCGAGTCCGCGACGATGTCGCCGAGCCCGGGGGCGCACGCGGACGGATCCGCGAAAGCCTCGGACGGCGCGGGCGGGGTTCGGTCGAGGAGGGGAGGCATCGGTTTTCAACGCGCGTCTTTCGACAAAGGCGCGCGCGCTTTGTACACCGGTGACTGGAACACGAGACCGATCACGAACCTGGAATTTCCACCGCTGGCTCGGCTTTTGATCGCGATTTCAGAAAATTTGAACGATGCTCTGGCGCTCACTGGCGATCAACGGATTCAGCTTCGAATTTTGTCGGAGTACGGAACCTTGCTCGCGATTTCGATTATCGTGGCTTTCTTTTGGATTTTGTTCTTCTGAGCGGGGAGGAGCTCTTTCTTTGAAAATTTAGCTAAAATAGCTTCTAGGCTAAGGAATGAAAAATGTTTAGAACAACTCGAAGAGCACTAACGCGATCGAGAATAAAATACCCGCGAGCACGGAGACACGCGCGGCTCCGTCCTCGCAAACCCCGCACAAACCGGACCGGTAACAGAGTTCGAAACCGAGGTTTTTATCGTGATAACTGCACCAGCCGGATGGTTCCTGAATAGCGAGAAAATTCTCGGCGCACTCCGCGGCGTTTATTTCGTTTAATTCCTCGTCGAGAACCTCGAAACCACTCCCGTCGTCGATCATTATTTTCGTGTGCCACCGATTACACTCGCAGTACGGCGAGACTTCGATTTCCGGACTGTAAACGCACGTTCCGTTCCCAGAACAAGGGCGCTTCAAATTATCCCAAGGACACATATGTTGGCACCTTTCGCCGAACCAAAATTCGTCGCACAGACAACCAGCACTTCCGGTAGCGCAAGTCCCGTGCCCAGAACAAAGCTCGCCAACGATTGCACCATCGACGCTTTCTTCGTAAACGCTGTCTGGGAATTTCGCTGAGTTGTGGTTCTCCAAAATAAGTGCGAGATCCTCAGCCGTTCCAACTGGGCAAGCAAATTCACAAGCGAGGCCAGAAGTACCAAAAGGACAATCACAAGTCGCGAGAGTCGCATCTTCCGGGTCGTTGCACGTTCCAATTCCTGAACATTCTGTCCCGACTTCATTAGCAGGACATGTCGACTGCGACATCGCAAACATCGCTCCACCAGCCGCCACGGAAACGAATCTGAAATTCTCCGTGCTCTTCACAAAATGCATGGGCTGGTCCATCTTGTGAATGAAACCTGTCATCTCCAAATACGGCGCCCCGCACTCGCATTTTGTGTTTTCGCCAAAACCGACACATTTTCCTTCGTTCACCGCGTCTACACTTTGAGTACCCGTCACCCTTGGTGTGTATTTGCACGTTCCTTGTCCCGCGCAGTTGCATTCGCAGCCGACGTTCCAGAAATAGTTCGCGTAAGGATCCGCAGTTGTATTTGATGTGGAGGTCTCTTGGTTGGTTACTACCGGTGTTGCAGCACCGAAGGTAATTGCAACAGGAGCTGGAGGTAACGGTGGAGCGCCTACAAGAGGGTCACATTGACCGGCGGCGTCATAATCATGCACGCAAGGACCACAACCACAAGTGCCCATTTGTCCTTTCGCGTTCGTTCCCCACACATAAACATTCCCATTCTTCGTCAGCGCGATGGATTGAAAAAAACCGGCGTCTACTTGAATAATTCTGTCTTCTCCTCCGTCCGGCAAGCGGATTTTTCCCGTGACTTGGACGTTGCGAGTCACTTCTCTCGTGACATTTCCAACTGTTTCCGTGACAACCTCTGTCGTTCCGTAATCCCAATGTTTCACGCGTTCCGGCACGTCTATCATTTCCGGCACTCTATAGTTTTGCGTTTGATAAAACGCGTCCGGTTCCTGTTGTAGCGACAAGTATCCGTGTCCCAACTGCCCGAAAAAATTATCTCCCCACGAGAACAAGTTTCCGTCGTCCGTGAGCGCGAGCGAGTGATACGAGCCCGTTTTTATCTCAATAATGACGGGGTTGCCCGCGACCGCTGCAGGAGCCGGGGGCGGAGGTGCAAAAATCGAAGCAGACTGCGGCGGTGAAGGAGGGTTCGGAGGAGGCGGTGGAGGCGGTGGCATACTCGTCGTGATAACGAGAGGTCCGACTCGCACTGGAGCGACGTGGCGGTTGTAGTACTTTCTCGTGTAGTTGTCGTACTTGTTTGGTGTGTAAACGTCCGTGTAATCCGCGAGCTTGGCGTATTCCTGCCGGCTCCCTGGGAAATTTCGGGGTTTAATAATTCAAGGTCAGTCGCGTTAAAAAAAATTCCCTCGATGTTTGATTTTCCGGAATTTCGCTTTCGACGAGAAATTTTTTTGTTCCTCCAGCTGAGAGAGAAGGAAGAAGAAGTCCAGATCTTCCGGTCCGGGAGCGCGGGAACCTGGACGCGGGAACGTACCGATTTGACCGTGAAAATTATCCCCCCAACCGTAAAGCACGTTATCATTCGTCACCGCCAACGTGTGCCCGCCGTCTAAGACCAAGCTCCCGTCCGCGGCTTCGCCCGCGAAGTGTCCGCCAACGGCGATGAGTTTCATCTGCGGCATGAATCGATTCTCGTTCGTCTTGAATATCTTCGTCGGCTTCTTGACGTAATTCAAACACGGGTCGTTCCCTATCCCGTCCTCCCTGATGCATCCGCTCTGACCGAGCTGCCCCTCGTTGTTCGCCCCCCACGTGTACACCGCGCCGCCGAACGTCAGCGCGGCGTTGTGCCCGCCCGCGCTCGAGACGTTTCGGATCGATTCGCCGCCGATGTCGATCGGCGTCGGGATGGACGTCCACGGCACCACGTCCGGGTCTTGGTCGATCCCGAGCTGCCCCCACCGGTTGCTTCCCCACACGAACACGCGCCCGCCTTTCACGACCGCGACGGTGTGCTCTAAACCGAGCGCGACGTCGATCACGGGCTGCTTTTGCCCGTTCCCGTTGTACAGCTCGAGCAACGTCGGGACGAACCGCAACGTCGTATCCTCCGCGTTTCTCACGCCCAAACCGAGCTGCCCCATGTCGTTCCTACCCCACACGTACAGCGCGCCCTCCTCCGTGATCGCGACGACGTGATTCTGCCCGGAGACGATCCTCTGGAGGTTCGCGCCGATCTGCTCGAGCGCGGAGAAATCGATGGCCATCACGAGCTGCGGCTCGCACGCGCTGCCGTCGAACTTCGGTTGCGACGCCTGCGCGGGTGAACGTATCGGGGGTGCGGGGGGACACTCGTCAGCTTAGTGATGCCATCGCGAGAGAGATTCGAACGAGCAGAGTGGAAGAAGAGACGCGCCTGTTTCTCCGCGTGGTTGATGCCGAGCTCGCCGTATCGATTGCTCCCCCACGCGAAGACTTTCCTGTACCCCGTCAGTCCGTCGCTGAGCTTCAACCCGGTGAAGTCCTGAGCGCCCGCGCGGGTGAAGAGGCACGCCCCGAGAAGCGCGACGAGGAGGAGGGGCAGGACCCTCGCCCCTCTACGCGGCATCGCCGCCTCGTGGCCCGCCATGTGCGTCCGTGCTATGGGTGGGCGCGAAACTTTTTCGTTGTTTGGTTTCCCGCGTCCCCGCTCTCTTCTCGCGTTTGATTTTCGGTGAATTTCCGCGGCATTTTTCGCGAAAAACCGCTTGCCATGCGTTTCAACTTCGCGGCCCGAGGCAGCCCGGGCCCCGGTCGAGAAGAGAACGAGCTGGGAAGTTTCGTCCGCTCCGGTCGCGTCGACTCCTCACTCGGACACGTCGCTTCGCACGCGTCTCCACCACATGTCGACGAAGTGAACTCGACCGGTCGCGAATGGCGAGGCGCTTCTATCAAGTCGCGAGGTCGCTCATCGAGGCGAACCGGTCGCCGACGATGAAGACGCTCGACCTCCGCGGCAGCGCGGATCTGCTGTGCGTGAACATGATGTGCGAGAAAGTGGGCGAGGCGTGCATATGCAGGCTGAGCCGCGTGTTAGAGAAGAACGGCACCGAACTCCGGTCGCTGTGCTTGGCGGACAACAAGTGCGTTTCGATAGTGCTCGGCGTTTGCCTCACGCGACGTCGACTCACGCGAATCTCCCCCACCCCCCTCCCCCCGACGCACCCCCTCCCGAAGTTTGACGCAGCTCCCGAGCAGCGTGTTCGATCTGAAGCATCTGCGCGTTCTGGACCTGAGCGGGAACGCGTTCACGTCGATCCCGGAGGACGTCGTGAAACTCAGCAGCTTGAAGGTGTTGGACGTGACCGGGAACCCGATCGAGGCCGTGCCGAAGGGCGTCGCGAGGAGCTTCTACGGCGCGACGGAGATTCGATGGGACGGCGCGGCGTCGAAGACGGAGTCGCGACTCGCGAGCCGCGCGCGACGATCGGAACGATAGCCCGCTAGCTTGATTAATAGAACCTACGAGTAGACGCGTTAGAACCCGACGGACTTCCACTTCTTCTTCTCGAGCGCCAGCCTCAAGGTCTTGATCCTCGCGCGCTGCGTCTTCGCGTTGTTCGGGCTCTCCACTCTCCCTGCAGTCCGATACGCAACACGGGAGAACTCGCCCGGCTCGAAGAAGAACTCCACGTCGTCGATGAACCCGAGCCTCGGGTCTTTGTACTCGACGTACAGGTAGTCGTCCAGTTTCGTCACGATGTTCACCTCGAACCCGTCGCAGTCTGTGTTGTTGACCACGTCCAGAAGCTCGGCCATGGCTTCTTTCTGCGACACCGGGTTCCTCGCGCGTTCTTCCGGGTTGTACGTCCACGACGGCACGAAGTGGCTGTCGTCGTTCAGATCCTCCGCGGTGCTGACGCAGTTCGGCTTCGGCGGGCACAGTCCGAGGGTCACGATGTCGCCGTACTGGTGCAAGCCGAGGCCCGCGGGGCGGGAGTTATCGACCATCCCGCCGAATAAGCCGCCCAACACGAAGACGCTGCTGCTGTTCAGGAAGAACTCGCGTCTGCCGCGCGCGGGTTTTTCCGAGACGGCCTCGTCAGCGCGTCTTCGCGCGTCCGCGACGACGTCTGTGGAGACGCGCGCGGCGCGGAAGCGATGCTGGCGCTGCCGCGGGGCGAGCACATTGCGTCCGCTGCCGCCGAGACGGAACGAGACCGTGGACGTGACGCACGCCGCTGCCATCGTGGAAGTGCGGGGATAAGACCGAGATTTCGCCTCAGAAAACCAAACTTTTTTTCGCTCGAAATCGAAGAGCAACGACCGCGCTCGAGGGCGTCGCGCGGTCACAACGTCTCGCGTCGACGCGCGATTTCCGAGGCGGCGTGCGACGTCGTCGCGTGTCTCGCGGGGAGGTCGCGAGCGCGTTCGTCGCGAGCGAGCGCGAAGAAACGACCGCGCGTCGGGTGACCGGAGTGAAGAAGAGACGGCACGATGGAGAAAGCCGTCGAACGCCTCGCGGGGATGCAGAAGTACCGCGAGAACGTCAGGAACATATGCGTCCTCGCGCACGTGGACCACGGGAAGACGACTCTGTCCGACGGTCTCATCGCACACAACGGTTTCATAAGCCAGAAGCTCGCGGGGAAGCTCCGGTTCATGGACTTTCTCGACGACGAGCAGCGACGAGGCATCACGATGAAGTCCGCCGCCATATCGCTCCTGTACACCCCGAAGCTCCCAGTCGGCGGCGGAGAGAACGCGCCGGAGCCGCTGCTGATAAACCTCATCGACTCCCCCGGGCACGTGGACTTCTGCAGCGAGGTGTCGACCGCCGCGCGGTTGAGCGACGGCGGCCTCGTCGTCGTGGACGTCGTCGAGGGCATCTGCGTGCAAACGCACGCGGTGCTACGACAGGCGTTCGAAGAGCGCCTCGCGCCGTGCCTCGTGTTTAACAAGCTCGACCGGCTGATAATAGAGATGGGATACACCCCGCAGGAGGCGTACGAGCGGATGCGGAACCTGTTGTACGAGATAAACGGCGTCATGTCCGCGTTCGTGTCCGAGAAGTTCATATCGCAGGCGGACGCGTTGCTCGCGACGTCGTCCGAGGCGCGCGACGACGACCGCGACGAGCCCGAGGTGGAGCTCGAGGACGCGGTCACGGAGGCGGAGCACTCCGACGCCGCGTTCTGCGTCGACCGAGGGAACGTCGCGTTCGCGTGCGCCGCGGACGGGTGGGCGTTCCGCACGGACGCATTTGCGGACATGTACGCGTCCAAGCTCGGGTGCTCCGCGAAAGCTCTGAAGAAAGGGCTGTGGGGGGACTGGTTCTACCACCCAAAGAGCAAGAAGATCGTCGGGAAGAAGACCGCGGCGGGGAAGCTCAAGCCGCTGTTCGTGCAGCTCGTGTTGGATCCGATATGGAAGCTGTACCACGCCGCGGAGGCGGAGAAGCACGGGTATCCCCCGGAAGGGAAAGGTCTGAACGAGATGGCGTCGTCGCTGAAATTAGACGTCGAGGAGAAGGACCTCGCGTCCACGGATCGAAAGCACACGTTAAACGCGATCCTGAAAGCGTGGCTGCCGCTGTCGCCCACGATCTTAGAGATGGTCGCGCACTCCCTCCCGAGCCCGGTGCAGTCCGCGCCGCACCGCGTGTTCCGTCTGATGCCGACGCCGACGCTCAAGGAGGAGCTCACCCCCGCCGCCGCGAAGGAGCTCGCGTCCGCGCGCGAGGCGCTGGCGTCGTGCGACACCACCCCGGGGTGCCCGACGACGGCGTACATCAGCAAGATGCTCGCGGTTCCCGCGTCTGCGGTGCACGGGATGCCGCCGACGAGCAAAGAGACCGTGTTCATGGGGTTCGGAAGAGTCTACTCCGGAACGTTAAAAGTCGGCGACGTCGCGTACGTCATCAACGAATCGTACGACCCGTCCGCGCCCGAGGACGGCGCGTGCCAGGAGATCGTCATCGAGGAACTGTACCTCATGATGGGCCGAGGAATGTTCAAGGTGGACGAAGTTCCCGCGGGGAACATCCTCGCCGTGGGCGGGTTGGACAAGTACGTCCTAAAGAGCGCGACCATCTCGAGCGCGCGGATGTGCGCGCCGATGGGGATGATGATGTTTCAAGTCGCGCCGATCGTGAAGGTGGCGGTCGAGCCCGAGTCCGTGGCGGACATGCCCGCGCTCCTGGAGGGCTTGCGGCTTTTGAACCGCTCGGACGCGTTCGTGGAGGTGGGGCTGATGGACACGGGCGAGCACGTCATCGCGGCCGCGGGGGAGGTGCACTTGGAGCGCTGCGTCGCGGACTTGAGAGAGCGGTTCGCGAAGGTGGAGTTGAAAGTCTCCCCGCCGCTCGTTTCGTTTCGCGAGGGCGTGTCCTCCATCGGCGTCGCGGAGGCGACGACGTCGAACGGTCTGCTCACGATCCGAGCGACGACGAGACCGCTGCCGATTTTTTTCCCGCGCGTCATCGAGGACAGCGCGGAGTCGCTTAAGCAGATTTTACTGAGCGCGCATCACAACGACGTCGACGCGGACGCCGTCGCCGCGCTCGCGCCGGAGATCATGAAGAAGCTCGAGACGTCGTTAGAAGCGGTGAAAGTCGACGACGATGGTCTCGACGGCGTCATACCGAAGGCGATGTCCACCGCGTGGGCGCTCGGGCCGAAACAAGTCGGTCCCAACGTGTTGAGCATCGGGAAGATGCTCGACGGTCCGGGCGGGGGCGCGGTCGGCGCGTTTGGGAAGCCGGTCGTCGGCGGGGCGTTCGGGTTCGAGTCGACGCCGTCGAGCGCGACGTCGAGCGGGAGCAAGTGCGGGCTGGTGAACTTCTCCGATCCCGCGACGGTCGCCGCGATCGAGGGAAACGCGCTGACCGGGTTTCAGATGGCGACCGAGCGCGGACCGCTGTGCGAAGAGCCGTTGTTCGGCGTGAACGTCGTCCTGGAGGCGTTTTCGAAAATCGATCCGGACCGCGGCGAGGACTCGGACGACGGCGCGGGGGAGGATCAGTACGGTCCGTTCTCGGGGCAGGTCATCGCCGCGACGCGGGAAGCGATTCGACAGAGCGTTCTGAAAGCGAGTCCGCGGCTCGTGGAGGCGATGTATCTGTCCGTGATCACGACGACGTCGGAGGCGTTGGGGGGGACGTACTCCGTCCTCGGGAAGCGCCGCGCGAAAATTATTTCGGAGAGCATCCGAGAGGGCACCGGGGTGTTCATCATCCACAGCTACCTCCCCGTCGCGACGTCGTTCGGGTTCGCGGACGAGTTACGGCACAGCAGCTCCGGGGCGTCGAACGCGCAGCTGATGTTATCCCACTGGGAGCACCTGGACGTGGACCCGTTCTTCACGCCGAAGACAAAGGAGGAAAGAGAGGAGTTTGGCGAAGACGGCGACGCCGGGCCGAACATCGCGCGGAAGCTCGTGGACGCGACGCGGCGACGGAAAGGGCTCAAGGTGCGTGTTTCCTTCTTTCGTCTCATTTCTCCACGCAACAATCCACCACGGACCTTGTTTCTATGTACATGTATTAACTTATCGTCGTCGCTCTCGCAGGTCGAGGAGAAGGTCGTCAAGGTCGCGACGAAGCAGCGAACGATGTCGCGCAAGGCGTGATCGCGACGGGAGCCGCGCGGTCGTCAGAAGAAGTTGTTCTTCTTGTCCGCCTGCGCGTCCCTCAGGAGCTTGACGAAGATCGCCTTCGCCTCCGCGGTCGTCTTCCCCTGGTGCTGCTTGTACCCGCCCCACACGAGCTTACCGGCGTAGTCGATCGCGCCTTTCTCGTCCCACTGCGGCTCTTCCTCGGTGCAGTCGCCTTTTTCGACTTGCGATTTCGCGCCCGTGGAGCTGTAGTACAAGTCGGACTTGACCGCGGCGCCGCCGGGTCTGCGTGAAGATGAGATGTAGGAGTTTAGTAACGAACGCGATTAGAACGACCGAGTCGTCGTCCACGGAGTGTGGTAGAAACGCGCGTAGGAACGCGTAGACTCGACGCGTGCATACTTTTTGAAGAGCTTCCACTTCTTCTCGACGGCGTCGAATTCTTTGGCGGCCTCTTCGTATTCCTCGTCCGTGACGTCGGGGATGACCACTTCTTCGACCTCTTTCTCGGCCTGAATGCGTTAACGCGAAAAATTTTAGTGAGAATACGTCGTGAAAGCGAGCGCATCGAGGAGGCACGGGATGAAGTCGCGCGCGACGGGACCGCTCCGTCGACGACATCAAAATCAAATTCAATTCAATCGCGGGCGGAGGAAAACGCTCGCGCACCTTCTCGACCGCGGCCCTGTGCTCGTCCGGGGGGAGCATCGGCGCCCTGACGAACATCTCCCTCCACGGCGAGAACGCTTTCACACCGTACTCGGTGAAGAACCCGGCCATGTCCGCGCGCTGCGACGGTTTCGATTGCGACGGCCGCGGCGGCTTCTTCTCGTACCCGTACTCGAGCGCGAGCTCGGCGACGTCGTCCAGGGTGGGATGCACCGCGCCACCGGATTGCGCGAACGTGAGCGCGCCCATTATCGTAGGTCGCGATGCGAGGAGAGAGACGCGCGGAGAGGCGAGTATGTCCGCGCGGAGGGCGTTCGCGCGTGAACGACGATGCGTGCTCGCACGGCGCGGGTCGGTGAAGTGCGAGACGGTCCGCCTCGCGAGCGGCGACGCGAGCGGCTCGCGGAGGAAAAAACGCTTTCGACAAGGAGACGAAAAATCGAACGAAAAATCACAGAAAGCCGTTGGAAGGACCGACGACCGTCCCCACCGCGACCGGGGACGGCGCGATAACGCGCGACCCCTCCGCGCGCGCGGCATTGTTCGCGGCGTGCCGACCGCAGCAGCACACCAGTCGCGCATCGACCGCGGCGGTGATACCTAAACGGCGCACAGAGCGGAGCGCCGCGTTTTCCACGAACGAGGGGGAAGTGCGCGCGCGTCGTCGAAAACGAGAGAGGGCACATCGCGACGACGTCCGAGCGTGAGGAGGCCGCGCGTGGACCCGCGAGCGCGATGACGTACGAAGAAGCGGATACCGAGTCGCTCGTGTCCTCTCGCCAGTACACTCCGGTGAAGGAGAAGACGACCCCCCGCGCGGCGAAGGTGCGCATCGCGCGCGCGCGCTCGGTCCTTCGCGTCGGCGTCGCGGGATGAATCGCATCGTTGGCTGTTTCCCCTCTTCGCGCCCCGTCCCGACGCGCGTCCGTCTTCGTCGACGCGCGGCGTATCCCGCGAACTCGAACGCGTCTTGACGCCGTTCCCCTCACATCACGCGAACGCGCAGGTCCAATCGCAGAACGGGATGGTAGAAGAGGAGAAGTTCCTCGCGCTCGAGCAAGAGAATCGCCGCCTGAAGAAGGAAGCGGTCGAGCGCGATGTGAAATTCAAGCAAACCGTCGCTCGGCTCGCGCGCGCGGAGGAAGCCGCGAAGCGCGCGACGATCGCGTTATCGAGCAAGCGCGCGACCGGCGGCGGCACCCCGGGCGGCCCCACCTCCTCGCGGCTGTTCTCCGCGGAGCAGAAAGTCGCGGAGCTCGAGGAGGAGGCGCGGGATTTAACGCGCAAACTCACGCGCGAGCACGAGCGCGGGTTGCACTTTAAGAACTTGTGCAAGGAGTACAAAGCGAAGCTCGACGACGCGCTTCGAGCGGCGCGGGCGCGACCGCCGCCGGTGCAATCGCGCGCGTCCACGACGCCGAAGAGGCAGGAGGCGCCGTCGTTCAGCAAGCGACGCGCGAGCGAGGATGGCGCCACCGCGGAGGCGCTTCGCCTCGAACGCGTCCGAACCGCGTCGCTCGCGGCGGAACGCGACGAGCTCCGCCGGCTTTTACACGCCGCGGGCGGCAAGGTGCCCGGGATGAAAGCCGGCGGCGCGTCCTTGTCGGCTGGGACGGACGGCGAGTGGGTGCTCGAACACTTCGTCAGCAACGGCACGCCGTACCTCCTCGACCGTCAGACGCTCAAGGTGTACTCGAAGCCCGCGACGGCGAAGGATTGGCCGTCGCCGGTCGGCAGGCTCGTCAACGGGCAACTGCACGCGCCGCCGCAGGCGGATGACCTGTTCAAGGCGCTGGATTCTTACTTGAAGCGCGAGCGCGTGCACTTGAAGGAGGCGTTCGACTCGTTCGACGCGAACGACTCCGGCGTCCTCTCCGCGTCGGAGCTCGGAAGGTTCCTTCAAGCCGTGATGGGCGGCGCGAAGCCGAGCCAGCAGAAGTACTTCCAGGCGATGCTCGACATCAACGGCGACGGGAAGGTGACGTACCCGGAGATGGTCGAATCTCTGAAGCAGTGCATCTTGATCGGGCAGAAAGCCTCCGCCGCCGGCGCCTCCGCGGAGCTGAGCGACCTCGTCAAGAAGGTGAAGGATTACATCTCGAGCAAAAACACCACCGTCGCCGTCGTGTTCGCGCACTTCGACAAGGACCGCGACGGGAAGCTCGACCAGAACGAGCTCCTCGCGATGTTCACGAAGCTCGTCCCGCGCCTCACCACGCAAGACAAGCGCTTCCTACTCGCGCACGTCACGAAGCTCGACATGGACGGCGACGGGAAGATTTCCCTCGCGGAGTTGAGACAGGCGCTGAGAGCGGTGAAGATCGCGTTCGCGTCCGCGCCGGGTACGCCGTCGACCAACTCGGTGACGTTCGCGCGGCCGATGGCGACGAACGCGGCAGCCCCCGAGCAACTCGTCCTCACGGAGCAGATTGTGCAGGGCGGGACGTACTTGGTCGACAAGAAGACGAATTACGTGTACAACGCGTTGTCGTCCCCGAACGAGGTTTTACGGCCTCTCGGGAAGCTCGCCGGCGGCGTCGTGACGCGCCCGCCGACGTCCGCGGACTTGGTCGGGACCATGGACGCGACGCTGAAGCGCGAACAAGCGCGCTTGAAGGACATCTTCGACGCGCACGACGGCTCCAAGACTGGCAGCCTGACGATGAACGAGCTCGAGAGCATGTTACAAAAACTCATCGTCGGCGCGTCGAGCGCGGACGTGCACTTTTTCCGGACGCTCGTGGACGCCAACTCGGACGGGCGCGTCGCGTACCCCGAGCTCGTCGCGTGCATCAAAGACATCATCAGCGCGAGCCAGGCGACCGCGGAACGCGCGAACATGGACGTCGAGCGCGCGCTGCAAGAGTTCAAGAACGTCGTCAGAGGCAACCAGAGGGACGTCCGCGCCGGGTTCGGCGGCGGCGCGTTGTCGTACCCGCGGCTGCTCGACCTGGTGAAGCGGTTCACCCCGAACGCGTCCGCGCAAGCGCGTCGGTACGTGATCACGTTCCTCCGCCAGCTCGACCTCGATAACCGAGGAAGCGTCGCGTACGAGGACATGGCGCACGCGCTCAGGGTGCTCGACGTCCACGTCGTCGCCGCGGATGGCGTCTCTCCGAGCCAGGGCGTGCCGCAGCCGCGTCAGGGCGCCGCGGACGAGTGGTACCTCGAAGAGACGCTCTTGAACGGGCACAGCTACCTCATCGACCGGCACACGATGCGCGTGTACACGCACGCGACGGGTAAGCTCCCGAAGCTCGCGGGGAGGATGCAAGGCGGGAGACTCGTCCCGTTCGAGCGCTCGCAAGAGGACCGGTTCATTCAAGGCCTCGACGGGTATCTCAAGACGCAGCAGAAGAGGCTCAAGGACGTGTTCGACACGTTCGACCGCGACAAGCAAGGGTCGCTGAACCGCGCGGAGGTGACGAACATCCTTCGCGCGATCCTTCCGGACGCGTCCGCGGGGGACGTGCAGTACTTCCGCATGCTCCTCGACTTGAACGGCGACGGCGAAGTGTCCTTCGCGGAGTTTTGCGACGGCGTCAAAGAAGCGATCGCGGAGGCGAAGCACGCCGCCCCGAACGAGTCCGAGATGTCGGCCGTCCTCAAGACGATCAAGCAAAAACTCGCGATCGGCGGCGTGAACCTCTCCGTCGCGTTCGGGAAGCACGACAAGGGAAGGACCGGGTACATCTCCCACCACGAGGCGTTGTCGATGCTCCGGTCGCTCGTGCCGTCGCTGACGACGTCGAACCTTCGCCAGCTCGTGCACCACCTGCGCGCCGCGGACGCGGAGAACGTCGGGCGCGTCACGCTCCCTGAACTGTTCCAGATTCTCGGGATGTCCGAGATCAAGCGCGTCGCGACGCCGTCTGGGCCGTCCAACGCGGTCGCGGTGATGACCCCCGGGTCGTACGGCGGCGGCGGCGGCGATCCCGCGGAGCTCGCGAACTTGCGCGAAGCCGCGTCCGAGGTTGCGTACCTCCGACAGCAGCTCCGGGACAGCAAGGCGCTGTGCGACGAGCTCGAGGCGTCGCTCAAGCGAGAGAGAGAGACGAACGTGCCGCAGTACCCGTTCCCGAGCGGCGGCGAAGGGAACGAGACGTCGTACACCGCGAGCGAGCTCCACGGGGAGATCAAATCCGCGTGGGAACGCGCGGGCGTGCTCCAAAAGCGGTACCACGAGGCGCAGACCGCGCTCGGGACGATGAAGTCGAACCACACGAGGGTGCTTCAGCAGCTCGACGACACGCACAAGCGTCTGAACGCGGAGCGCAAGGAGAACCTGAAGCTCTCCGCGGAGGAAAAGCGGCTCGCGATGGAGCTCGAGACGGCGCGAGAGATTGAACCGATGCTCGAACAAGCGAGGAAAGAACGCCTCGCGCTCGAGAAGGAGAACCACTCCCTGCTCGCGGCGGCGATGAACGCGCCGTCGGAGGCGCAGTCCGAAGCGCGCAGGCTTCGCTCGCTCATGGTCGAGGCGCAGCGCGAGCGCGCGGCTGCGGAGTTGCGCGAGGCGGACCTGAAGAGGACGCTCGCGTCCCTCGGCGGCGGCGGTCTCGAAGACGCGAAGCTGACGAAGATGGACCGCGACCGTCTCCGCGTGGACTTATCCCGAATGGAAGTCGAGCTCGAGGCGGCCAACGATAAGATTCGCATCTTCATGGAGATGGGGAACGCGAACCGGCTCATGGACGCGGCGAAGGGCTCCGCGGTCGTCGTCGCGGACGACAAGCTCGACGAAGGTTCCTTGCGCGCGGAGCTCCGCGGATTGCGCGAGACGTACTCGGACCAAGTCGAGGAGATGCACAAGGCGCAGAAGATGCTTCGACTGGAGGAGGCGCAAGTCGCGGACTTGCGCGTCGCGCTCGCGGAAGAGAAGGCGCGCGCGGACAAACTCAACGAGGATCTGTACAGGCGCGTGCAAGCGCACGAGGCGGAACTCGAGCGCCGGCAGAAGAAGATTCACAAGCTCGAGGCGCAGCTCCGACGCGTCCTCTCCGGCGGTTCCGTCGCGGACGAGCCGGCGCCGCAGACGATGCGCGCGAGCGTGAACGGGCTCAAGAACATCTCCAAGGCGGACGAAGAGGACATGGACGACCTCGCGCTCGGGGAGAACATCTTCGAACTCCGCCTCCTCGGCGTGGACATCGAGAAGGACGCCGTGGACGAGGCGAACCCGGCGACGTTCATGACGGTGGATTTCTTCGAGCACGAGACGCAAGCGACGGCGGTGCAGAACGGCCTGAACGTGACCGTGGACCACACGCTGCAGTACATCGTCAAGGCGGACGCGTTCTTCCTGGAGTACCTCGACACGAAGCACCTACCCGTGGAGCTCAACAAGAGCCTCGGGATGGACTTCGCGACGCTCGGGGTGGCGCGCGTGAACTTGAAGCGCGTCCTCGACGACGCGCGCGCAGGGCACGACCCGAAGCAGCCGCCGGTGCACTTCTGCGACGTCGTCGGGAGGTCCGGGGAGATCATAGCGCGTCTGCGGTACGCCGCGTTCATGCGCAAGAGCATCCACGCCGCGCTGAAGGAGTACTCCATGCGCCCGGCTTTGCCGCAAGTCGTCGACGCGAGCGATCCGATCGCGGCCGCGTTCGCCGCCGCGCGGAACGCGTCCTCGCGGACGCCGTCTACGCTCATGAAGATCGAGCTGTCTTGCTGCAGAGAACTGGTGCCGCGCACGGGAGAGCCCGGCGCGATGGTGCCGTACTGCAGCTACACCTTCCCCGGCCTCGCCGGGCACGACACCATCTACGGCCGAGGCTCCAACCCGGACTTCAACGACGTTCACGAGTTCCCGCTCGTGCGCACGACGGACCTCGAAACTCGATTGGAGCGATCTGCGATGGAGGTGATCGCGTTCGACGACGCGGACATGGACTTGGAAGGCGCGGGCGTCATCGGCATCGCGCGCGTGGACCTCGGGCCGTTAGCGAAGGGTCTTCCCGTGCAGGGCGCGTATCCGCTGTTCTCGCAGACTCGGGAGAAGAGGGGCACGGTGTACGTCAGCGTGTCGTGGAAGGACCCGTCGCACGATCCCTCGACGACGTCGAAGTATGAGCTCCCGCCGCCGGCGCGCGGCGCCGCGGCGGTGTCCGCGCCGTACGTCGGCACCAGAGGGGAGTTTGACATCGAAGAGGACCGGGGCGCGATCGGCAAGGTGACGCCGTCGTCGCCGGCGAGCACGTCGCTCGCGCGGCTCGGGACGGGGGGGAAGCCCGGGAGCCGGAGGTACGACGACTCCGTGGACGCGCCCGGGTGGAAGGAACAGACTTCCGTCGCCGGCGGCGGGCGAGCCGCGGACGCGGCGGGCGCGCGGGATAACGTGGTCGTGTCCATCGGCCAGCTCGAGCTCGGGAGCGCGTTGTTCCACGACCACCGCGTGAGGCAGATGTTCATGCTGTTCGAGTTCATGCCCAAGTTCCACAGGGACGACCAGCAGCAGACGAAGCCGGTGAAAAAGACGGGACAGGTCTTGGACTTTGCGTACACGAGGGCGTTTTCCACGAAGGACGCGGGGTTACGGAAGGCGCTCGCGAGCGTTTTACGCGGGCACAACGAGGACGAGTCCACGATCCCGTTTTGCCTCGTGAGCGACGACAACGGGATCGACTTCGAGGACATCGGCTTCTGCGAGGTCAAGCTCGCTGACTTGTTGGAGGGCGACTTGCTCGACAAGCGCGTGGAGGTGTTGGACAAGAACAACGTCGCGATCGGGCACGTCACGCTGTCCGTCGTTGCTTCCGCGGCTTTGAAGTCGATTATGAAGGATTAGTGGGTTTTAGTGGTTCGTGTAAGTATGTTTATTCAACGCGTCAATCGATCGACGCTTTCGACAATTTCTCCGTCACCTTGTCCGCCTTGGACGATTTAGACTTCTTCTCCTTTTTCTCCTTGCCGGAGCCCTTCTTGTCCTCGGAAGCGTCCTCTCCGGCGGCTTCTTTCTCCTTCTTCGCCGCCTTTTTCGCAGCCTTTTTCGCCTTCGCCTTTTTCTCCTTCTCCTTTTCCTTCTTCCTCTCCGACTTGTGCTTCCGCTCCCGTCGCTCCGGGACTTGAAACGCGGACCGACCGCCGCCCTCGTTCTCGTACGGATCATACGTCGGGTACGCCTCCACCGTCGGCATGTCCTCCCCTCTCGCGAGCGGCGCGAGCGGGTCGTACGTCCCGAGACCGGCGTGCATGTCGCTCGCGGAAACTTTGGGCGCGTACCGCGCCGCCGCGCCCGCGTCTTGGTACTCGCTCGCGTACTCTTCCTCGCTCGAGTCGTCGTCCTCGCCCTTGATCACCGGCCGCGACGCGTTCCCGGCGTAGCTCTGCTTCATGTACTCCGTGAGCTCCGGCTCCGGCGCGGCCTCCACCTCTGGCGCCGCGCCTTTCCGGTTCTTTTTCCCCTTCTTTTTCTTCTCCCCGGAGGCGTCGTCGCCGAGGTAGTACATGCTCTGTTTCTCCCGGTGCGACTTGAGCATCTTCCTCGCGTCTTTCTCCTCGCGCGCGATTTGCTCCTTCGTCTTCCGCGCGGTGAACAGATCCGTGACCGGCTTCGACTTGGACCCTTTGCTCCGTTTCTTCCGCCCCTCCGCGCCGCCGTCCTCGTCGTCCTCGTCGTCGCTGCTGAGGAGGAGCCCGTCCCACTCCTTGGAAAGAGGCGCGGATAGCCCTAACGCCGCGGGAGCTTCGACCTTCTTCTGCGCCCTGTGCGACACCGGCTGGATCTCCTCCGAGAGCGCGAGCGAGAACTGCTCCATGATCGCGGTCCCTCGCCCGAGGGTCGCGTCCTCCGCGGAGCTCGCGAGCTCCAAAATCGTCGACAGCTGGCACGAACGCTCTCTCACTTCCAAGTGCAAGCTGTTCTTGAACGGCTTGAGGTTCTCTTGAATCATCTCGCACATCGCCGTCAGCTCCGCGGTCATCGGCACGAGCTTCGCCTCGGGGATCTCCGGGTCCGCGTACGCCTTCGCCGCGGCGTCGCGCGCCGCCGCCGCCGCCTTCGCCGCGTCGGCTTTCGCCTCCGCGTCCTCCTCCGCCACCGGCACGGCGTCGTCGCCCCCGACCGAGGAAGGCACCTCCACGCCGACGACGAGCTCGTGCGGCGCGAGCACCGCGGCGGGCGGCTGCGGCGGCGGCCGCGCGCGAATCGCGTGCATCGCCACCGCGGACGCGTACACCTTCAGAAGCGACTGGACGTACACAGCTTGCGCGTGCGCGGGGAGATTCGTCACCGAAGGGTTCGACAGCGCTTTGATAACCTCCGCGTGGTCCGTGACGAAGCACGCGTACTCGCCGATGATCCATGCGATCGACTTCAGCGCCTCCGGGACGGTCTTGTTCGCGGGCGTGCTCTCGAGCAAGGAGCCGTCCAACAGAAGCGGCTTGAGGATCGCAACCGCGGACTCTCTCACCACCTCGACGCGCAGGCAAATGTCGATGAGCTGCTCGCCGACTAATCCGCCGTGGCACGACGCGGGGACCTGCACCAAGTCCGCGAGGACGGTGAGATACCACACGAAATCCGTCACGAGCGCGTACCGGTCGTTCATGCACACGTGCACGACGGACCACACGAGCTCGTCGCGGAACCGCTGCTCCGCGCGGCCCATGGCGCCCATGAGATGCGCCGTCGTGTCCATCAACGTCTTCTTCGTGACTAACCCTCGGACGATCTTCAGCGCGCAGTACTGGATGTTGCTGTCCTCGTGCTCGACGCAGCCGAAGATGTTCCCTTTGTGCTCCGCGACGATCCGCGGGTGCGTCTCGAGGAGAAACGTCAGCGCGTGCAATGCGAGATATTTGATGTTCGGGTCTTGGTCGTCGAGCATGTCCTTGAGCTTGTCCACCGCCTGTCGCACGATCTTCTCCTGGGTCGTCATCCCGCCGACGACGGTGCGGATGCACTCGTACATCAGCGACTTCGCGGAGGTCGTCTCTAAGATCTCCGAGAGCGGCCCGACGAGCTTCTTCGCGAGTCGCGGCTCGAGCGGCGTGAGCGCTCCGAAAACCTTCACGAGCTTGATCGTCATCCAGTTGCTGCTCGACGTAGTGAGCAGCTTGTAAAACTTCGGCGCGAGCGGCAGGTACGTCTTCGGGTTGTGCATCGCGAGCTCGGAGAGGACGGTCACCGCGGCCTGGACCACGGACTGGTCGTCGTCTTCCAAGCACTCGGTGAGACGCGCGAACGACGGCCGCAGCGCCTCGGGGTACCGCAGGAAACACTTGTACAGACACAAGCACGCGCGTCGGCGCAGATCCGGCTTATGGTTGTTCAGCAACGAGTACACGTCCGCGACGAGGGTCTGCGACAGCTCCGGGGTCACGATGTTTCCGAGGCACGAGATCGCGAGCGCCGCCTCCGCCGGGTTCGGCGACGCGAGATCCTTCTTCAGTAAGTTTGGAATCAACAGCACGACGTCGGTGTCGTCGCCGAACGATTGCGTCGCGGCGAGGTACCCGACGCGCTTGTACTTCACGTTCACGCTGACGCTCATGAGCTCGACGACGTGGAACGACGCCCAGTTCATGTTGAACCCCAGGGTGTGGAGGTACGTCGCTTTCTCGAGCGCGACGGCTTTCGTGCGAACGTCCGGGCTCACGATCTGGGATTGGAGTTGGAATTGGCGAGAGGGGTTCGGACCGGGTCAGATCGCGCGATCGAACGACGAGCGGGGGACCGCGACGCGCGGGGAGGGTCGAAACGGGGTCGATCCGGAGTCGACAGCGGCGCACCTCCGTGCGAATGTCCTGGAGGCACTTGTTGATGAAGTTCTTCTGGCTGCCGTCGCCCTTTTGCGCGCGTATCGCCGTGATCATGTCTTTGAGGTTCTTCTGGAACATATACGTCGACGCCGAGCCCATCATGCTGCTCTCCGGCTTCAGCCGGCGCTGGGATCCGAGCGATGACATGGACGACATCGTGCGCGGACGGTCTCACGCCTCGACCCCCCGCGCGCGTCTCTTAGAACGACGACGAACCGCGGCCGATGGTGAATCGCGAGGAGGCCGCGCCTATTTTCCGCCACCGACGACGATTCGCCTCGATCGGGAGTCGCGACCGGTCTCGCGCGGACGTCGCCCGCCGACGATCGATCGAACGCGACCGCTTCTCTCCTTCGCTCACTCTCGGTGAGGTGCGACCGTCGCCCGTGCGCCTCGCGCGCCAGGGAATGGGACCTCGGCGGCGTCGAGACGGCAATTCGCTCGCGCTCAACACCCCTGCAGTTCGCCTCAAGTTGAGACGAAATTCGACCTGAGTCGCGTTCACACTTGATTGTAACGTTTTTCACCCACCATTCGGTTTCAACATTTGATGGCGTCCCCTTTCAACTTACCGATGAACATATTTTGACTGAAGGCGGCGCAGCGAGCAGGTGCAGGTCGTTGAACGCCAGGGATTCGCCGCTTCGCCGTAGCCGCCACATCGAACGGGGCAGCGTCGCGCGTCACACGCCTCCGGCGCACCCATCATGGGCGTCCTCGATGGCAACGCGGACTCCTCGACCGTGGTCCTCGCCAGGCACGGCACCGCGGTCCTCGGCGCGTGCGCCGCCCCCGGGGGCGCGGCGGCCACGGTGCAGGGCGACGGCGTGCACGTGCACGATCGCGAGACGCAGACGCGCGCGCGGTCGTGGGCGGTCGGCCGAGGCCACGGCTTCGCGGCGCCGGCGACGTACGACGCCGGGAGCGGGATGTACTTCGCGGCGATTCTGCCCCCGGGCGGGAGGGAAGATCCCGCGCTCGTCGCGTGGACGAAGGACGATCCCGCGGCGAGCCTCGACGCCGCCGTGGGCGGGGGCTCGACGCGGTTACCGGACGGCGTCGCCGCGCTCGTGCCCGTGGGCGAGGGCGACGATCGCGCGGAAGGCGGCGGCGTCCTCGCCGTGGACGGCCACGGCGGCGTTCGATGGTTCGGTCCCGACGCGAGGAAGCTCGCGGCCGCGCCCGGCGCGACCGGCGGCGCGGACGAGAAGCGGAGACGCGTCGTGGAGGCGGCGTCCGCGGCGTCGCCGACGGGCGGCGGCGGCGTCCTCGTCGTGACGTCCGACGCCGCTTCCGGCCGCGGCGTCACCGGCGGCGGCGGGAACCGCGTCGCGGCGCTGTACCGCGCCAAGGGCGGCGAGCACAGCGGCAGGAGCGTCGAGACGGTGTGGGAGGTCGTCATAGAGCCGGGGCACGGGAACGACGACGGCGCGCGCGTCGTCGCCGCCGCCGCGGACGACGACCACCTGTGCATGTTTTGGTCGAACGACGAGTGGTGCGCGTACGACCCTAAGGCGACGCCGAAACATCCGGAAGACAAGGGCTTATGGGACGAGCCCGGGGTGCCGACGAGGAAACTTCAGATCGCCGCCGGCGCGGGCACGCCTTCCATGGAAAACCTCTCGCTGAATAAGAGCGGAAAAGGCAAACGCTCGGGGCGGGAGACGACGAACACGAGCTCTACCGACGCGCTCCCCGCCGCGACGCTCGCGGCGATGGGCGGCGGGTACTTCCTCCTCGCGATCGTCGGCGCGCCCGGGAGCGACGGCGGCGCGCGGCTCGCGATCGTGGACGCGAAGTACGGCGCGGTGCAGAGCGTCGACGACGTCGGCGGCGGCGGCGGCGGCGGCGGCGGCGGCGGCGCGGATGACGGCGTCGCCGCGATCGTCCTCCCCGACGACGGCGACCGCGCGTCTCGAACGATCATCACGTGCCACGCGGGCGAGGTCATCCTGTCCGAGATGGATACCCCGCCGAAGTTGAGCCTCCTTGCGGTCATGGGGAAGCTGTGCGCCGACGAGCGCGGCGAGCCGGCGAGGATTCTCCTCGGGAAGGAGGGCTTCAAAGCCGCGAACAAGCCGGCGCAGTACGGTATTTACAAGCCGAAGATGCCGACCGAAGATCAGATCCCGCGTAAGAAAGCGAACGAACCCTTGACGTTCCTCGGGGACCCGAGAGAGAGCGACTGGTGGAACGACGGCTTCGAGAAGAGCGAGAGGATGGCGATCGAGACGATCGAACTCTTCGACGGCGACGCCCCGCTCGACGAGGACGCCGCGTTGAAAGCGATCGACCCGTTCTTAAACGGCGACGAGATGTTCGCGCCGCTCGCGTTGGACGCGGTCATCCGCGGGTGCGTGAAGAACAAACTGTGGGAGCTCCTTAGGGGCGTCATCGGGCGAGGATTCGTCACCGGCTCCGCGGCGGCGCCGCAGCTCGTCAGGGCGTACATCGAGAACGACCGCGCGTTGGACCTCGAAAAGTTTTACGTCCAGGCGATCGAGTACGATCCGCTCGACATCCGACGCGCGCTGGACGCCATCTTACCCGACTGCGACGGGCCGTCGTTCTCGGCGGAGGCGCTCGCCGCGGTGAAGGCGAGGCACGTCAAGATCGCGAAACTCGCGGTCAGAGATGCGGAACGCGCGGAGAAGGAGAGGCGAGAGACGAAACAAAAACACGGCACGTACGCGGAGAAGGAACAACGCGCGAAGGCGTCGCTCGCGCGCGCGCGCGTGTGCACCGCCTCCGTGGAGGCGTTCCCGGAGACGCCGTACGCGTGCGCGCTTCACTTCGTCGTGAGCTACGCGCTCGATTCCGTGACCGCGGCGAGGACGCTCTTGGGGCTGCCGATGTCCGCGGCGACGAAGCTCGTCGCGTACCTTTCAAAGTGGCTCGCCGTCTACGCCGGCGAGGGCGACGACGGGCCGATCGACCCGGAGATCGACCAGCTCGTCGCGATGCCGACGATGACGTCGATCGTGACGTGGACGAACGGGATCATCGACTCGCACTTCAGCTCGCTCGCGATGGCGACGTCGTCGAAGGGCGGGGAGAGCGACGGCGGCGCCGAGAGCGCGGAGGACGCGGAGGTGGAAGCGCTGAAGAAGAACGCGGAGAAGCTGCAGCGGGCGTGCGCCGCGGTGGGGAAGATGAAGGGCGCGCTGCAGCACGTTCGGGAGGGCGCGCCGCTGCCGGACGACCAGGGCGTGAAGTCGACGACGTACAGCATCGAGAGGATCGAGGACTGGTGATGGACGGCGTCGCGCTACTTACCGAGCGTCTAATGCGAACGCCAAAGCTGCTAACGCGCGCGCTTCTACTCCATTCCGTCGCTGTCGCTGTCGTCGAGCAACAGCGCCTCTTCTAACCCGTCCAGTCCCGCCTCCTCGTCCTCGTCCTCCGCGCGTTCCTCTCTTCTGTGCCACCACCCGCTCAGCGCCGCGTGCGCGCCCTCGACGACGATCAAAATCCCGGCGACGACGAGCAGCGCGAGCGCCCAGAGCGTCCCCGCTCCCGGGTACCCCAACGCAGACGCGAGACTCGCGCCGAAGAGCTGCCCGAGAAGCTCCCCGGAGAAGTACAGCGACACGAAGACGCCGTTCACCATGTCCACGTACATCGGACCCTCGCGCTTCACCGCGGCCTGGAGCAGCGGCAGCAGCGGCACGAACGCGAGCGCGGATCCGAGGCCGTACACGCACGACGCAGCGAGCACGTTGAGATTCCAACGCGCGACGTCGCTCACCTCGGACGATTCGCGAAGCAACGCGCTCGGACCGAACAAGAGGTGCGCGATAGACATGCACCCCATCCCGACGACGGCGAGCGCGACGTCGCCGACGAGACTGTCGTGCGATATCATCCCCACGATCGGGGTTATGACCGCGTACAGACCCGCTAAGATGGCGTACACGACGCCGATGTTCGACGCGGATAGGTTCAGCGTCTTGCGCAGATGCAACGGCAACGTCGTGGGAATCCCGCCGAAGGACGTGGATATCACCAGCGCCGCGGTCGCGATTGCGACGAACGTCGGGTTCGCGAGTAAGCGTCTAAACTTCGGCTTCTCCTCGTCCTCCCTCGGCGCCTCCGCGTCGACGTTTCGCACCGTCTCCAACGCCCTGGACACGACCGGCGCGGCGAGGAGGACGAGCGCGGCGTTGACGAGCAGAGGCAAGGTTGGGGACGACCCGCCCGCGTCGTACAGGTACCCGCCGATGATGGGCCCTATCAGCGTCCCGAACCCGGCGCTGACTTCCTGCAACCCGGCGGCTATCGACACCGCGTCCGGGACGGCTCTCGTGACGACGCACAGCATCGTGACGCTCTCCAGCGCGATGGCCATTCCCTGAAGGAGACGCATGACCCCCCATACGACGTACCCGGACTCGCCTCCCAAGACGCACAGCGCGACCGCGGCGGCCTGCGCGAGGAGGCCGCACACGACGCATCGCTTCGCGCCGAAGCGCCACGAGAGCCGCTGCGCGAACGGCGACGCGACGAGGACGCCCGCGGGGAGCGCGGAGAAGACGACGCCGACGAGGAACGGCGGCAGCCCCGCGCGTCGGAAGTCGTTCCCGAGGAACGGGAACGGCACGGACGTCGACGCGGTGCTCACGACGGACGCGAAGCAGAACACGCCCATGACGCCGCGGTGTTTCGATAAGATCTCCCACGACGACGTCGGTCGCGTCTCGTCGTCGTCGTCGCGGGACGTCGGTCGCGTCTCGTCGTCGTCGTCGTCGTCGCGGGAGATGCTGACGAGACGCGCGCGGTCGTCCGAGCGCTCGGAGTCCGAGTCGTTCCACGGGTCCAGGGGTCGTCGCTCTTCTCGGTCGCGCTCGCGTCGCGACATCCCTCGAGCTCTCTAGAATCGATGTCGCGATGTGTGACGCATCGTCGTCGTGCGAATCGTGCGCCTCGTGCGCCGCGTAGTGTCGGAGCGACGCCTCGTCGGATTCTTCACTCGCGACGAAACTTGACAGGACTGCGAGTGGTGAAAAAAAAACGCGGGTCGAGACGTTCAGCTCGGTTCGCGCGGCCGCACGACCCCTCAAGATGGCGGACTCCGATGACCTGGACCTCCTCAGGGTCCTCATCGCGACGGACAACCATCTCGGCGTGCACGAGAAGGATCAAGTCCGCAAGGACGACGCGTTCATCACGTTCAGGGAGATATTCGAAATAGCGAAACAGCAGAAAGTCGACTGCGTCTTCCTCGGCGGGGATCTGTTCGACATCAACAAGCCCTCGAGGGAGACGATGGTTCGAACGATGGAGATCCTTCGGGAGTACTGCCTGAACGACAACCCGGTGCAGATCGAGGTCTTGAGCGACCAGACCGTGAACTTTCCGAGGTGCGCGACCCGCGCGCGATGGATGGTTTTTCTCCCGGGTGCCTAGATTCGATCGCCCCTCCCTCTCCCCGCCCAGCAGATCTGACGCGCCCGTCCCCTCGTTCCGCTCCACAGGCGCGGGGTCGTGAACTACGAGGACCCCAACTACAACGTCGGCCTTCCCGTGTTCATGATTCACGGTGCGCGCGCGTCTCGACCCCCCGCGCTCGAGTCGGGACGACCGGGGCGGGTGCCAACCAACCTCCGCGACTCGCTCGTCGCTCCTCCTCCCAGACCGACGCGCCCGGCACCCCCCTCCTCCCTTCCGCGTCCACAGGCAACCACGACGACCCCGCCGGGGGCGAGAACCTCAGCGCGATCGACGTCCTCGCCGCGTGCAACCTCGTGAACTACTTCGGCAAGCACACCCTCGGCGGGTCGGGGACGGGGAAGATTAAGATCAAGCCGGTGCTTCTTCAGAAGGGCGAGACGCGCATCGCGCTGTACGGCCTCGGGTACATACGCGACGCGCGGCTGCATCAGATGTTCAGCGTGAAAGGGAACGTGGAGTGGGCGCGACCGGAGGATAAAGAGGGCATGCGCGTCGGGTCTTGGTTCAACGCGATGCTGATCCATCAGAACCGCGTGCATCACTCGCCGAAAAACGCGATATCGGAGCGGTACCTCCCGTCTTGGCTCGACTTGGTCGTCTGGGGGCACGAACACGAGTGCCTCGTCGAACCCACGGAGGACTGCACGGGCAACTTCAGCATCTCGCAGCCCGGAAGCTCGGTGGTGACGAGCCTCATCGAGGGCGAGGCGAAGAAGAAGCAGATTTTACTCTTGGAAGTCCGAAAGGATCCGGACAACCCGGACGGCGCGCCGTTTTGGCGCACGACGCCGATCCCGCTCGAGACGCCGCGGCCGTTCAAGTACGTCCAACTCTCCCTGAGCGATCGCGCGAAGCTGTCCGCGGAGGACGGCGGGCTCGGGCCGGACTGGAACCCCGGCGACGTCGCGGGCGCGCGGCGCGGCGTGAAGGGCCGAGCCGGCGGCGGCGCGCAACACGAAGCGTGGGTCCACGGCGTGCTCGAGAAGCAAGTCAACGACATGATCGAAGACGCGTGCGCGCCGTTCAAGCAGCGGAAGGTCCCGAGCGCGGACATCCCGCTGCCGCTCGTGCGCGTTAGGGTCGACTACACCGGCGGGTTTAGCACGATAAACGCGCAGAGGTTCGGGCAAAAGTTCGTCGGAAAAGTCGCGAACCCGAACGACTTGCTTCAGTTTTTTAAATCCGCGGCGAGGCGGAAGAAGGACGAGAACGAGCCGTCGAGGCCGGGCGCCGCGGACGAGGACGAGGACGAGGAGCTCATCAACAACCCCGCGGTGCAGGACCAGAAGAGGATCGAAAAGCTCGTGAGCGACAACCTCAGCGCGGGTTTGCAGCTCCTGAGCGAGAACGACCTCTCCAACGCGTTGGACGACTTCGTGAACCGCGACGCGAGCGCCATCGTGAACCTCGTGAAGCAGCGCCTGAAGGATACGCAGACGCTCGCGGAAGAAGACGGCATCGGCGAGGACGACGACGGTTTCATGGAGGACGACGCCGCGCGTCGGGTCGAGGCGGCGGTGCAGCAGCGATTGGCGAGGAGCGCGCCTACGGCGGCGGCGGCGGCGGCGGCGGCGGCGGCGGCCGCGGGCGCGGGCGCCGCGGAGCCGCCCGCGGGGCCGACGCCGATGGAGGCGGCCGCCGCGGAGAGAGAGAAGACGCGGCGGATGATGCAGACGGGCGCGGCGGCGATGAACGAGGAAGCGCTCGACGAAGATTTCGGCGAGGACGCGAGCGCGCCGGCGGCGAGGACCGCGCGCGATGACGACGCGCGGCACGCCGCTCCCGCGGCGAAATCGCCCCCGGCGGCGGCCGCGCCCGCGCGCGGGAGGAGGAGCGCCGCGGCGGCGTCGTCAGGCGGCGGCGGAGGCGGCACGCTCGACGCGTTCCTTCAGCCCGCGTCGTCGACGGGTGGGAGAGGCGGACGCGGCGGACGTGGCGGGCGCGCCGCCGGCAGAGGCCGCGGCCGCGGCCGAGGGAAAGCGGCCGCCGCGGACAGCGACTCCGGCGACGACGACGTCATCGAGGACTCCGAGGATTCTGGGGACGAGGACGTCGTCCCGATGAGCGCGCCCAAGCGCGGCGGCGCGAGGCCGACGCGCGCGGCGAAGGCGGCGGCGGCGACGCGGTCCCGCCGCGGAGCCGCCGCGGACACCCCGGACGAGTTCGAATTCGATGAGCACTCCGACGACGACGACGACGACGACGTCGTCGAGGACTCCGGGGACGACGCCGAGATCGCGACTACGAACCGACGCGGCGCGAAGCGTAAGGCCCCGGCGGCGGCGAAGAAGAAGTCGCCCGCGAAGAAACCAAAAAAGTCTCCGGCGAAGAAGTCGCCGGCGAAGCCTCCGCCCGGGCGCGCGCGCGCGAGCCGCGTGATCGAGATCGACGACAGCGGGGACGAGGACGACGAAGAGGTCCCCGCGACCGCGCGCGGGCGAGCGAGCCGGTCGAGAGGGGGAACGCAGGCGTCGCGAGGGTCGAGGCGGTGATCGCGAGATGGGTCGCGGAGACGGACGACGTCGACGACGACGACGGCGGGAGGGACGACGACGACGACGACGACGACGACGACGACGACGAGGGTGACGAGGACGAGAGAACGCGCGGCGCACGCATAGCATCGACGATCAGTGACACGGAATGCGCGCACAGTACGGTCGCATCACATCACATCGTTTCGTTCTCGCGCGCGGCGGACGGAGAAGCGCGAACGGCTTCGAGGCGCGCGGTGAGACTGCCTCCCATACGACCCCGTTCGCGTGGTGAACGCCGTTCCTTAAGGACTTTTCCCGTCGTCACTCTTCACTCGCGCTTCCCTTTCAACGTTTGACCGGTAAGACGTTCGACTGACCGATCGCTTCACCCACGCAGGCTCATCGTGTTCCTGAGTCTTTCACGCGACGAACGCCCCGAAAGGTTTCGTCAGAATTTTCGCGACTGGCTCGAGAAACGGTCTCGCGACGAGCCACCCGAGCTTGACCATCGGTCGGACGCACAGCCAGACGAGCGCGAACGCGACCGCGAGCGTCACGACGAAGACGGAGTCGGCCTCCTTCGCGGCCGCCGCCGCGGCGTCCGCGCGCTTCGTGGCGTCGTCCTCGAGGACCTCGCCGGCGTCGCCTTCGGCCTCCGCGGCGAGGAGCTCGCTCGCTTTCACGAAGCCCTTCCGCGGGCTCGAGGGCGCGTCGTCCGAGGTCGTCGGGGTGTCGTCGCGGAGCTCTCTCGCGGCGGCGGCCTTTTCGTCGTCGAAGGCGACGCGCGGGGAGCCGCCGTGCGGGGAGCTGCGCGTGCGCTTGATCTCCGCGGGCTCGTCCGCGGCGGCGTCGGAAGAGGGCGGCGACGGCGGCGAGTCCGTCATCGCGTCGGCGCACGCCTGTTGGTTCGACTTCTTCTTCATGCGAGCCATGCCGCGAGGAGAGAGGTCGCGCGGGGTGGTGTATCGGGGAAGGAACGCGACCACGACACGAGTTAGGGTTGAGCGAGAACGACACAGCAGCGACGGGACGAAAGTTTATTTCGCTCGCGCGCCGCCTCCTCTCCTAGCCTCTCCCTCCGCCGTCGCTCACTCGTGCGACGCCCCGCCGTCGATCATCGACTCGAACAGCTTGTTATCTAAGTACGGCTCCAGCTCCCACACCTCCGCGCACCCCTCTATCTTCCCTCGCTCGAGCGCCTCCGCGACGCCCTCGTCCTCGAGCGAGTCGCCGCCCGCGAACGGCTGCTGCGACAGGTACGACGCCACCGCCTCCTTCACCTCAACCTCGCTCTCGATCTGTTCGAGCACCGCGACGCACAGCCACAGCCACTCCTCTATCGTGCGATTCGCGCCCCACGGCACGCGCGCGAGGAGGACGCTCCCGGGGACGTCATCGATCCAGTGCCTCCTGCCCGACGCGGCGTCGGCGTCGGCGTCGGCGTCGTCGGCGTCGGCGTCGGCGTCGCGGAAAAGGGCGTCCGCCGGCGCGAAAGCCGCGGCGCCGCCCTCCGCGGCGTCGACGGCGACGGCGGCTTTAAACTCGTCCAGAAGGTCCGCCGCCTCGAAGTAGATGTGAATCGCCTTCGCGGCCTCCGCGAGCACGCCCTCGATCGCGTCCGTGAGCTTCTCCGGCGCCGCCTCGACCTCGCTCGGGTGCCGCAACCCGTTCAACACGAACTCTCGCAGACGCGGCGACGGCGCGGTGTTCATCACGCGGCCGAGGACGCCGTTCTGGTGCTCGCTCGCGTCCTCGTCTTTCGTCCCGGACGCGGCGTCGAACAGGTCGGGGATCAGACGCAGGTGTTTTAAACCCTCGATGTGCATGATCTTCCACTTCTTCATCGCTTGCTCGAGCTTCAGCAGAGGCTCGAGGTTAATCTCCATCGTTCGCGTCGTCGTCGTCGAACGAACGCTTCGACGACGCTCAACCCCCTCGCCTGCCGACGCCGCGGCGATCCCCGCGCGTTGCCGCTACCTCCCTCCTCGCCTGAGCCCGTCCGCGTTCGCGACCGCGATCGCGTCCCTCGTCGCGCCTCGCAACGACGCTCGCAAACTCTCCGCGGAGTCCACCCCGCGCGCGGTCGCGACGCCGAAGACGACGCCCACCGCGACGCCGGTGAAGACCGTCGCGACGCCGAGCGCTCTGCACGCGGTCGCCGCCGCGCGCCAGTGCGTCCCGCGCGGGAGGTCGCGCTCCGCCTTCGATCTCGACCGCGCGTACGCGGTGATCGTGGCCGTGCACGCGGCGCTGCCGAGAAGCGCGGCGACGCCGGTGAGGCCGACGGATTGTAACGACGCGCGCCTTCCGTGGACGTCGTCCGCGAGGGACTGGACGAACTTGAACGCCTCGTACGGCTCCGGGGTCTCGGGCGAGGGCGAGGGCGAGGACGACGCGGGCTCGGCGCGCGCGACGGCGGCGGACGGTGGCGGGGTGCGTGCCGCCGGCGCCATGCGCTCTGGGAGCGAACGAGCGGAGAGGGCGAAGACGTGAGATCCTCGGGTCGGGTACACTATCCTCGTCAGCTTTGATGGGCTTTCTTTCCGGCGAACGCGCGCGCCGCCGGCGACGCTCTGCCGCGCGAATCGCGCGCACGTCGCGACGACGACGACGATTGGATTGATTCGTCTTCAGTGTATCAAAAGAGTCGCGCGCGCCGTCGCGTCTCGCCCACCTCCGCCTCGTCCGGGGCGGGCAGGGCCCCTCCGTCCTGCCAGCCGCCGTCGCGCCGCTCACTTCAACCCTCGCAACTTCACGCCGAGGATGCGTTCCAGCTTCGACAGAATCTTCTGGTCCGGGATCGCCTTCCCGCTCTCGTACTCCTGAATGATCTGCGGCTTCTCGTTGATCTGCTGCGCGAGCTGCGCCTGCGTCAGCTTCTTCGCGAGCCGGCCTTGCATGATGGCCTTCTTCACCTCCGTGTTTACCTTCTTATGCTGCAGCTCGTCCGTCTCGTTCTCGAGCTTGCCCATGCGCTGCGCGTTGTAACCGCCGCCTTGCTTCTTGACCGTGTCCACGGCCATGCCCATCCGCCTCGCCTGTTGTGGGTGAATACGGGGGGGGGTCGTGGGACGACGTGCGCGTGAGCGGGGAAGCGCGAGAGGCGAAGGGTCGGGAAGAAGATTTTGGGTGTCCGGGAGGGCAAAAAAACGCGAAAGATCGTTGTCCCGGGGGATCAGAGGCGAGGGACGAGACGCACCGCGTCCGCGGACTTGGGGACGCCGTTCATGCCGCCGGTGGGCTTCTTCTTCGTGAGCACCACTGCGAGGCGCGAGGGGAGGGAGACGGACGTCAGATCCGACGGCGTCGAGCGGCCGGGGACGGCGCGCGCGGCGCGAGATCGCTCCGTGACGCGACGGGGGTTCGTTCTCGAAAGACTGAGAGAGACGATGTCGTCGTTTCCCCCGGCGGACGCGGAGGGGACGAGGGCGCGGGACGAGAGGACGGGACGTCGCGCGCGGGATCGCGCACCGGGCTTCCAGTCTTGGTCGGACATGTTCGTCGACGTGGGGTGGGCGCGCGAAGGGTTCGCGAGACGCTCGCGTGCGCGTCGAAGAGTGGCCGACCGCGCGCGCAGATCCGGCACGGAGAGATGAGGACGCGGGGCGACGATCCAACGCGGACGTGGTTTTCGCGCGGGTGACGTCGTCGCCTTTCCCGGGACCGCGCACCGCGGCACTCCCCACCGCGCGCCGCAGCGTTCGCCCTCCGCGCGCGATCGCTCACGTCCACGTCACGCCTTAAGGCAGGCTCGACCGCGACCGCTCCACCGCCACACGCCGCCGCAGCGTCCATCGCCGCCGCTCGCGACCTCGCGCTTCCGCTTCCTCGACAGACACGCTCCACGCATGCACGCTCTCGCCACGTCTTCCGCGACGCTCGCGGCCGCGCCCGCGCGCGCTCGCCGCGCGTCTCGCGTCGTGAAGTGCGCCGCCGCGCGCGTCGACGCGAAGACGGAGACCAAGTCCCGCAGGTGCGCGCGCGCGTTCTCGACGTCCCCGTCGCGTCCTCGCCCGAGGGCGAGGCGCCCCCGCGTTTTATCCTCCCAGCGCGTGCTCGTCAGAGGCGGGCACGTTCACTCATTAATTCATTCAACCATCTCTGACGCCGCCGACGCGTCCCCGTCGTCTCGTCGCAGGGCTTTCCTCGGCGTCGCCTTCGGCGCGCTCACCTCGGGCGCGCTCTCCACCGCCGCCGCCGCGAACGCGAAGTCGCTCGAGGAAGCGGCGAAGGAGAAGGAGGACCGAAAGGCTGCCTTGCGCGCGGCGGCGGCGGCGAGCGCGGCGAGCGGCCGGGGCGAATCCGCGTTTGCCGCGAGCGAGTACAGCCTCAGCGAGGAGAGCAAGACGCCGAACTTCCACACGAGGCAGGAAGAAGGCGCCAGGCGCTCCGGCGGCGCGTGAGCGACGCGCGCTATTTGTAATAAGATCAGCGAGTGTACACGACGCGACGTAGATGGACGGACGCGCCTCATCTTGTAATAATATGCGCGCGACGATCTGTATCTGATGACGTGTAAACGCTGAGATTTGTTTTCTCGGTCAACGCGACGCTTCGCTCGCGTCACACCGCGTCGCGCGGAGAATTGATGTCGCGTAGGGCGCTGCGCGGACCGATCGGCGGAGTCCCCTTGCAAGTCATCGGCGCTGATTTCTACGCCAAGGTCGTCGGCATCTCGTTCGCGACCGGCGCGTGCATGGAACTGTTCATGATCAAGACTGGCTTCTACGACAAAGTCACCGAGATCGAGGCGGAGCGAAGGCACGCGCTGTCCGAACCCCCGGCGTGGGTGTTAGAGCTTCAAAGGCAGGACCAGGAGTACAGAGCGGCGCGGGAAGCCGCCGCGAAGGCGAACGCGGAGAAGAAGTAGACACGCGACGCGAGAGCGACGATGGACGGCGGCGTGGAAGCGATGCTCGCGAACATGCTCGCGGGAGGCCTCGGCGGATCGGGCACCGCGGGACCGCCCGGATCTCGCGCCGGCGTCCCGCCCGCGCGCGGCCGCGGCGGCGCCGGCGGCGGCGCCGCGCCCAAGGTCCCGGACATGGCCGCGCTGCTCAGCGCGTTCAAGTCGGACGGGACCCCGGACTTTGACAAGATCGCCGCGATGAGCGGCTTGGACCCGAACGCGCTGAAAGGCCAGGTGAAAGGCCTGTGGTCGCACATGGACGACCTCGCGGAGAAGGACCCGGAGGAGTACAAGAAATTCCTCGCGAAGCAAGCGACGGAGGCGGGGATGGACCCGGCGCTGATGGGCGTCGGCGGAGGACCCGGCGGCGGCGGCGGGAAACTCTACGGCGAAACCGGCGCGACGTTCTTGATGCCCGCGGCGGTGACGGGCGCGTCCGAGGGCGTGGGCGTCGTCGCAGTCTGGCGCGCGAGCTCGAACGTCGACGCCCTCGCGGGGGACGACGACGCGCCCGTGAAGGTTCGAGCGCGCGCGGCGCCGAGGGTCGAGAAGGTGCCGTTCCCGGACCCGCGAGAGAACGGCGCTCTCGACGGGGCCCAGACGGTGAAAATCGGCGGCGCCAACGGGTTGACGCCGCCGCCGCTGGACGCGGTCGTGTACGATCTCGACGCGCACCCGGACGCGATCGCGCGAGCGCTGGAGGATTCCGATTTCCAAGCGACGCTCATCGAGCGCGCGACGGCGTTCGTCGAGGGCGAAAACGACGGCGTGACGTTCGATCGACGCCACCGGCGGTGTTACACGCACCGGATGGACGCGAGCGCGAAGACGGCCGCGGCCGCGGCCGCCGCGGACGCCAAGCGCGGGGGCATCGGCGGCGACATGTCCAGCGCGCTCCTCACGGAGATCGCGGGCATGAGCGCGGCGGACGGCGCGCGAGGGAAGCGAGGCGCCGCCGCGGCGGCAGCGGCGGCGAAAACGATCGTCGGCGGCTCGGGCGCCGCGCCCGCCGCGCCGCCCCCTTCGGCGAAGCGCTCTCTGATCGAGGAAGTCAAGGCGTCGGAAGTCAAGGCGTCGCACTCGGTCGACGTCGAGCGCGACGCCGCCGGACTCCCGATCGCGGTCGAGGTGACGGTTCGTCTTCCGATGCTGCGGTCGATGTCGGACGCCGCGCTGGAGGTGTCGGACAGATACGTGCACGTGACGCCGGGCGCGGGCGAGGACGAGATCGTGATCGCGCTGCCCGTGCGCGTGGACGCGGACTCGATGCGCGCGAAGTTCAAGAAGAAGGAGAAGAAGCTCACGCTGCGCGGGTCGCCGATGCCGTAGAGAATAAATAGTGCGCGTACTGCGCGAGTAATAACGTGATAGCCGCTCGAGCTCGCTTCGAATCGAATTCAATATCTACCCTTCTTAGGCCCGCCGTCCCTCGCGTTCTCGATCGCCGTCTGCTCGCGCTCGAGTTGATCCAACGCGATCGGCGGCGTTCGCACGCGCGCGCTCTGCTCGAACTGATCCGCGAGACTGTCGAGCTCCAAGAACGAGTTTAGACGTCGTTTACACCCCACCGTGGACGGCGTGCGCCGAAACGGATCCTCCGCCGCCGCCGCCGCCGCCGCCGCCGCCGCCGCCGCCGCCGCGGAGTTCCCGCCGCCCGCGTACACGTGTTGACTCTGACCCGATCGCGCGTGCGATCGCTGCCCGGGGACGCCGAACATCGACCCGGGGTAACCTCCGAACCCCTTCCCGCTCCCGCCCTCGACGCCGCCGTTGTACACCATGTCGCTGAAGTGCGCGCCCGCGTGATGATGATTCACCGACTGATCCATCGCCGTCGCCATCCCCGCCGCGGCGGCGCTCGCCCGCGCGGGGCCCGGCGACGCGCCCCACCCCCCTACCGCGTGCGTCCGCGCGATCGACGCCGCGCTCGCTTGCTGACGCGATAAGAGATGCATCCGGTGCCAGTCCACGAACTCGTCCACGAGCACGGGCCACGCGCCGTGGGGATCGTAGCCGTCCAGCCCCCCGGCTTGATTCACCGCGTGCGCGAAATCGAGCACCTGGCACCACGTGTCTTCGGAAATCCCCTTCGCGTCCGCGCGGGCGCCGCCGACGAACTCGCACCACTGCGCGAGGAGCGCGAAGCGTCCGTCCGCGAGGAGGAACCTCCACCCCTCGAGCGCGGCGGCGACGGAGAGGTTCCTCTGCCCGCGCTCGCGCGCGACGAAAAAGACAAAGTGGTAGAAGGCGGCGAACTTCTGCGCGTCCGTCGCGAGCTCGCCCAGGAGGCTGCGGAAAAGCGCGCTGAGCGGGTGCATCGCGAGCGGGCCGAGCATCCCGCGGCCGTCCGCCTGCAGCAGCAGCGTGGTCATCCTCGGCTTCCGGATCTCCGCGGCGTCGACGAGGTACGCTTCGAAGAAGGCGCCGAGGAGATCTCGAAACGTCGCGACGACGTCCTCGTGCGAGACCCCCGCGGCGGCGGCGGCGCCGCCGCCGCCGGTCGTGCTCGGGAGCGACGCGCCGTCCGCGCGGTCGTTCGTCCACGCCATCGCGGAAGGAGCCGCGTCGTGCCTCGCGCGCGCGGACACTGGCGGCGGAAGCGACAGCTGTGCTCGCGTGAGATGGAAATATTCCGAGCTGACTCGATCGGGGCGGGGGCTCCAATTGTCGGCGCGCGCGGAGGAGACCGACGCGTCGGCGACATCGCGCGCCGCGGCCTCTCGCCGAGCCCCCACCCGCTCACCCCCCGCGATGACGACGTCCCCCGCGAGCGGCGACGCGTTCGGCGCCGTCAGCGGGTTCGTCACCCTGCTCGCGACGCTCCCGATCTTCTCGCTGTCGCTCCCGCTGTCGTTCGTCTTCGGCGTCCCGAGCGTGTGGCAGTTCGGCGAGGCGTACCGCCCGTCGTTCTCGTACGTGTGGTCCAAGTTCATGACCGAGGCGGTCATGGGAGTCAAGCTCAAGCTCGTGGGGAACCGAGGACTGTACAAGGACGGCGAGTGCGTGTATCTCAGCAACCACAGGGCGTGGGCGGACTTCTTCGTCGACATGTATCTCACCGAAGGAAGGGCGTTCATCTTGTCGCGGTACCTCGTCGTGTACGCGTTCCCGCTGTTCGCGATACCTGCGATGTGCGACGGCGCGCTGTTCGCGTTCAAGCGCGGGAAACCCGGCGCGCACGAGGAGCTGAACGCGCAGCTGGACGCGCACTTGAAGACTTTCCCCGATTACGCCGGGTTCGTCGTCTACCCGGAGGGGACGAGAAACGTGAAACCGCGGAGCTTGTCCCTGAAGCGGGGCCTTCTGAAGTACACGTGGTCGCGGAAGAAGACCGTGCAGGTGATCATCGCCGCGGATAAAGAGCAGGTCTTATCCGAGCAGATCGGGAAGGCGTCGTACGGGGTGGAGATACCCGTGGGGTACTCGGACGTGATTCACTCGTCCGAGTACGAAAACGACTTCGAGGGGTTCGCGAGGGAGGTCCAGAAGACGTGGGACGCGGAGTGGGAGAAGGTGTATAGCGCGCGGCGCGATCGCACCAGGGCGCTGCACCCGAAAGCGCAGCTCGTGACGTACACCCGGGGGAAGACGATCCTGCTGCTGACGTCCGTGGGCGCGCTCGCGGCGGCGACGGCGGCGTTCGCGTGGATGTTCTGGGTAACCGTCTGGGCGAGATATCTGTCGCGGTGAGGTCTCGAGGACGGGGGCGTCGGCTCGGTCGTTCGTCGGTTAGTTCTTATTGCAACGGTCGGTTGAACGCGGGTTCAACGCTAATACATTCACGCACAGAGTGCTCTCGCGACCCCCACCCCTCCCGATCACCCCCCCATACAAACACGCGATACGCGTCACGCGGGAAGCAACAGCGCGTCGAGCGCGTCGCGAAGTTTCAGCGCCTCGCCGCCGATGGCTTCCGCGACGGTCTGCGCGTCCACTCCCGCTCTGGTCATCACCTCCCTCAGCCGGTCCGCGTGCTCGGTCACGAGCGACGTGATCGCGGACTTGTCGATCGTCGGCGCGGCGGGCTCGACCAGCGCGAGTCCCGCGAGACCGAACTCCGGCGGCGGCGCCGGCGGCGCCTCGTACCTCGACCGCTGCGACGGCGCGAACCCCGGGTGCTCCTCGGGCAGCTGGGGCGGACGGAGGCCGGCCGCCGCGCGCGCGGCGAGCGCGTCCGCTTTCGCGAGCGCGGCCGCGAGCGTGATGCGCCCGCCGCGCGTCTCCCCCGACGGCCTCGACCCTCGGCCGCCGCCTCGGCCTCGGCCGCCTCTCCCGCCGCGGCCGCCCTTACCCGCGAGCCCGCCCGCGAGCGCGGCGGCGGCGAGCGACTCGAGCTCGTCCACCGGCGGTTTCTTCTTCTTCTTCTTGCGCTTCTTCTTCTTCTCCTCTTTCGGATCCTTGAACTTCGGGTTCATCTTCCGCTTCCGCCCCGTGCGCGAGTCCGGGAGCAAGACTTCCTCCTCCTCCTCCGGCTCGGGCTCCGACTCGCTCTCGCTCTCTTCGCCGCTGCTCTCTTCTTGTTTGATCGCCGTCGTCCCCGCGTTCGCGCGCGCGAGAATCGCCTCGATTTCGACGTCCTCTTCCTCTTCTCCGTGTTGCCTAGACGCGGGCCTCGCCGGGGACCACGCCCCGGACACGGGGACGGAGACGTCGTCGTTCGCTCTCGGCGTCGTCGTCGTCTCGCGCGGCGGGAACGGGTTCGCGGCTTCGAGAACCGTCTGCTGCGATTTCCGACCTCCCGCGGCGGCGGCGGCCGCGGCCGCGGCGACGGACGCGCCGACCCAATCGCCTTTCTGTCGCAAATGCGGTGGGAGCTTCTCCTCGCGCGCGGCGAGCGCCGCGGCCAGACCGCCGGACGCGGCGAAGTTCACGGGCGGGGGCGCGGCGGCGTGCTGGCTCATCGCCGCCGCCGCCGCCGCGACCGCCGCGGCGACCGCGTGGGAGTCTAAATCGCCGATCCCGCCGGGAAGAAGCGAGGGGAGCGTCGCGGCGACGCCCTGGAGCAGCCGCGCTTGCGCTTTCGCGGCTTCCAACGAGTCGTTCACGGCGTCCGACGTCGGCTGGTTTCTCGCCTTTTTCGCCCTCGGCGGCTTCTTCTCCGGGGGCGGGGACGGGGCGCCGCCGCCGGTGAGCGCGAGCAACCCGCCGACGCCGTTCATCTCCGGCGCGGCCGCCGCCCGGCGCGCCTTGTGGTTCGCCTTGCTGTACGCCTGCTGCAGCCGCTTCGTGTTATCGTCCAGATCCAGGACTTGGCACTCCTCCATCCGTCGCTTTTGTTCCTCGAGCTCCTCCACGGACTTCACGAGCGTCCTGTTCTGGTCCCCGGGGGATATCCCCGCCTGGACGTTCGTGATGAGACGATCCAGGGATTTCATCTTGCGAAACGGCCATCGCTTGATGCCGAACCGTCGGCACTGACGCTTCAAGACGGTGAGCCCGATCCCGAGCTTTCGGCACGCCGCTTCCGACGGCAGGTGAAAGCACGACGAGAGCTCCTCTTGCGTGATCTCTGACGCGCTCCTGAGCGCGCGTCGTTTCGCCGGCTTCTTCTCCGCGCCGTCGCCCCCACCGACGTCGGCCGCAGCGAGTAGTCTCTCGTATTCATCGCCGCCGTCCATCACGTCTTCGCCGCCGTCGTCCATCATGTCCTCGCCCTCGTCTTCGAATTCTTCATTCGTCGGCGGCGCGGCGTCGTGCGCGTGATCGATCGTCGTCCCGGTGCTGAACGCGCTGTTCTGTCGGTCCCTCTGCGCGCCCTCCGGCGCGTTCGCGGCGTCCGCGTTGGCGTCCGCGTTGGGGTCCGAGCGCACGATCTCGACGCTGAAGCCGACTTTCGGGGTCGTCGCCGCGGGGACGGCGTCGTCCTCCGCGGCCGGAGGCTGATCGGAAATGCCATTCACGTCGTTCGATTCGCGCTTCACGCGCGCGTCGTCGTCGTTCGATGCCGCCTGTTGACCTTCCTCCGGAGTTTTCCCCTCGCGCGAAGGCGCGGCGGGATCGCCCGCGGCCGCGGGCGCGGTCGCGAGATCCGTCGCGTTCGCGGACATGAACGCGAATGCGCGCGGGTCGGGGGTTAGGTTCGATGGCCTGCGCGGGGTCGCGTCGGGGCGTCAGCGGCGGGAAAATCGACGTAGGTCGTTGTCGCTTGGCTCGCCGGGGACGTGCGCGCGAACGGCGTCGCGCGAGGTCCCGACTTCGCTCAGAAGGTGGCGTACGTCATGCAAGAGGAGCTGCTGTTCCCGTTCCTGAGCGTCCGCGAGACGTTCGAGTTGCACGCGAGGCTGCGGCTGCCGCCGTCGGCGTCGGTGGATAAGAAGCGGAGGACGGCGGCGTTTCTGATCTCCGAGCTCGGGCTGAAGAACGTCGCGGACTCCCCCGTGGGGCGCGTCGGCGGGTTCCCGCGCGGGCTGTCCGGCGGCGAGAGGAAGCGGTGCAACATCGGCGTGGAGATGGTGCGAGACCCGAGCGCGATCTTCCTGGACGAGCCGACGAGCGGACTGGACTCGTTCCAGGCGCAAAACGTCATGTCGTCGCTCAGGGACCTCGCGATGCACGGCCGGTGCGTCGTGTGCACGATCCACCAGCCGCGGAGTTCGATATACACGATGCTCGATAGCCTGATGCTCCTCACGGACGGGCGACTCGCGTACATCGGCGACGCGAGAGACGCGGTGGGGTACTTCGAGAAGATGCACTTCAAGGCGCGTTCTATCTCACACTGGTCCCCATACATACGACCCCGTTCGCGTGGTGAACGCCGATCCTTAAGTACTTTGCCCGGCGTCTCTCTCCGCCCAGGGTCCCTCGCTTTCAATCCCGACACACCTCGACGCCTTTCAACTCCGCTTCTGACGCCTTTCAACTCCACCCCCACGTTCGCGTGTATGGAACGACCCTAAGTGTCCGACGTTGACGAACCCGGCGGATTTTTTCATGGACGTCACGTCGATCGATTTTCGAAGCGACGCGAAGGAGGCCAACTCGCGAGAGCGCGTGCGGACGTTCGCGAGGGAGGCGGAAGCGCGCGGGTTAGGCGACGCGAGCGTGAAGGCTGCGATGGCGTCGATGCTCGCGGACGCGGACGCGGCCGCGCGCGAGGACGGAGAAGGGAAAGGGGACACGAAGGAAGAAAACGAGACGACGACGGCGACGACGACGGGCGGCGCGTCGTGGCCGACGCAGTTCGCGCTGCTTCTCGCGCGCGCGCATAAGTGCCAACGACGCGACACCGTCGGCGTCGGCGTGACCGTCCTCCTGGATATCGTCTACGCGCTTCTGCTCTCCGCGCTGTTCCGGAACGTCGCGGACGATCAAGAGGGGGTGCAAAACCGCCTCGGGTGCCTCTTCTTCATCGCGTTGAATCTGGCGTATTCCTCCGCGTTGCCCGCGATCAATTTGTTCACCGCGGAGAAGTACATCGTCATCCGCGAGCGAGCGTCCGGGGCGTACACCACGAGCGCGTACTACGTCTCGAAGTTCATCGCGGAGCTGCCTCGGTTGCTCTCGCGGTTCGTGTTCTGCGTGCTCGTGTACTGGATCGTCGGGTTCAATCCCACGTTCGCGCGCTTCGCCATCTTCGTCGCGATCGTCCTGGCGCACTGCCTCGCCGCGCAGGCGATCGGGATGGTCATGGCGACCGGGCTGCCCATCGGTGCCGCGCTCGCGTTCGGCCCGGCGACGATCACCGTGTTCACGCTGTTCGGCGGCATCTACCTCAACGTGGACACGATACCGGAGGGCGCCGGGTGGGTGAAATTCATTGACTTTATCTACTACACCTTCAGCGCGCTGTGCGTGAACGAGTTCGATGACAGTTCGATGACCTTCTCGTGCGACGCCGCCGCGCGGTGCCTCGAGAACGGCGACGCGGTGCTGGAGCTGTACGGGTTCGAGGACGTGCGGGTGAGCACGCAGATTTTGTGTCAGCTCGCGCTGACGTTTGGGTTGCAGGCGCTCGCGTTTCGTCTGCTGGTTCGGAGTACGTCGCGGTTTTTGCCGCTCGAGATGGATCCCGCGGTCGCCGTCGCGGCGGCGGCGGGCGGGGAGGAGAAAAACGCCGACGCCGACGCGAAGGAACGGGGGACGCGCGCGTAGGGTTGCTAACGTAGAAATTCGTATTTGCATCGCGTGATACCCTCGTCGAAATATATCACGCCTTCTCGCGCTGCACCCGCTGCCTCAACCCCACCATCGCGGACATGCACTGTTTCGTCATCTCGCCGTCGTCCCCGAACGCCTTTCTGGACACGTCCAGGGCTTGCATCGTGACGCGCTCCGAATTCTGGAACTGCTTCTTCTCCACGAGAACCCGCCCGAGGAACAGCAGCGACCCGGCGACCTCTTTCGCCGCGCGCTTATCCTCCGGCCCGAACGACGCCCTCGCGGCGACTGCGGCTTGAAACGCGCCGGCGGCGAAATCGAGCAGCCTCTCCCCCGCCGCGCCGCCGCCGTCGCGCGCCTGCATGCGCTCGTGGAAGTACGCGCAGCCGAGGTAGTGACACGCCGCGCCTTGCTTCCACGCGTCGCCGGTGAGCATCGCGGCCGCCGCGCGCAGCGGGCGCTGCGAGTCCTTCCACGCCTCCGTGCTAAAGATCCTCTGGCCGACGACGAACGCGTGCGAGCCCGCCTCGGTCGCGCCCTCGAACGGTTCCTCCTCGTCTTGCTCCGCGCCCCGCATCTTCCACGCGTCTCCAATCTTCATGAGCATCTCGTACGCGATCTGCTCTTGCCGAGGCGTCGTGCACGCGGCTGCGAATATTTTCTTCGCGTCCGCGGCGGCCACCGCGGGGGTGGACACGGTCTCGACCTCGCCCGCCGCCGCCGCCGCCGCCGACGACGACGACTCCCCTCCGCTCGCGGGCGCGCCCCCCCCGCGTCCTCCTCCGTCCCTCTCTCCTCCTCCTCCTCCCCCCCCCACGCCACCCTCCCTCAACAAATCTGCGCTCCACGCGACGGCCTCGACGCCGTCCCTCTCCAGCATCAGCTCCCCGATCGGCGTGAGCCCTAAGAACCGCTCGCTCGCGACGAACGCGGCGGCGGAGCGCTTCAGAAACGCGTTGGACTCGTTTCGCATCTTCGCCCCGTCGAAGGCGCCCGCGATGGACTCGTACACCTCGTGCAGCGCGACGCACTGCTTCAGCGGCCGCAGCGCGTGCGCTTCTAACCGCATCGCGCACTTCATGAGCGCGCCGGCTCGGAGTTGGATCGACCTCGCGAACGCTTGCGGCAGCCCCGACTTGGCCGTCCCCGCGGCTTTCTCGTTGAGAAACATCTGCGTCGCCTGCAGCAGCGCGACGTCGCCCTCGCGCGATTCCCCCGTCGCCCGCGCGTCTCTGATCGCACCCTCCCATCGCTTCAACACCGCGTCGTACTTCTCGCGCATCTTCTTGTTCCTGAAGAATATCGCCTGATGCAGGAGCTTGTCGCTGAGCTCGACGACGCCGCGATCCTCCACCGCCTTCGCGGCGGATTTGTAGTGCGACTCCGCCTCCGCGATCTTCCCGAGCGCGGCCTCCGTCGCGCCGAGCCACGTGTACGCGTCGCCCAACGTCCCGTTGTTCTTCTCCACCTCGATCTGCATGAACTCAGGGGCGTCGCCGTCGAGCTGCTTCGCGAGGTGCACCGCGTGCTGGAAGTACCGCTCCGCGAGCGGAAGCGTGTCCGCGCCCTCGCGATGCAGCGCCGCGCCAGCTTGCATCACCCACTTGGACGCCTCGCGGCTCTTCCCCGCGACGCGGTTCCGTTCGCCGTGGCCCAAGCATTCGAGGAGGCGCTGGCGGTCGACCTTGTCCGGCGGCAGCGCCGTGATCGCGTGCGCGAGGCCCTCCATGGCGCCACCGCGAGTGTTCGATCGCCCGAGATCGCGCCTCGATATGTACCTACGCCCTTTAAGCCGCGAATTAGCGTGAATTGACGGAGCTTAAAGGGTTGAACCCTTCGGGTTCATTTCACCCTTAACTCTGTCGCATCAACGCTAATTCGCGGCTTAAAGGGCGTAGGCCTTCCCTATGAAAACCTAATTTGATAGGTGATTTTTGTATCAATTTTAGGGTTTTTGGAAACCTAAGTGATGCCTCCTCAAAACCAAAAATCACCCTTTTCTTGACCTCCCAAAACCATTCAAAAACCTCCCGACAGCTCTATAAGTATCACGAAACCTTACGGAAATCACGAAACTTTGGGGGCGTATCTGAAGCGTAGCGACCCAGAACCTCTAAGACCGCCGTAAGCCTCGCTGACGCAGAAATCACGGAACTTTGAGACCTCCCAAGGCCTTTCAAAAACCTCCCGACAGCTCACAAAAAGTATGCTGAAACCTTACGAAAATCACGAGACTTCGGGGGCGTATCTGGAGCGTAGCGACCCAGACCTCTACAAATCTCCGTGAACCTCGCTGACGCAAATATCACGGAACTCTGTAGCACCTCTTTAAGCCCTGCGAAGTGTTTTTGAGCTGTTGAAATACACCTCAAAATCACGGGAAATACTCTCAAATCGGGGGTCGCAAAACCAAAAATCGGGGGTTAGAAAATCACACGAAAATCGTCCAATTTCGGGGGTTAGAAAATCACACGAAATCACCTAAAAACGGGGGTCTCCAAATCACACGAAAAATCGCCTAAAAACGGGGGTCTTCTATGGGGCTTCTATACCTTCTGTGAGTCTTCTGTGAAACCCCATTTCATACCATCCACGAAACAAGCACAGAGGACGAGAGAAAGCCAGACCCAAATATCTATGTAGGGCTTTTTCAGCCCCTAAAGGGGGTCTGTTTTTGAGACAGGAGACGAGACCGCCAGACCTTAATGTTGGCTGTTGGCTTTTTTGTCCCCTAAAACAAAACTCTTTTTATTGTATAATCCGATTATTACTTTTCTACTTTTCTATTTTAAAGTATACATTCTCTACATACTCTTCAAGGGATATAGGAATGACGGAACTTTCTCGGTGTATAGTATTTTTCAAAGCCGTCAAAGACCATCATTTTTGGGTCTGCCTCGCCGATTCCCCGTGTTTTTGGTCTGCCCCGAAAATCCCCTCGAAAATCCCCCCAAATTAGGGTTCCCGACAGCTCACAAAAGTATGCCAAAACCTTACGGAAATCACGAGACTTCGGGGGCATATCTGGAGCGTAGCGACCCAGAACCTCTAAGACCGCCGTAAGCCTTGCTGACGCAAAAATCACGGAACTTTGAGACCTATAGTGAAGCGACAAAGTTCGGTCAAGTTCAGTCAAGCTCAGTCATTTTCGGGGAGGGTCAAGAGAAGTCCCGTCATTTTTTAGACCAATTTTAGACAGCAGACAGATAGACAGTTAGACAGGGGGTTCTAGAACTTTTTTATTTTTCTTAAACTGAACTACTGAACTTCAGTGTTCAGTTCTCTCTGGGTAGAAAACTTCTGATACAACTGTCTATCTGTCTATCTGTCTGCTGTCTCATTTTGGTTTCATTTTGGAAGGGACTGACCCCCATTTCCCCCAATTATCGCCTATTTTTTTGGAAATTATTGAACTTGACTGAACTTCCCCCCCGTCCCGACAGCTCACGAAAGCTTACGGAAATCACGAGACTTTCGGGGCGTATCTGGAGCGTAGCGACCCAGAACCTCTACAAATCTCCGTGAGCCTCGCTGACGCAGAAATCACGGAACTCTGTAGCACCTCTTTAAGCCCTCAAAAATACCAAAAAAGTTTGGCTATTTTTGAGACCAATTTCACGAAAATCAAGGCTATTTTTGAGACCTAAATCAGACCAATTTCACGGGGGGTCAAGGGCTTCTGTGGAGCGGAGCTTCTGTGGGGCTTCTGTAAATCTTCTGTGAGACCCCATTTCATACCATCCACGAAACAAGCACAGAGGACGAGGGAAAGCCAGACCCGAATAGCTATGTAGGTCTATTTTAGTCCCTAAAGGGGGTCTGTTTTTGAGACAGGGAGCGAGACCGCCAGGCCAAAATATCTATGTAGGTCTATTTTAGCCCCTAAAGGGGGTCTGTTTTTGAGACAGGGGACGAGACCGCCAGACCCCAATGTTGGTTATGTTGGCTGAAGGGTATGTTTTTTTTCTCTCTCACACTCCTCTATCCCGCATGCTATTTATATAAAAGGGATAAAATAGTCTACATAAGCTACATTCTCTACATAGGATATAGGAATGACGGAACTTTCTCGGTGTATACTATTTTTCAAAGCCGTAAAAGACCATCATTTTTGGTCTGCCTGGCCGATTCCCCGTGTTTTTGGTCTAGGGTCGCCTGACCCCCATTTTGCCCAAAAAATCGCCTGAAATCTGGAAATGACTGAACTTGACTGATCTCCCAAATTAGGAAAGCCCCGTAGTTTTCACTTACCCCCGCACACCGCCCAAGACGCGCGCTTGAAGTTGCGCCTCGGTCAAGTATCGTTTGAAAAAACGCGATGAATTATTTTGTTTGATCGATACATCGACCAACGCTGAAAGCAAAAAAGTTATTTTGACACCCTGGCTAGCTATCAAAGTGAAGATACACGTAGTCGTGAGAAAATCACACGAAAAGGAGGTTACACAATTTAACGCACGAACCCTAGTCGTTGCCCTTACCCCTCGGACAAACAAACGCGCCGCCGCTCGCCGCAGCCGCCGCCGCTCGTGTATACACCAACCCGGGTAGGTTAGATCGCGGATCGTATCCACGCCACGCGAACGCAAGTTCCCGCATCGCCGCTCACGCGCAGCGCAGACTGTTTGATCTCTCTGATTCCGTCGCGCGATCGCGCGGGGGATTTCGCATCTCACCACCACGAGCGCGGCACATCCACGAGGGACGCGTTTGCGAGAAACGTCTGAAGGAAGGATGGGGCGATCTCTGGCAGAGAGCACGCGCGACTGGGCGGGGGAACGCGCCGAGGTCGCCGTCGCGTCGGAAGACACCCCACTGCTGTCGGGAAGGGGGTCGAGATCGCGGCCGCACATTTCCCCCAAAAGATCGCCCCACCGCGGCCGCACCGCCTTCTCCCTCGCCGTCGTCACCCTCACTTCGTGTCTCGTATTGACCGTGTCCTCCCAGAACCTTGGGAGGTTCTTCGCGTCGTCGCTGCTCGGGAATAAAGACGCGGGCCCGGAAGTGGTCGAGACCGCGCACGAGAGCGTGCGTCGGATGGAGAACTGCGGCGATCACAACTCGTCGTGCTACGTCGGCGCCAACGCGCACGCCGTCTCCAAGGAGGATGCGAAAGCAGAGATGAAGTACGGCCAGCCCAAGGGGGGGTACAAACCCACGCCCGTGCGCGGGCAGACGCGGCTGGACGCGCTCGAGCCGCTGGACGTGATCCGCCCGTACCCCGGGGGACCGCCCCTGAACGCGAAGCAGATGCTCGGCTTCTTCAGGAACACGCGGCGGAGAGGGAAGGCGTACTCGCTGAAGTTTTACGAAAAAGACGGCGTCGTGCACTTCATCTACTCCAACGTCTGCGCCGACGAAAAACGATATCAACGGCGCGGGGCGCAGCGCAATCAACCGTGGCCGTCGTGGTGCAACCATGACTACGTCGGCACGTACTTCGCGCGGACCACCGACGCGGGTGACGAGGAATGGGTGCGCTGCACGAACAAAGTTCCCATGAACCTCAACCCTACACGGCATTGGGGTGTCGTTTATCCTTACACGATCGATATGTCGGAGGCATCGCTACGCGCAGGGTGGATCAGTTGCCCGGACATTTTGAAGGACCCGTACCGCGCGAAGGAGACGCTCCCAGAGGGCGCGGCATATCGGCGCGAAGATGGCTCCTGGGGCGTCGTCGGCGCGGACGCCGAGGATGACACCGTGCGCTCCCCCGCGGAGGTAAATCACGAGTATAAGTACAATATCCTCGGGCTGCCCGTGCGCGTTGGGGGAGGCCGGTGCTGGACGAAAATGCCGATCGCGGTAGGCGGCGCGAAGCTCGCGTGCGGCGACCAAGGGTACGACTACACCGACGCGGGCGGCAACCTTAGACGCTACGTGACCCCGACTTGGGAGAACGGCATGGAGTGGCGCCTGCTCACGCGCTCGCTCGAGGGCGAGAGCAACGCGTTTGAAAAGAACGCGGTTGAATTCCTGGATTTTGACGTTTCCCCGGCGTACCCTGGGGCGCTGTTTGTGGGCGGATTGGACGCGTTGTACGCCAGTTACGAGCAGAGCACGGACATTGAGGCGAAACCGCTGATAAACTCGGACAAACGCTACGATAAGGTTCGTCAACATTCCTACGTGCTCGGCGGCGTCAGCTACGTCATCATGTGGGAGCCCGGATGGGTCAATCCATATGAGCGCGGCTCAGCGAACGTCACGGCGCCGCCCCTCCCCGGGGTTTCGTCCAAGCGTCTCATCCTCGGGCGATGGCGCGAGCCGCAGCTGCCGTGGTCTACTCCGAGAAACTTTGCACCCACGGCGTATATCAAGGAGAAGCCGTCAGGGTACGAATGGGACGCGCCGAGCCTTCCGCGCCCGAACACGACGGCCGAAATCGGCGACGGCTTCACGGTCGCCGCGTACGTATGGATGCGCCACTTTCGGCCGGTATTTCAGAACGCATCGTCGCCGCCATCTACGAACGTGCTTGCCGCGGAAGAGGCGCAGTACAGACATGACACGAATGGACGGAAGTACGCCAGTCCCGTGTACAACGGGACAACTACGATCGACTGGGCGAACTATCACGTCGAGGTGAATGGAGCGACCGTCGGTAACATCCTGCACATGGGCGTAGAGTTCGACCCGGAAAAGGAGCCGCTGCCCTCCGCGATTGACCATCTGCCGCCCGGTGCCATTCCGGTCAAGGGCTTCTCGCTCTACGCGCACAGGGACGGCACACTCGTCCTCGCCGCGACGGACAAAGGGACGGGTAAAATGATTCCTACGCGGCCGTCGACGTCAGCAGCAGCCGTATCAACGGGCATGACGATTACGAGCGCGTTTGCGGACAACGAACCGACTGCTCTGACAATCGCCGCGCCCGCGCGGTTTGCGAAAATCTACACGCGCACGTTTTCCGACAGGACTTCGCTAAAAAATGCGGTCAAAGAGTGTGGCAACAAGGGCTGCGAAGATATGAACTCATGGGACGTGAGCAAGGTCACGGACATGTCCAATTTGTTTCATCGCATCAATCCTAAGGTCGACGACATCTCTGAGTGGAATGTGAGCAAGGTCACGAACATGCAGAGCATGTTCTCCTCCGCTTCCTCTTTCAACGGCGACATCTCCAAGTGGGACACGAGCAAGGTCACGAACATGCAGAGCATGTTCTCCTCCGCTTCCTCTTTCAACGGCGACATCTCCAAGTGGGACACGAGCAAGGTCACGAACATGCAGAGCATGTTCTTGTACGCCAAGGCTTTCAACGGCGACATCTCCAAGTGGGACACGAGCAAGGTCACGAACATGCAGAGCATGTTCTTCAACGCCGAGGCTTTCAACGGCGACATCTCCAAGTGGGACACGAGCAAGGTCACGAACATGCAGAGCATGTTCTACTCCGCTTCCTCTTTCAACGGCGACATCTCCAATTGGGACGTGAGCAAGGTCACGAACATGCAGAGAATGTTCTTCAACGCCAAGGCTTTCAACGGCGACATCTCCAAGTGGGACGTGAGCAAGGTCACCAACATGGGGACAATGTTCAGTAGAGCCAAGGCTTTCAACGGCGACATCTCCAAATGGGACGTGAGCAAGGTCACTACAATGACATATTTATTCAGCAGCTCGAATTTCGACCAAGACTTATCGAATTGGAATCTTTGCAAGCTGACGAAAAAATCCATGCTTTCTTATCAACTCTCGCGATTTAAAGCGGGCATATCAAATTTGAAGGAGGAGCACAAGCCCCGTCTCGGTCATTGCGTTATGTCAACATTTTCCAACGGTGATATGCTCCGTCTCGCCGTTAAATCGTGTCTCGCCAAAGACTCGGTGAAGGGCTGCGAGAATATGAACTCCTGGGATGTGAGCAAGGTCACCGACATGTATCAAATGTTCTATGGTGCCTCTGCTTTCAATGGCGACATCTCCAATTGGGACGTGAGCAGCGTCACGAACATGAGAAACATGTTCTTCGGCGCTTCCTCATTCAACGGCGACATCTCCAAGTGGGACGTGAGCAAGGTAACCAACATGGAGAGAATGTTTTATGGCGCTCGGACTTTCAACGGCGACATCTCCAAGTGGGACGTGAGCAAGGTCACCAACATGGGGGACATGTTCAACGGCGCCAAGAAATTCAAGCAAGACCTCTCCGATTGGGTCATGTGCAACGACGACGGCACGCTCACGCTAAGGAACCGTATGTTTGCCAATGGCGTCATGCCGGAGTCGTACAAACCGCGTCCGCTCGTGAGCTCGTGCGCGAAATCGGACGCTTCTGTGGGCTTGTGCAAGACAAAACAATCGATCGACTCGGAGACCTGGCACTCCCTCGTCGTCGCGGTCTCGGCCACCTCGGTGGACTTGTACGTCGGCGGCGAAAAGATGTGCACGGTGGAGACGCCGAACGGGTCTTACTTTGACGGGACCGAAGACATACCCGTGTATACGCAGTGCCGCGGGAACGAGTGCCGTGGGGGCGGCGACAAATCACGGAGCCTCGCCGCCCCGCACTTGCCCGCCGCGGCGGTCACCGACGTGTACGACATGCGCGTTCAGTTTGGAGCTGCGTCGATCGATCCCGCCGATCTCGTGGCGGCTATCGCCGCGCGAGCCGCGTTCGAGCCGCCCAACCCGGACGCGTGGAAGGCTCGCTGTCTGCCGGACGGGTGCGAAGAGCCGAACATGTTCGTGAACCACGTCCCGATTCCCCAGGGCAGATGGACTCGCATACCGGATCCTCGCTCGTTGAAGCTCTACGGATGCAAAGACGGCTCTTGCGCAGACCCTCACTGGTGTTGCGAGGGAAAGCACCTCGGTTGGAGAGGCGGACGGGATAAATTCGGGTATCCCAATTGCGCTAAACGCAAATCCATCAACCCTATCACGAAGAAGTACGACATCTGCTGCGACGGCCTCGAGCGCGAGTATGATCCCAAGAGGTACACCTCGAAGAGCGAGTTCGACGACATCAAAGCGAAACGAGCTCATATGGTCGCGAGCGGCGATTGCGCGGTGGACGCACCGGCTGGGTGCTTATCCCAAATACATGAAGGGTTCGCCGGCGCGTGTCCTTTGCAAGACACAAAGGCTCTGAGGTGGGGAAACAAACATACGAAGGGCGGGCAGTCCGGGTGGGGAGGCGGCTCGGAGTGGTCGACCTCAGGGGAAGACATAACCGCGTCGTCGTACACCGATTTCAAAGTCACCGCGGACGGAAACATCCACTTCGCCTCTGGGGACGACGATAAGCACCATATTCCGTGGGATTACGACGGGATGTTCGCTATCCTCAGAGGCAAAACCGCAACGTGCGAGCTGACCGGGTTGTGCGGCGAGGATTTCGATAAGCGATCCTACGCCGGCCGCTTCGAACTCGACGACGCCGGGTCGATACCGAAGTGGCGGTCGCGAGACGTCATACACGGCGCCAGAATCTACAAGACAGGCGACCACGAGGACATCGTCATCCTTCACCCGAACAAGGTTTGGTTAACAGACCGAAATGGATGGGCGTTTGATCGAGAGACGGACAGGGGCAAACCGTATTCGTTCCGAAGCTGGCGCAAGGAAACCAAACACAAACCGGGCGCGTGGGTGGGAAGGGACGGCGTCGACGACGCCGAGAACCCCATCGGACAGTATGCCATGCTCAGTGGAAGGAGCGTCACGCATTACGGCGTCGCCGCCAAGGGGTGGGGGTTCGCGCATCGGCGGTTCATCGACGGTTCCAACACGTTGCAAAGCCCGTACATGGACCTAGCGACGTCCCAGGCGAAGTCCCCGTGGTTGTGCTCGGACATCCTTGGAGACATGTTCTCGCCTGACGGCGGGTACACGTATTACGCGGTGATGCAGATCGGGTACAACCCAGCGACGGAACCGGCGTGGCGGTGCCTAGACGAGGCTGGGGAGGGGGCGGACACCACGCACACGTACGAGATCTTCGGTATCCGCCGGCTCGTCACGGACGAGTGCAAGCCGCTCACGTCGCCAGCGACGCACTACGGGTTCGCCTCGTATCTTGGCAACATGTACGGGGTGGACACCAAAGTGACGAGCGCGGTGTCTCGGCGCGACGGCGATTTCCTCCTCGGCGGGCAAATGGGCGCCCTAAACGCGCTCGGGTCGAACACGTCTTTGGCTCACACGGATTTGACCGAGGAGGCGTCTGGGTGCGCGGACACGAAGAATCCCATGCCTGGAATTTTCAACGAATCGACTGGGCATCAGTGCATGGCGCAAATCTTAACACTCGAGGGCGCTGGGTGTGGATACGACGGCGCCCCCGAGCTCTCGTGCGGCTCGCCCAAGTCCGTGTCCTACGTCGGAAGCAACGCCACGGAGCACATGCGCATATCGAACGAAACCGGGACGCTGATCATCGCCGGCCCAGACGGTGTCCTCGGTTTGAACCACGAAGCGAACGCCGTGCTGTGGAACGCGTGCGCAAAGTGCGACGGTGGCGTTTCGAACCCCAAATGCGCGCCTTTATGCGGTTTACATCCGGGTAAGATCCGCGTGGCCATCGGACCGAGAGGCCGAGTCGCGGCCGTGCTCGCGTTCGGAAGCGAACCTTGCCTCGTCAACAATGGTCACATAGTGTGCCCCGCCCGGACATCTCCTACGCTCGTCGTCGTCTTGGACGTGATCGGTGGTGGGAACGAAATGGCTCGCCTCGAGGTGGATCATTTCAAGCAGGAAGGGAAGGTAGGGGATGATTTCCCGCTCGATGTCGCCGTCTCCGACGTCGACGGATTGAATTCGGGGGTGTACGTCGGTGGATTCAAACAAGCGATGGTGCATCACACGCCACCAGCGCCGGAAGCGCCGTACGATCGGCTCACGCGAATCGCGTTCTTGCGCAAGTTCGACGCAAACGTTCGCGCGGGCGAACGCGCGGAGTATGCTTTGAGATGGAGCACGTGGGACTACGCGGGGTCGGACCTGGACGAGCGCGACGGCTCGGACACGCAAATCACGCAGATGGTATTGGATCGCTCCGGCCGCCTCGTCGTCGGCGGCGAGACGAACGGCTTCGAGAAAGAATCCCTCCACTTATGCCTTCCTGGTTCACATGCTCAGATCATCACCGCACACACCGTGTTTATTCACGACGGCTCTAAACAGCTCGGCTCTCACGTCGTCGCTAACCGAATCTCGAAGCGGCCGAAAGAAACATTCAGGGGCACAAACCCTAACTCTGACCTCGGCGGGCTCGTCGACCAGCTCCACGCCAAGGTGGCGTACGTCGCGATCGTGGACCCCGTCCTCGGCGTCGTCCTCAAAGGGCAGTTTCTCATGTCGTCGCCGATTGGAGGCATGCTGGCTTGTCCGGACTACTCAAAGACCGCAGCCCCATATTACGCGGTTTACGGCGTCACGCTCAAGGCGCTCGACGTCGATGGCAAGGGGAACATCGTTTTCGGTGGCGAGATGCCCGCCGGCGCGATAAAAGACTTAGCTGTTCTAAAAACGAACAACCGCTTGAACAACAGAGATTTTGAAGGCTCCGATAAGATGGCGTCGAAACCGTACATTGCTATCATGGATCCTAATTTGATCACCCGCCCGAAGTGGACGTACGTCCCCGGGAAGGCGTCAGGCAAGGTGACTGGCATCGCCGGCGGCGTGTACTGCCCCGATGACGTCTACCACTTTGGCGCGTGCACGTCCGCGTTGCTCGTGGAACAGCCTCCGTCGGAGATCGATTTTGGGAAATCTGGCGCATTTTATACCACCGCGAACGCGCTGCAGGTGCGTTCTATACACTGGTCCCCATACGACCGCGTTGGCGTGGTGAACGCCGTTCCTTAAGGACTTTCCCCGTCTCATCTCTCCGCCCAACCCTCGCTTTCAACATTTGACCTCGACGTTTTTCAACTCCACCCCGACATCGCCCTAGGTTTGGGGCTAGAACTCGAAATACGGAAACAAGTGCCCGATGAAACGTAGCGGCGATGAAGTCACGGATTTCGCTACGGGTCGTGATTGCGAAAAGTCGGACGCGTACGCGGTGCTGTTCCGAGGTCCTTCGCAATTGGCTAGCTTCGAGGTCTGCAACCCTCTCGATTTCAAAGAGCCCCCCGTGAAGCTGTTGTGGGCGCACATGAACATGGCGGGCACCGCGGTCGACCTCTTGTTCGACGTCGACACCGACCGCGGCGAGACCGCTGGGCTCACCCTCGGAGGCGCGTACTCTTGCGATAAACTCTTCCTTCGCGAAAGCGCGGTCGTGTTAGGCGAAGGGTGCATAGGCGCGTTCATCGACAAACGCTTCGTCCGATTGTATCTGGTCGTCGGCGAACACAACGTCACCGAGTCGAGCGACGGCGTGTCCGACGGAACGACGCTCAGCCTGCGCGGCGGCGTCGTATATCACGACCGCTTCAGAGAACGAGGAAACAGCTCCACCGCCTCTGTCGTGGTGACAAGACGTGCGGGAGAGCCCATCGCGGTCGTCGCGGATGTGACTACCTCCAAAGGTTCTTATGCGTTCCCTCCGTCGTCAGGGAACCATTCCACGATCAAATACACCGGGAGATTCGCTGGTCGGTACTACTCAGACAGAAATCCATACGATCTTCCATGGACGTCACCGGTGATAGTAAACCAACAGAAACTGTTCAACGAGCAATGCTACCACCCTGAGAAAACTGCGTACGACGACAAAATCGTGCTCCACGCGGATCGTTCCACCGGCGCGATCGGGGATGTTCCTTTGCGATTCAAGTGGAGCCTGAAACCCGAATCTGTGAGAAGAAGTGTCTGGACGGATCCTAAGTGCAATCCCGCAACTACTAATTATTGTCCGCACGTTTACATCAAACCGCAGACCGAGCAGGAGAAGGAGTCGGTGAGGAAATTGGAGGCATTTGTGTCTTCGCAACCTCGCAAACATACGCTGCGAATCCCACGAGAATTCTTCCTTGCAGATTGCCCTTGGGCTTGGGAGTACATTTTCAACGTCGTCGCGTACAACAAAGAAGGTCACGACGTGGATCGCGGCGCGGTCGACCCTTATACCGGTCAACTTGTGCACGATCCTCACGCGGACACCGCAACGGCGACTATAAATATCTTCCCAGGTGGTTCGTGCGATGAAAGAAGTGTGCCATCATCGCCGAAGCTTGTTTTCAGGTATGGGCCTCACAATCCTCACAGCATAGCAATAGATTCTCCGCCCGCGATCTTCACCCCCGCGTCATTGCGCAAATCATTTACTCAGTTGGCACTCGTGCGCGAATGGACGTACGACCGCCGATGGAAATACTCCGACCTCCCCGAGTGCAATCCCCCAGTGTCGGTGACGTGGGCGGTGAAGCCAGAGTACAACTCCGAAATGTACGCTACGTTCCCCAAGTCCCGCGTCGCGGGATGGCCCACCCCTACGGGATTGCACCCTGAAGTCGTCGCGCAGGAGGCAAAGCTGCAGAAAATCGTCGCTGCGACGCGGGGGATGGTGTCCGGCCGCCTATCACGGACACTTTTCTTCGCCGCCCGGCAGTACCACTTCACTTCAAACTACTCGATATTTTTCAACGACACGTGGCACAACGACACGGTGTATGACGTGCACGGCTTCCCAGGGCGTGTCATGCGAGCGGGTTATGCGGGTATAAAATCGATCATCGTCGGTGGCATGGGCGGAGACCCCATGACGGACTACTTCAAGCCAATCGACGCGAACGGCGGTGATTTTTCGTACTCACCCGTAACGTTCGACGCGTCTTCGTTGTATCCTTCGGTCTCGCGTGCGAACACCGGTGCTTTCATCGTCGATAAAACCGAGGAGGTGAACGTCACGACCGCGCCTTTGCGATTCGTCGATCCGGACTGGCGAACGGACACCCACGCGCTCAGACACGACTGGACGTGCGAGGATTTACTCGCGGACCGCCCGACGTGCCACCTCCGCGGCATGACGAAGAAACTCAAGGACATGTATGGAATATTCGTGGTCGACGACATACCCAGTGGGAGCCCGCTGACGTTGCCACCAAACACGATGGGACCGAATTCGGCGTACACGTTCACGATGCTGACGTCCAAGACTCACCGCTCGTCGAGAGGGCCTGATAAGGTTCAGCTCGTGACGGGGAACAACACGTGCCCGAGCGCGAACATCGAGCCGACGCCGAAGTCGATCAACCATCAATTCTTGTTTCGGATCTACGGCGACGGAGTAAGCGCTTTAGGCCGCGTGCAGTTCAGGTGGAGCATCGTGGACACGAGCCCGGCGACCGCGACGACGCTCGCCGTTCCCGTGTACACGCACTGGCAAGACAAGGGGTACATGTCGATCGTCAAAAATACGATGAACCCCGGCCGCGAGTACACGCTCACGCTGACCACGCGCGTCGCCGGCGTGGATAACGGATGCGAAGGACAATCGGAGAGAATCCTGGTGACGAACGCGCCGCCTCGGTCCGTGGGCGAAGGCGTCGTCGTCGAACCCGCGATCGACGGGATTGAATTTGAAACTAAATTCTCCGTCGATTGCGGCGAATGGGTCGACGCGGATAAAACGCTCGAGTATCGCCTCGCGTACTGGTACGACTACGACGTCTTCGCCCCGCGTTGGATGTGGCTCACAGAGCTTCAGGAAGGTCACGCTGTTTTCGAAGACGTCTTGCTCCCTCACAATCGACGCGCTGGTGGACGCACGAAGATTCGATGCGTCGCGTTCGACGACGAGGGCGCGTTCGGAACCTCGGTCACCACCGTGAAGGTCGCCGCGCACGCGAACATCTCCGCGGCGGTCGACGACGTATTCGTCATCGGTTCGCACCTCGAGCACCTCCACGTCTTCCCGGCCGCGTTGCGTAGGCTGCAGGAAGTGGATAAGCTGCGACACGCGGTGGCGGCGCAACGGCGCCGCCGCGCGCTCTTGGGCGAGAACATCGAACCGTCGTCGCCGTCCCCTCCTAGTCCGTCCGTGGGGACCGAGTTGAAAAAGGCGCTAGACGTCGTTCGAGGCGTCCTGGCGAGGTGCAACGGCGGCATCTCCGAGGACATCATCGAGACGGTGCTCGAGCTATCAGACACGTACCTCACGACGAGCTGTGAATTCGCGTCGTTCGACCCCGGCCGAGCGTCGAGAGACGTCCCGATCCAAGCGCTCTTGCCCGTCGTCACTCGCGTCGCGCACGACTGGCCTGTCGAGCAACGAAAGTACGCCGCAGCGGCGTCGCGCGTGAACATCAACGCGAGTCCAGAGTCGAACGCGGAGAGCGACGAAGACTGGGCTCGCCTCGCCTCGGCGTACGCCGCCGCGGCGCGTCTCGTGTCCCACCGGAGTTCCGGCGTCGACTCGGTGAAGATGCTGCGTGGCGCCGCCGCCGCGGCTGTCGCAAACGAAGAAACGTGCGACGCGCCTGTCACGACGCGAACGATCGCCATGCGCGGCGGGGGCGGTGGGAAGCGTAGGACGCTGTATTCCCGCGCGACCTTTTCAGGCACCGTCGCGGCGTACAACGAAAAGCTCTCCGGGGGCGCGTCGGAGTCGTCGTCCGAGTGGCCGAGCCACATTCCGACGTTCAGCGTTTCCGGTGCCTTTCGTTCGACGCGCGACAACGAAGCCGGCGCGGCGCCGACTATCATCAAATCCGACGAGTGCGTCACGTTCAGCGTCGGCGCGATTCCGTCGAGGGCGTTCGAGACCGCCGACGTCGACGTCATCATCGTGAGCCCGGTCGTCGCCGTCATACACGTGGTGGATCAGTTCCTCGGTCAACTGAGCGATCTAAATCCTCACGGGGTACGAGACGTCGTCGCGACCGCGCGACTCGCGTTCCACGGAGGGCGCTTCCTTCGAAACGAGAAAGTGTTCGTCGCGAAGAACGCCACGTCAATCCGCTCGCGCATGTACTGCGCGCACATGCGAACGACCGCGACGGACGGCTCGGACGTCGCCGTCGAGTCGCCTGCGTTTACCGGCGGCGTTTCCGTCGCCGCTCCCGCGTGCGTGCTTCTCGACGCCGTCGAAGGGTACGATTACGATTGCGTTTGCGACCAAGTCGGAGCCGTCGCGCTAGCGGTGGCCGGGCCGTTCGACGAATCCGAGTGGACCGTTCACGAGTGCGAAGGCGACCAGTGCGCGACGTGCTTCGACGGCGTGCGAAACGGAGACGAGGAAGGCGTCGACTGCGGCGGCGCGTGGTGCGGCACCTGTTCGAATGCTGAGCAGAGTCGAGTCCTCGACGCGGGGCCGTGCGCGAACATTCGCGCAGGAGAGGACGACGAGCAACCGACCGTTTCGAACCCGCGCTCGCTCGTCGATTCGAGACGCGCGAGTCTCGACGAAGTTGATGAGACGTCGGTCACGACGACGTACGTGATCACGGGCATGTCTGCGGCGAAGGCGGATGCGCAGTTGAATTTTGTAGAAAACGTCGTGAAGTCGCGCCTGAGCCGAGGGATTAAATTCCATTCGATCGCGCCGTCGCGCGTCTCCGCGGAGATGAGCGAGGACGGCACGTCCGCGACGCTCGTCTTGAAGTTCATTGGTTTCGTCGGGAAGGACCCGAGAGGCGTGAAGAGGTTTTCGCAAATGTCCGCGGGACCGCGGACGATGAGGGCGGTGAACGTGATCATGAAAAAGCGCGGGACGCTCGTCGTCGCCGCGAATTACAAAACCGATTCCGTCATCTCGTGGAGCGACGGGCACGCGAAGGCGCTCAAAGGACGAATCGGGGGGTTGATTAGAAAGGCGAAATCGGCCGCCGCGGCCGGCAACCAAGCCGCGCGAGCCAAGTTTGCCCGCGGGATCGGGTACTTCAAAGCGCTCCTAAACGAACCGCCGCGCGCGGTGAACGAGACGGTTTCATCGAGCGCGGCGTCTGGAAGATCGAACGCCGCGACGGAGTCCAGAGAAGACCATTTGTTCCGCCTGCAATATCCGTCGCCGCCACCTCATCCTCCACCCCTACCTCCGGCTGCACCGCCGCCGGCGCCTCCGCCGCCTTCTCCGCCTCCGCCGCCCCCGGCGAGGAAATTTCATAACAAGGCTGAGCTCATCGCCGCCATCAAGGAATGCAGGGACGAATGCGCCGCCGCCGATATTAACCGATGGGACGTCACCGCAGTGACGGACATGAGCGATTTGTTTATTCGTAACGGAAATTTCAACGGCGACATCTCCGGGTGGGACACGAGTAAGGTCACGAGGATGAGGAACATGTTCTACTACGCCAAGGCTTTCAACGGCGACATCTCCAAGTGGGACGTGAGCAAGGTCATCCACATGGAGAGAATGTTCTCCAACGCCGAGGCTTTCAACGGCGACATCTCCGGCTGGGACGTGAGCAAGGTCACCAACATGGGGGAGATGTTCAAAGGCGCCAAGGCTTTCAACGGCAATATCTCCAAGTGGGACGTGAGCAAGGTCACGAAAATGAAGAGCATGTTCAACGGCGCTTCCTCATTCAACGGCGACATCTCCAAGTGGGACGTGAGCAAGGTCCCCAACATGGGGGAGATGTTCAAAGGCGCCAAGGCTTTCAACGGTGACATCTCCAAGTGGGACGTGAGCAAGGTCACAAACATGTACAACATGTTCCTGTTCGCTTTCGCTTTCAACGGTGACATCTCCAAGTGGGACACGAGCAAGGTCACGGTCATGGGGGGCATGTTCTACCACGCCAAGGCTTTCAACGGCGACATCTCCAAGTGGGACGTGAGCAAGGTCACGAACATGGTGAGCATGTTCTTGGCGCCTGCTTTCAACGGCGACATCTCCAAGTGGGACGTGAGCAAGGTCACGAACATGAGGATGATGTTCATGAGCGCTTCCTCTTTCAACGGCGACATCTCCAAGTGGGACACGAGCAAGGTCACGAACATGCAGAGCATGTTCTTGTACGCCAAGGCTTTCAACGGCGACATCTCCAAGTGGGACACGAGCAAGGTCACGAACATGCAGAGCATGTTCTTCAACGCCAAGGCTTTCAACGGCGACATCTCCAAGTGGGACACGAGCAAGGTCACGAACATGCAGAGCATGTTCTACTCCGCTTCCTCTTTCAACGGCGACATCTCCAATTGGGACGTGAGCAAGGTCACGAAGATGCAGAGAATGTTCTTCAACGCCAAGGCTTTCAACGGCGACATCTCCAAGTGGGACACGAGCAAGGTCACGGACACGGCGTACATGTTTTATGGCGCTCGGACTTTCAACGGCGACATCTCGCGCTGGAATCTCTGCACCGTGAGGTCTAGTGATAAGATGTTCCATATGACAGCGCTTTCCGAGGATCACAAGGCGCATCCAGGAGAGTGTGAACTATGACGCAGATCGTGACAGAGATCGCCCCATCCTTCCTTCAGACGTTTCTCGCAAACGCGTCCCTCGTGGATGTGCCGCGCTCGTGGTGGTGAGATGCGAAATCCCCCGCGCGATCGCGCGACGGAATCAGAGAGATCAAACAGTCTGCGCTGCGCGTGAGCGGCGATGCGGGAACTTGCGTTCGCGTGGCGTGGATACGATCCGTGATCTACCCTACCCGGGTTGGTGTATACACGAGCGGCGGCTGCGGGGAGCGGCGGCGCGTTTGTTTGTCCGAGGGGTAAGGGCAACGACTAGGGTTCGTGCGCTAAATTGTGTAACCTCCTTTTCGTGTGATTTTCTCACGACTACGTGTATCTTCACTTTGATAGCTAGCCAGGGTGTCAAAATAACTTTTTTGCTTTCAGCGTTGGTCGATGTATCGATCAAACAAAATAATTCATCGCGTTTTTTCAAACGATACTTGACCGAGGCGCAACTTCAAGCGCGCGTCTTGGGCGGTGTGCGGGGGTAAGTGAAAACTACGGGGCTTTCCTAATTTGGGAGATCAGTCAAGTTCAGTCATTTCCAGATTTCAGGCGATTTTTTGGGCAAAATGGGGGTCAGGCGACCCTAGACCAAAAACACGGGGAATCGGCCAGGCAGACCAAAAATGATGGTCTTTTACGGCTTTGAAAAATAGTATACACCGAGAAAGTTCCGTCATTCCTATATCCTATGTAGAGAATGTAGCTTATGTAGACTATTTTATCCCTTTTATATAAATAGCATGCGGGATAGAGGAGTGTGAGAGAGAAAAAAAACATACCCTTCAGCCAACATAACCAACATTGGGGTCTGGCGGTCTCGTCCCCTGTCTCAAAAACAGACCCCCTTTAGGGGCTAAAATAGACCTACATAGATATTTTGGCCTGGCGGTCTCGCTCCCTGTCTCAAAAACAGACCCCCTTTAGGGACTAAAATAGACCTACATAGCTATTCGGGTCTGGCTTTCCCTCGTCCTCTGTGCTTGTTTCGTGGATGGTATGAAATGGGGTCTCACAGAAGATTTACAGAAGCCCCACAGAAGCTCCGCTCCACAGAAGCCCTTGACCCCCCGTGAAATTGGTCTGATTTAGGTCTCAAAAATAGCCTTGATTTTCGTGAAATTGGTCTCAAAAATAGCCAAACTTTTTTGGTATTTTTGAGGGCTTAAAGAGGTGCTACAGAGTTCCGTGATTTCTGCGTCAGCGAGGCTCACGGAGATTTGTAGAGGTTCTGGGTCGCTACGCTCCAGATACGCCCCGAAAGTCTCGTGATTTCCGTAAGCTTTCGTGAGCTGTCGGGACGGGGGGGAAGTTCAGTCAAGTTCAATAATTTCCAAAAAAATAGGCGATAATTGGGGGAAATGGGGGTCAGTCCCTTCCAAAATGAAACCAAAATGAGACAGCAGACAGATAGACAGATAGACAGTTGTATCAGAAGTTTTCTACCCAGAGAGAACTGAACACTGAAGTTCAGTAGTTCAGTTTAAGAAAAATAAAAAAGTTCTAGAACCCCCTGTCTAACTGTCTATCTGTCTGCTGTCTAAAATTGGTCTAAAAAATGACGGGACTTCTCTTGACCCTCCCCGAAAATGACTGAGCTTGACTGAACTTGACCGAACTTTGTCGCTTCACTATAGGTCTCAAAGTTCCGTGATTTTTGCGTCAGCAAGGCTTACGGCGGTCTTAGAGGTTCTGGGTCGCTACGCTCCAGATATGCCCCCGAAGTCTCGTGATTTCCGTAAGGTTTTGGCATACTTTTGTGAGCTGTCGGGAACCCTAATTTGGGGGGATTTTCGAGGGGATTTTCGGGGCAGACCAAAAACACGGGGAATCGGCGAGGCAGACCCAAAAATGATGGTCTTTGACGGCTTTGAAAAATACTATACACCGAGAAAGTTCCGTCATTCCTATATCCCTTGAAGAGTATGTAGAGAATGTATACTTTAAAATAGAAAAGTAGAAAAGTAATAATCGGATTATACAATAAAAAGAGTTTTGTTTTAGGGGACAAAAAAGCCAACAGCCAACATTAAGGTCTGGCGGTCTCGTCTCCTGTCTCAAAAACAGACCCCCTTTAGGGGCTGAAAAAGCCCTACATAGATATTTGGGTCTGGCTTTCTCTCGTCCTCTGTGCTTGTTTCGTGGATGGTATGAAATGGGGTTTCACAGAAGACTCACAGAAGGTATAGAAGCCCCATAGAAGACCCCCGTTTTTAGGCGATTTTTCGTGTGATTTGGAGACCCCCGTTTTTAGGTGATTTCGTGTGATTTTCTAACCCCCGAAATTGGACGATTTTCGTGTGATTTTCTAACCCCCGATTTTTGGTTTTGCGACCCCCGATTTGAGAGTATTTCCCGTGATTTTGAGGTGTATTTCAACAGCTCAAAAACACTTCGCAGGGCTTAAAGAGGTGCTACAGAGTTCCGTGATATTTGCGTCAGCGAGGTTCACGGAGATTTGTAGAGGTCTGGGTCGCTACGCTCCAGATACGCCCCCGAAGTCTCGTGATTTTCGTAAGGTTTCAGCATACTTTTTGTGAGCTGTCGGGAGGTTTTTGAAAGGCCTTGGGAGGTCTCAAAGTTCCGTGATTTCTGCGTCAGCGAGGCTTACGGCGGTCTTAGAGGTTCTGGGTCGCTACGCTTCAGATACGCCCCCAAAGTTTCGTGATTTCCGTAAGGTTTCGTGATACTTATAGAGCTGTCGGGAGGTTTTTGAATGGTTTTGGGAGGTCAAGAAAAGGGTGATTTTTGGTTTTGAGGAGGCATCACTTAGGTTTCCAAAAACCCTAAAATTGATACAAAAATCACCTATCAAATTAGGTTTTCATAGGGAAGGCCTACGCCCTTTAAGCCGCGAATTAGCGTTGATGCGACAGAGTTAAGGGTGAAATGAACCCGAAGGGTTCAACCCTTTAAGCTCCGTCAATTCACGCTAATTCGCGGCTTAAAGGGCGTAGGCACTGTACAAGTTCCGCGGATCGACGCGCGCGCCCGCTCGACGCGCCTCGATGCGTTCAGCGCGGCTGGCTGGGAGGCGTTTCGAAGCGTTCGGTCGTGACGTCGTCTCGTCTGCGCGTCGTCCTTTCAAATTCGAGCGTCGCTCGAGCGGTACTATCGTTCGTTCTACAGGAAGCATCCTCGCGTCGTCGTCCTCCTCGTCCTCCTCGTCGTCGTCACGCGGTCCCGTAGCGCGCACTAAACTCGCCGAGCGGCGTCATCGTCGCCCAGTCGCGTCCGACGCTCACCTTCACCGGCGTCGGCACCGATACCTTCGCCGCCCTCTCCATGCACACCTTCGCGAGCGCCGCGACGCGGTTGACGCACTCCCTCGCGTCGTCGCACTCGAACAGGAGCTCGTCGTGTATCTGCGCGATCAGACGCGCGCGCGTCGGGTCCGCTTTCCCTCGAACGTCCGCGTGCGCGTCGCCCTCGGCGCCACCCGGCGAAATCGCAGACGCCGACGCCGACGCCGCCGGCGCCGGCGAAATCGCGGCGAACCACCGCGCCATCGCGGTCTTCATCATGTCCGCGGCGGTCCCCTGCACGAGCGTGTTCATCGCCTTGCGTTCCGCCTCCGCGCGCGCGCTCGCGGCGGCGGCGTCGATCCCGGGAAGCGGCCGGTGCCGCCCGCTCGGGAGCTCCGCCGACTTGGTCGCCCTCGCGCGTTCCTTGGTCGCGACGACGAAACGCTTCAATCCGGGGAACGTTCGGAACAGCGCGTCGATCAGACCCTTCGCGGCGTCGGTCGAGCACGCCAGCTTCTCCGCGAGCCCGGCGACGCCTTGGCCGTACAACACGCCGTACACCGTGCGCTTCGCCTTGTCGCGGTCCTCGGCGCTCACGGGCGCGTCGCGCGGCGCGTCGCGGCTGAGGTTCCAAATCATCTTGAAAACGTCGCCGCCGTCGCCGGCGACGCGCAAGACGCCGCACAGTTTCTCGTCGCGCGTGAGGTGCGCGAGCGTTCGGAGTTCGATCTGGGAGTAGTCCACGGCGAGGAGGACCTTCCCCGGGGGCGCGACGAACGCGGCGCGGAGGTTGAACGTCGCGAGTTCCTCCTCGCCGGCGCCGGCGGAGTGCTCGGCTCTTCCGACAGCCTGGAGGTTCGGGTTCGAGGACGACAGCCGCCCGGTCGCGGTCCTCGTGTTGTTCCACTCGCACCGTAACCGTCCATCGGCGTCCGTTAACGACGCGTACGCGTTACACATCGCGACCGCGCGAGTCACCGCGCGGTATCTCAACACCATCCCCGGCAGCGGATGCGCGTTGGGCCGAGACGCGAAATCGCGCAAGACGTCGTCCTTCGTCGTGAGCTGCGCCGTCTTCGCGCCCTGCATCGCGTTCGACGACGGCGGCGGGAACCCGAGGAAGCCGTACAGCACGTCCGCGACCTGCTGCGGACTACTCAGGTTGAGAGGCTGACCGCGCCCGGGCAACGACCGCGACGCCTCGGCCTCTATCGACGACAGCTCGCGTCTCAACCCGACCGCGGCGGCTTCCACGACGGAGGCGTCGAACGGAAGCCCTATCGACTCCAACGTCCCGAGACCGGCGGCGATCGCGCCCTCCAGCGCGACGACGCGCGCGAGCCCTCGCACGCGCTCGTGCGCTTTCAGACGCTGCGTGAGACGCGCGGCGGCGAGGAGGTCGAGACGGAGACGCTCGAGCGGCCGATCCGTCGCCGTCGCCGTCGCCGCCGCGCCGCCGCCGCCGCCGTCGTCGCCGCCGCCGAATTCGCGCGTCAACGCGTCGATCCCGCCGTCGTGCGCGTCTTCCGGGCTCGCGAGCCACGCCATGATCCGCGGGTCGAGCACGCACGCGACGGAAGCGTCGAACGCGACCTCTGAGTCGCGCGTCAGAGAGAGCCACCGAACCACCGCCTGCGCGTGAAGCGCGACGGTTTGTTTCCCGCAGCACAACGCGCGGATCAACGCGGAGAGAAGCGCGTCGTCCGCGCCGTCCGCGCCGCCGGGCCCCGCGGGGAAGAACCACAGCGAATCGTCCGCGCCTCGGCCGAGGAGGACGACGCCGAACCCGACAGCCTCGGCGCGAGCGCTCGTCGCGGCGCCGCCGACGCCGCCGTTTTTCGTCGCTCTCTTCGCCGCCGCGACGTCCGCGGCGGCGGCGGTGCGGAGCGAACTTTTGAACCCAAACTTGGCGTTTCCGACGACGTCTCGAAGGAGGACGCCGACCGCGCACGCGGGCGCGCGCGCGTGCGTCTCGAGGAACGTCGTCAGGACGTTCGCGTCCGCGACGCGCTTGATCTTCCCGCCAAACTTCAGGAACGCTTTCGTCGCCGTCGACGGCGTCGCCGTCGCCGGCGGCGGCGCCGCCGCCGCCGGCGCCGGCGTCGCCCACCGCGACTCCGCCGCGCGTTTCCTCGCCTTCGCCGCCGCGCTCTCCGTCTCCGTCGCTTCATCGTCATCGTCGTCGTCTTCGCACCCCCTCGCTCCGCCGCCGCCGAAGACTTGCGACAGCGTGACCTGGTTCTTATCCATCGTCGCCTTCGCCTTCCGCTTCGTCCCCGCCGCCCTGGCCTTCGCCGGCGGCGGCTCCTCCACGTTTTCCTTCTCCGGGACGACGTACCGCAGCGTCGGCCGCGGCGGGAGCTCGTCCACGCCGTCGCCGTCGCCGTCGCCGTCGCCGTCGCCGTCGCCGTCGCCGTCGCCGTCGCCGTCGCCGTCGCCGTCGCCGTCGCCGCTGCCCTGCGACGTCTCTTCGCTGCGCCCGAACAGGTGGTCGAGCTCGTCTTGAAGCGGCTTGGGGTGCTTCGGGCGTCGTCGTAGCTCGGTCGCGCGATCGTTGTCGTTCGGTGGTCGAGGCCGCTCCCCGCGCGGCGGCGACCGACGCGCCGGCGCTCGCCCCGCGCCGTGAGCGGGCGCGTCCGCGGACGGGAAGAACCGCGATGGCGCGCGCCCGCGGTCGTGTCCGCTGAATCCGTTGTACCTGCGACGACGACGGCGCGAGCGCGCGTGAGACGGCGCGACGACGCTTTCGAATCTCATCGCACAGCTGTGCGTCGAGGGTGGACGACGGAAGGGAAAGGGACGAGGGGGCGAGGAGGGGACGCACCACGTGCGCGTCTGCTGACGCACATCCCGCGGATCCGGCGGCGAGCGCGAGTACCGAAGCCGATACATCGGCTCCGCGCCGTCGCCGCGCATCCTCGCGACGCGGCGCCGCGCGCGCGGAACTGCGGACGACGAGTCCAATCTCGCGCTTGCGTCGCGTCGTCCGAGTTTTTCATCGCATCGCGTCGTCCGACCACATCGCATCGCGTCCTCGCACCGGACGCCACTCGCCGCGCGCGCAGCGCCCCACCCGACGATGCCCGAGCGCGCCGCCGCGACGACGGACGCCGACCCCCCCCCGCCGGCGGCGGCATCGACCTCGACCTTCACCCTGGACGACGTCGCCTTCGTTCCCTACGCGGGCGAGGACGTCCACATGCCCGTCGTGATGGACCTCATCGATCGCGAGCTCTCCGAGCCGTACAGCGTCTTCACGTACCGATACTTCATCAACAACTGGCCCAAGCTGTGCGTGCTCGCGTACGCGAACGACGTCCCGATCGGCGTCGTCGTGTGCAAGCTCGAGAAGCACAGGGACATGTACCGCGGCTACGTCGGGATGCTCGTCGTCGCGCGGACGCATCGAAAGCTCAAGCTGGGGTCGGCGCTCGTGTCGAGAGCGCTCGCGGTGATGCAGAGCGAGGGCGCGGACGAGTGCGTCCTGGAGGTGGAGTCCACGAACGTCGGCGCGCTGCGGCTGTATCAAAACTTGGGGTTCATACGCGACAAGAGGCTGGAGAGGTACTACCTCAGCGGGAACGACGCGTATCGGATGAAGCTTCTGTTTCCGCTGTCGCCGGAGAGAGCCGCGGAGCTGGAGGCGCAGAGCGCGAAGCTCGCGGAGGAGGAGGAGGAGGCGGCGGCGGAGAGGAAGAGGGCGGCGGAGAAGCAGGGTACCTAGGCGACGCGCAGACGCGGTAGATAGGCGATAGAAAGTGATAGAGAGGGCTCGCTTCGACGAGCGAGAGCTCGAGCGGCGAGAGCGAAGCGCGCGAACCATCTCGCGCTCGAAAGATAGATCAGAACCTCTCGACGGTCCGTCCCTCCCCCGCGCTATCGATCGATCGAGGCGACGCGACGCGAGACGCGACCGCGCGTTTCGTCAAACTGAACTCCAGCGGGTTACAAGACACCTTCTACGCTATCGCGACCGCTTCGTTCCGCCCGCCAGAGTTCCACCCGTTCGCCCGCCGCGAGAGCCGGGGGCGCGAACCGCGACCGCAAAGACCCATCCGCGCGCGCCCGCGGCGCGCGCTGAGACGGTCGATCGCGCCTTCACACCCCCCCACCCCCGTCGTCGAGCCCGTTCGGAGCGTACGCTCCGCCCACGCCGCGCACCGCGGCGGCCCAGGACCTCGACGCGCCCCGCGCGAAGAAGCCCTACGCAGCACGCTAAAGATTTACTTACGGCGGCCCGTCGTTTTCGTGTGCTGCCCGCGGACGCGGATCCCCCAGTAGTGGCGAAGGCCGCGGTGGTTGCGGATCTTCTTCAACCGTTCGAGGTCGTCGCGAAGCTTCGTGTCGAGCGCGTTCGACGTGAGTTGGACGTACTTGCCGTCCTTGTAGTCCTTCTGCCGGTTGAGGAACCAGTCCGGGATGCGGAACTGGCGAGGGTTTGCGACGATCACCATGAGGGACTCGAGCTCCGCGGCGGAGAGCTCCCCGGCGCGCTTGCCCATGTCGATCTCCGCCTTCTTGCACACGACGTTCGCGAACCGGCGACCGATACCGCGGATCTGCGTCAGCGCGTACATCACCTTCGTCCGGCCGTCGACGTTCGTGTTCAGGACGCGGAGAATATGTTGGAAATCATCGCCGACGATGAGAGAGCCCATCTTTACGGACGGGGGTTCCTTCCTTTACGAGAGGCAAGGAAACGCGAGAAGAGACGTGCGAGGTCTCGACGCGCGTGAGCGATGAAGCGACCGACACGAGTTCGTGCGGTGCGTCGCGTGAAGAGGGCGACACGTCCGGCGTCGTCCGCGCTTTATTTTTCATTCGCGAAGCCCTAAAACGACAAAGTTTGGTCGGTCGCCTTCAGTTTTCTTCACGCGCGATATCTTCACTGGTACGCCCATCACTGTATCCGTGTGTTCCACATCCCCTGACTGCTCCTCGTACGAATCCGCCGGTCTCTCGCCGTCCGCCCAGCGTCCACATTTGGTATCGCGCGCGCGAGCGAGCGTTCGCCTTCTTCCCCCACGGTTGCCCCCTCGCAGTCATCGACGACCGCGCGCTCGACCGTCCGCGCGAGAGAGGGATGAGGGTCAAGGGCGGGACCGGCGGCGGCGCGAGCCTCCACGGGCCGAGCCTCCCGACGCCGTACCAGCGATGGGAAGCGGTGCGTGTCGCCGTCGCCGTCGCCGCCGTCGTCGTCGTCGTCGTCGTCGCGTCTTGAATGCGCGGATTCATTCCCACCGCCCTCGCTCCTCGCGATCAATCGCCGACGCGTCCCCCCCCTCCCACCCACCCACCCCGCGCCTCTCTCGCGACAGAAACAAAACCTGGACCACCTGAAGACGAAGATCAAGAAGGTGAACGCGTCCGTGGACAACAAGGGCACGACGCCGCCGAAGCACCTGGTCGTCAACGCGAAGAAGGCGCAGCTCGAGGAGGACCGCCTCCTAGAGATCGAGTCGCGGAACAAGCTGCTGCTGCATCACCTGCACAAGATCGCGGAGAGGAAGGGCGTGGAGGGGTACGAGAAGTCGCCGAAGAAGAAGTCGCTGTTGCGAGGGCAGGCACCGGACAAGCCGAACACGAAGTCGCTCAACGCCATCAAACGCCGCGAGGAGACGCTGAGGATCGAGCGCGAAAACGCGCTCATCCTGAAGCGCATCCAGAGCCAGAACCACAAGCAGAGCGAGTTCAGCGTCGCGCGCATGGAGAAGGAGTGGAAGGAGACGCTGGAGCACAGGAAGTACGCGTCGCAGTGGGTGAAGCCGCCGGAGTGAGGAGCAGGAGGAGGAGGCGTCGCGAGCAGAGGAGAGGGCGGGAGGGACGGTCGGTCCGACGAATAATGCGATTGTAATCCGTCCATCGTTCGCGCGCGCAGCCCCGCGCGCTTTCCTTCCTTCGTCGACGCGCGCGCGGATGTTCATAAAAATGTATAAATCTTCCTCGCGTCGTCGTCGAGAAGAACGGAGGGAAGACGCGCGCGCGCTCATCACATCCCCGTGACCTTGATGTCCCCCTCCTTGGGCTCGTTCCGCAGCCGCGACTTGGTGTCGTCCTCCGCGATTCTCGACTCGACGCGCTTCAGCACCCTCGTCGCGAGCGCGTCCACGTCCTCGCCCTCGGAGACGCCGTCGTCGCCCACGAGCAGCTGCACGCTGATGTCCGCGTTCGCGTACATCTCCGCGCGCTCTTTCATCATCTCCTGTATCTTTTCCGCGATCTTATCGACGTCGCCGTCGCAGTCTTTGAACAGCGGCCGCGACGCGCCGCCGTCCGCGTCCGCGACCCGACGCGCCAACAGCTTCGCGGAGCCGCTCAGGCAGAGCACGATGCCGTTCCGAAGGTGCATCCAGTTCGCCTTCCTCTTGACGATCCCGCCGCCGGTGGCGACGACGCATTTCTTATACGAGGCGATCTCCGCGAGTATCTGCGTCTCGATCTCGCGGAAGCCGTCCTCGCCCTCCTCCGCGAAGATCTCCGGTATCGTCATCTTCGTCACGGACTCGATGATTTCGTCGCTGCGGCGGAGGACGCGGAGGGCGGCGCGAGGGGAGGGAGCGGACGCGTCAGGCGCGGTCGGTGGGACGGCGTCGTGGACGACGCGTGGACGACGCGTGGACGCGCGACGCGAGGCGCGGCGCGCGCGAGGAGGCGACGCGGCGCGGGCGGAGCGCGACGGACGACGGACGGTTTATCCGACGACGGATAATGCGCGCGACGACGACGACGACGACGACGACGCGCGGGCACGCACGTGTCGAAGAAGTTGTAGCCGAGCTCCGCGGCGAGCTTCTTCCCCACGGACGACTTCCCCGTGCCCATCATCCCGACGAGGAACACGGACGACCCGTCCAGGGCGTCCGCGACCTCCGCGCCGGCGGCGGCGTCGCATCGGAACCGGGGAGCGGCGCGACGCGCTCGACTCGGCGCGGCGGCGAGCGCGGGGACGGCGTGCTTCGCGCGGAGTCGCGCGGCCGCGGCGTGGGCCGGGGCCGCCGCGTGGACGCGCGCGGCGCAGGAGGACATCGCGTCGTCAGCTGTGACGTGCGGCGCGCGCGCGTGGAGTGCGGTCGTCCGTCCGCGCGTCGGCTGATGGCTCGATTTGAGGGACTTGAGACGGACGCTTTTTTGTTTTTTCTCGGACAGACGAGATTCGCGCTCGCCACTCCCCGCCCCGCGCGCGATGGCCGCGTGCGCGGCGGTCCGCGAGAGCACCGCGCGCGTCGCCGCGGCGGCGACGCACGTCGCGATCGACGACACCGTCATCGCGAAGCTCGTCGATGAGATGCCGCCGGAGGTGGTCGCCACGATGTTGGGCCCGCGCGATTTCGACGTCGACGAGATCCACTTCTTGGACGCGTCCGACGAGGACCTCACCGCGCGGTACCTCCTGTGCGTGGACGCGATCAACTTTTGCTTCTGGCCGGACCACGACGGCGACGGCGGCGCGTCGCTCCTGGCGTGGCAGAGAGATTTCGGATGCGACGACAAGCAGCTCGCGGGCGATCCAGACTTGCTGTACTGGCAGAACGCGTTCAAGGGCGACGCGAAGCCGAAGGACCTCTCGGGGGATAAGCAAGGCCTGGAGTACGAGCACGTCGCGGGCGGGCTGAAGCGCGCGCTGACGCGCGACGACGACGCGCTGGACGTGGACAAGCTCAAGGCGATGACCGGGACGCGGCTGCGGGAGCTCTTGAAGTGGCCGCGGCCGCTGCCGCTCGAGGAGGAACGCGCGAGGCTCCTGAGAGAGGTGGGGACGCAGCTCGACGTGCTGTGGGATGGAAGCGCCGCGAAGATGATCCGCGCCGCGCGCCAGAGCGCCCCCGCGCTCGTGGACATCGTCGCGAAGACGTTCCCCGGGTTTCGCGACGTCGCGGTGTACGCGAGAGACGGGATGCAGTGCTTTCTGTACAAGCGCGCGCAGATCTTCGTCGGCGACGTCTGGGGCCGGTTCGGCGGCGCCGGGCTCGGCGACTTCGCGGACAGCATCAAAGAGCTCACGATGTTCGCGGACTACCGCGTCCCCGTGGTGTTACGCAACTTGGGGGTGTTACGCTACGACGAGAACCTCAGCGTGAAGGTGGACCGCGCCGTGGGGACGATCCCGGCGGGGAGCGACGAAGAGGTGGAGATTCGCGCGTGCAGCGTGCAGGCGGTGGAACGCATCCGGGCGCTCCTAGAGAAGCGCCTGGAGGTTGAGCACGAGCTGCAGCCGGTCGCGGGGTTGGGTCCGGGGCTAACCTCCGTCGCGATCGACTGGTACCTGTGGGGGGTTGGGGAGAAGGACCGAGACGAGGGGCCGCCGCATCACAGGACGATCACGGTGTTTTACTGACGCACTGATCTTACATTACATTACCCCCAAAAGTTACACACGCGTCGCCGTCCTCGCTCGTCACCGGCTCAACTCCGCGGACGTCCCACCCTCCGCCGCCCTCACCGCGACCCCCAACGTCTTCTTCATCCGGTGCTGAAGGATCAGCGTCGGGTCGAACATCGCGGCGATCCCCCCCCACGCCCCCGCGCTCGCCATGCACGCGCGGACCTCGTCGACGACGTACCCGTGCTTCTCGTACAACGCGATCGCGCCCGCGTTGGACTTCACCACCGTGAGCTCCGCCTCCGCGCATCGCATCTCGCGCGCGCCCAGCGACTCCGCCTCCCAGAGCAGCCTCCGCGCGAGCCCTCGCCTTCGATGCTCCTTTCGCACCTCCACGGAGGACAAGAACAGCGTGTCGTTCGCCTTGCCCTTCCTCCAGCACACGAGCCACGCGACGACGTCGTTGGGATCGTCGCCCGCAGCCGCGCTCGCGTCGCGCGACGGCGCGGGGTCGCCGTCCGTCTCCGTCTCCGTCTCCGTCCGTCGCTTCCTAATCACGACGCGCGTCTTCCCGCCGCCGACGGGCGGGTCCTCGATCTCGACGAAGTACCCGGGCGGCAGCGGCGGCGGCGCGTGGCGCTCGACGTACGAACGCTCGAGGTGCTCGAGGCGCGCGCTCCTCTGATGATTCGTCGTCTCGGTCGCGACGACGAATTCTGATTCGTCGCGGAGCGACGCGCGGCGTCGCGCGGACGACCGCGGCGACGGCGGGACGACCCGCGCCGCGGCGCGCGTCCCGAGGGACGCGCGATGGGGGGACGTCGGCGGGGACGAGAGCCCGGTCGCGATCGCGGACCGCGACATGACGCCGCGCGGCCGCGCGCGCGCGCGAATCTGTCGTCGCGTCGCGAAAGTTCGCGACGAGAAATTGCAATGGCGGATTTCGTTCCGTCGCTTGTGGTTGGCCGCAGCGCGATGGTGGGCGCCACCATGCGCGGCGCCGGCGCCGGGTGCCTCCGCAGGTTCGCATCTCTCGTCTCCAACGAGAACGCTCGCGCTCGCGGCGGCGGCAGCGGCGCTTTCGGTTCCGCGTCTTCGTCGCCGTCGTCGTCGTCGTCGTCGTCGTCGTCCTCGCGCCACCTCCTCCTCCTCCGCCGCGCCTTCTCGTCCTCCGATCGCGCGATGTCGGCCCCCGCGACGTGGGACGGGTCCGGGACCCAGGAGGATCTCATGTACCGCGACGAGTGCATCATCGTGGTGCGTCCGCGTCCGATCGCGCGTCCGACCCGATCGAGCGACCGATCGCGCGTCCCCGCCTCCCTCCCGCGCGTCGTTCGCGCGCGGCGCGACGCGAAAACACGCGGCACGGCATCGCATCGATCGTCGGTCGGCGCGTTCGTTCTGTTCGTTCGCGAGGTTAACGAATCTACATACCTGACGATCGATCCGCCTCCGCCTCCGCCTCCCGCGCCTCCGTCGACCACAGGACGACAAGGACAACATCATCGGCCACGACAGCAAGTACGCCGCGCACAGGTTCATCCCGGAGCAACCGGGCGGGATGCTCCACCGCGCGTTCAGCGTCTTCCTTTTCGACGATCGGAACAAGCTCCTCCTGCAGCAGCGCGCGTCGAGCAAGATCACCTTCCCGTCGCTGTGGACGAACACGTGCTGCTCGCACCCGCTGTACGGGCAGACGCCGAGCGAGGTGGACGTCCCGGAGGACGTCGCGAGCGGGGCGGTCCCCGGCGCGAAGCGCGCGGCGGTCCGGAAGCTCCTCCACGAGCTAGGGATCCCCCCGGAGCAGGTGCCTCTCCAAAAATTCAAGTACCTCACGCGGCTGCACTACAAAGCCGCGGACGCGTTCGCGGAGAACCAGAGCATGACGGGCGGGCCGTGGGGCGAGCACGAGATGGATTACATCCTGTTCATCAAGCCCGACGCCCCGGTGACGATCGAGCCTAACCCGGACGAGATCGACGACGTGAAGTGGGTGAACCGCGAGGAGTTGCGAGAGATGATGGGTCCGAGCAGCGGGCTGCGGTGGAGCCCGTGGTTCCGGATCATATGCGAGAGGTTTCTCGACGCGTGGTGGAGTGATCTCGAGAGGACGATCGAGAGCGACGCGCACGAGGACTTCGAGACGATCCACGAGGTGATGTGATCGGAAAGGTGCGACGAGGTTCGTTCCGGTCGGTTTGGTTTATTTTCGGGGAGCGTCTGTTCTTCTCGTCTCGGCTTACGGTACGACGTCGGCGGTCGCGCGCGTTCTCGAAGACGACACAATCGTGACGGGCGGACTGATCCCGGGGTGATATCCGGATGATGATCGTCCAGCCAGTGCCTTACAAGCACGTTGCACCCGAGAGAACGAACCGACGACCGAACGACGTTTAGAACCGCCCGACTCGAACCGTCGCGCGCGCGCAACCTGCCCCGTCCGCCGCGCTCACGACGTTTCCCCCCGTCCTCGCCGTCCTCTCGCTCGCAGCGGCGGTCGCGCGCGGTTCGCGTCGCGCGCGAGATCATATATAGCTAGCATCCTAGATTGCGATATTACCAAAACACCAAAACAAAACGTTTATAACTTACCGCCGCTCCGCTCGACGCGTTCGCTCACTCCGCGCCCGCGCCGATGGCCTCGTACTTGGACGCCTTCCCCACGCACGCCGACCCGAACATCATCCGCGCGTCCACTACCGTCGGCGTACCGAGATTTTCGTCGAAGGCGACGTCGACGCCGACGCACCCGCAGTTCTGGAGCTTGTACTCCCTGAGCTTCGTCACGACGTCGTTCGCGTCGCCCGACAGCGACGGCGACGCGAACCGCCGCATGATCTCCCGCAGAAACAACGAGTGCCCGACGAGAAGCACGGACTCGTGCGGGTCGAACCGCAACGCGTCGAAAAAGTCGTCGAACCTCGCCGCCAACGCGACGGCGCCGTCCGTGTCGCTCTGCGCCGTCCACCACTGCCCGATCGCGTCGTTCACGTCGCAACGCGCGGCGAACGCGTCCATGGCGTCGTCCGCGACTCTCGCTTCCTCCGCGGGGCCCAGGACGTCGCGCAACTTCGCGGCGCAGCGATCTAAGATGCCGCCGCCTTGCTCGATGCCGACGACGTCGTTGCTTCCGACGGTGGACTTGATCTCGCGCGCGGAGCGCAACAGCACGACGCTGCCGTCCCCGGGGCCGCCGCGCGCGCTGTACTCGCTGCTGATGCGTTCAAACTTTCGCCGCGGCGGCGGCGCCGTCCCGGCGCCTTCGTCGTCGCCCGGCGTCGACGGCGTCGACGCGGGCGTGTCGAGCGGCGTTCGCGACGCGCCGAGCGCGCCGGGGTGCCTCTCCACGACGAACGCGGCCGTCTGCGCCGCTCGCGTCAGCGGCGAGACGAAGCACCGCGTCGCGGCGGCGTAAGATCGCACCCACGCCGCGTCCTCGCCGTCCATGTCGAGAAACGCGTCCTCCTCCGCGAACCCGGAGGAAGGGACGAACGCCGCCGCCGGCGCCGCCGCCGCCGCCGGCGGCTGCGGCGCGGCGAACGACTCCCACTCGCCTTCCGCCGCCGCCGGTCTCGGCTCCGCGGCGACGACGCCGCTCACGCCGGAGAGGTCGATCAGCGCGTCGCCGCCGCCGCTCGCCGCCGCCGCCGCCGCCGCCGCCGGTTTCGGTTTCGGAGGCGTCGCGATCGGGTTCCCTCCGAAGATCAACGACGACGGATCCCCCAAGCTTAAACCCGCGAAGTTCATCCCCCCGCCGCCGCTCTCGACGACCGCGACGGGTTTAGGGGTCGGCTTCGCGTACCCCGCCGGGATCGTCGCCGCGACGCTCGCGGCGCGGCACGCCCGGTCCGCGAGCTTCCTCGCCTGGTACACCCCCGCCGCGTTGAGCGGGTGGTCTTTGTTCATCAGCATGTTTCCAAACTTGAAGTCCCGCTGCGCCTCGTTCCACAAGCTCTCTCCGTGACGGACGTAGAAGATCCTCTTCGCGCGCAGCGGCAGCGACGGCGGCGTCGGGAGCGACAGCGAAGACGCGCCGACGGCGTTCGTGGAGGAGGACGCCGCGCCGCCGCCGCCGCCGCCGCCGCCGCCGCCGCCGCCGCCGCCGCAGTCGACGCGCGAGACGAACAGCGCGCCCGCGCCGCCGCCGCTGAGGAGCTTCCGTTGCAGCGGCACGCGCACGGCGACGCCGCCGTCCCCGAGCGCGCTGACGCTGACGACGCCTCTCCCGACGCACTTATCCCACGCGCCCAACGGCGACCCGGCGTAGACCTCGAAGAGGACGGAGTCGTGCGGCCCGACGTCGCATCGAAGATCTCGCGCGCTTCGCCACACCGTCCGCGTGTTGTACTCCCCCGGCGTGACGTAGTGGTTCCTGACCTCCGCGACGGTGCAGTTCGCCGTGAGCGTGTGCACGCGGACGCCTTTCAGACACCCCGCCGCGGCGGCGCATCGCGCGGTGACGAACGTGCTCTGCGTGTCCAGGCCCTCCGCGGACTCGAGGCGGACGACGAAATGCGCGCCGGGGACGAGCGGCGCGTCCGCGCCGGTCGAGGGCGCCGCCTCGACGTCGCCGGTCGAGGACGACGACGCGAGACTTCCGGAGGTGTCCTTGGACGATCCGATGCGCCTCCTCGCGGCGGCTAACATCGCGCGCGCGCGGGTCCTGCCGCCGCGGAGCCGCGCCGATCGCGTGTAACGAACTTCAAACGAGTTTTGGCGCGTTATGCGGTCGACGCGACGTCTCGAGCCGCGACGGGACGAGACGGCCGCTCGGCTTCCCTTCACTCCGCGACGCGCGAACACCGCGCGCGCCGAAGGACTCGCGCGCGTTCACGCGAGAACGCCGCCGCGGCGATAGGACGGGACCGCGCGCGATCGAACCCGGGACCGCGTCGTCGGCGACGAGAGGTGCCGCCGCGCGGAGGACAGATCCGTCCGATCGGCGCCGCGGGCGGCTCGCGAGCGACGGATTTATTTGATCGATCGATCAGGAGGAAGAGGGGACAGACGGGAGGGAGAGAGAGAGAGAGAGAGAGGACATCATGCCTTCCGCGGAGGATTCATCGCGCGCGGCGCAGCTGCAAGCGCAGCTCGAGCGAAAGTTCCAGACGTACCTGGACAAGTCCGTGCCGCACGTCTCGCAGCGGTGGTCCGCGTTCGCGTGCGTCGCGCTCGTGTATCTCGTCCGCGCGTACTTCCTGAAGGGTTACTACATCGTGACCTACGGTTTGGGGATCTATAATCTCAACCTGCTGATAGGGTTCATGACGCCGCAGATGGACATGACCGAGGACGGGCCGTCGCTGCCGACGAGCGGGAACGAGGAGTTCAAGCCGTTCGTGCGGAGACTTCCGGAGTTTAAGTTCTGGTACCGCAGCGCCAAGAGCGTGTGCGTCGCGTTTTGCATGACGTTTTGCCCCGCGTTCGACCTCCCCGTGTTCTGGCCCATACTGCTCATGTACTTCATCATGCTCTTGTTCATGACGATGAAGCAACAGGTGAAGCACATGCTAAAGTATAAGTACGTGCCGTTCTCGTGGGGGAAGAAGCAGTACGGGAAAGGAGGGACGGGGGGAGCGAGCGCGGACGCCGCCACCGCGGGTCTGAAAAAAGACAACAAGTGAGCGGTCGCGCGCGCCGCGCTCGCTCGCGACTTGACTTACTCTAGCAGCTACTGTCGACGATAACAATCGCCCTACTAAACGCTTAACCCTCCTACAGTAATGTACCCCAACCCAAAAACCCATCCTTCGCCTCACGCGTCGAACGTGTGGCACCCCCACAGCCCGTCGTTGAGGTGATGAATCGTGTCCACGCCGACGCCCTTGTTGATCGACTTGATGTCCGCCGTGGACATCTTCGTGATCCCTACCGCGAGCGCGTGCGTCTTCCCCTCCGCGTATATCGCCACCGGGGTATCCTCCGGGACGTCGTCCACGATCTCCGCGCCCGGGGACGTCAGCCCCGGGCACATGATGTTCGCGCCGCCGAAGACGAACCGGATCGCCCCCGCGTCCACGCGCAGCTTCGGCATGCAGTCCGGATACTTGTGCAACAGCCGCAGCGTCGGGAAGAACGGGCCGTCGCGGAGCTGGAAGAAGAGCGGGACGCCGTCCACGAGGACGACGTTCACCTTGGCGTCCGTCTTGGCGATGTTCATCGTGCACTTCTTGGGGATGAGCTCGTCGAGGACGTCCTCCTCCTCCAGCTGCGGGAACTGCTCCGCGATGGAGGTGCGGATCCCGCGCTGCACCGAGGACTTGATCTGCTGCAGCGCGGAGACGTTATCGCCGGGGGTGAACTTGCGGAACATCGCGGGCGGCGCGGGGGTGGGGTGGGGAGAAGGAGCGTCGCGGGCGGCGCGGGCGTGCGATGCGGCGGCGGGCGTGCGATGCGACGTGAACGACGTCGTGTATTTTAGGGCAGAAGGACGCTTTTCCTGATGACATTGACGGGAAGAAAAGAAGAGCTGGACTGAACTCGCTGTGTCCAGACTCGAGACGGGCGTCGCGGACGCTCGCGATATAAATATGTGTATCATTAAACCGTCTAATAAATAAACTCGTCCGTCGCGTCGCGTCACTCCACCGGCGCGGGCATGTACACGTCCCACTGCAGCATGCTCGTGTCCCCTCCCCCCGCGGAGAACATCTGGCTCCCGTCCGGACCGAACCGAACGTTGGCGACGTGCGACGAGTGCCCGCCGTACGTCCGCGGCTTCCCCCCCAACGCCGGCGCCTTGAACAGCGACACGATCCCTCTGTCGTCCCCGGTCGCGACGACCCTCTCCTCGACGCCGTGGTCTCCGGGGACGATGGCCACCTCGCACGCGTTGACGTCCGTGCCGTCGGAGCCCTTGTACCACACCCCCGTGGTCTGAAAACCGAGCACGCCGGTCCATCCGTCCCACGAGACGTCCTGCACGTCTTTGCCCTTCTTAACTTGCGTCGCCGTCGGCATCTTCCAAAACATGAGCTCGTAATCGCCGCTGTTGGTCCAGAGGTACCTCGCGTCTTGCGACCACCCGAGGTGGGTTATGAACGACGCGTGCCCTTTGCACGTGCCGACGAGCGCGTGGTCGCGCATCGTGTCGTACACGTCCACGACGTTGTCGTGCGACCCGACGGCGATGTAGTGCCCGCCGCTGGGGAAATCCGGCGTCGCGGGGGAGTACTTAATGTCCGCGATCCACCCGGTGCGAAGCTTCGGGCGCCACAGGTCGAGCTCTTTATCGATCCGCGTCGTCTCCGGGTCGTCCAGGTCAACCTTGAACAGCGACACCGCGCCGGAGACGGTCCCCGCGGCGAGTTGTCCGCCGCTCGGGTGCCACGCCAACGACCGCACCGCCGCCGTCGTGTATCGCCCGCCGCCGGATTTTAGCGGCTTCGCGTTCTCGATGACGCGCGCGCGCGCGACGCAGTGCCTCTTCTTCCCGGGCTTGACGTTCCAAATGCGGATCGTGCCGTCGTCGCCGCCGGTGGCCACCTTGGCGCGGCCGGCGGAGGGGTGAGGCGCGAGGCCCCAAATTTCCCCTCGCTCGTGCGACTCCACGAGCAGGTGCGCTTGGTCGGAGATCTCCCAAATCTCGCCAACCTTGGTGCCGACGAGCGCCTTCGCTTTCGCGTCCGTGGTGAGCGAGGAGATCGGCGCCGGCCTCCCGGTCGCCGCGGACTCGATCCTGACCTTGTGGAGCGGCGACAGGTCGGAGGCTTTCCAAAAGCACACGACGCCGTCGTCGCCACCCGTGAGCAGCACGTTGTGCTCGTGCAGCGTGTACACCGCGTTCACCTTGCCGTCGTGCGCGCCCGGGATGACTTGCGTCAGGGTGGACCCCTCGAACACGTACAGCTGGCCGCCCTTGCACCCGACGACCGTCCGCGGCGGTTTGCCTTCGACGTCGATGAACGAGCAGGCGTAGAAATTCTGCCACTTCCCCTTCTTCCCGAGCGTCGCCCGTCTCGGTCGGAACACCGTCCCCTTCGCAATCTTCTCGCCCTCCTTCCACGCGCACTTCACGAACTTGACGTGCTTCACGCCGGTGGTCACGAGCGACCCGTCGAACGGCGACCAGTTGATCCCGAGAATTTTATTTCGGTCCCCCTTGTACGTCGCCACGAGCGTCTCCGTCTTCCACTCGTACACCGCGACGCTGTGCTCCGCGTCCGCGCCGACGCTCGCGAGGTAGTCCCCGCACGGCGAGAAACACAGGCACAACACCGCGGTGCGATGGAAGCCCTGCAGCATCGCGAGCGCCTTCACGTCGTGCGAGTCCCACACGATGATCTTCGGTTTGCCCCCAATCTCGCCCGTCGCGAAAATCCGCCGCTCCGGGTGCCGCGTCATGCACAACACGTCGTCGCTGTTTCCCTCCGCGACGTCGTCGCTCTCCGGATCGTCCGTGATCAACCTCTGCGTCTCACTCGCGGGGTTATACACGACGCCGCACGCCGCGGTGTGGTAGCACACCTCGCCTTTCGTGTTATACCACGCGTTCTGCCGCGCGTCGTGCCCTCGAAATCCGTACGCCCACGTCAGCTTCAGACGCGACGTCGGGACGTCGTAGCTCGTGGAGTCCTTCTTCCACCACGACGGCACGTGCGTCTGCGATAAAACCGGTTTGCCCGTCATCGGGGACTTGTACCCGCGGCGGCATCCGAGCTCCGCGAGGGAGTGGTTCTTGTACGGGTTCGGGACGCCGTCCGTCGCGTTGACGGGCGTGAAGACGCCCAAACCGTGCTCCATCCCCGTCTGCAGCATCATCACCGGCTTGGACGACGCCGCGTTCTGGTCGTAGGACACGACGTCCTCCTCGTCCGATTCGCTGTCCGTGTCCGGGCCGACCGCCTCGTGCACGATGGCGAGGACGCGCTCCTCCTTCTCCTCGTGCGTCAGCTTCTTGTCCTCGAGCATCGCCTCCGCCTCCGGGGTGAGACCGTCCGGGGGGCCGTCCACGTCCTTGTGCCGCCACACCATGACGCACCGGTCCCCTCCGCCGGTGCTGACGAGCCACTTGTCGCTCGCGCTGAACGCGACGTTCGTGACGTGCGCGCTGTGTCCGCGGTACTCGTGCGCGTCGCTCACGCCCACGTTCGCGGGATATTTGGCGAGCTTCACGGAGCCGTAGTCGTCCCCGCACGCGAGCACGCGTTCGCCGTCTTCCCAATCCCCGCGGTTGCTTCGCGCGACGGCGTTGAGGTCCCCGGGCTTCGCATCCTCGCTCCATAAGCCTTGCGTCGCCCACCCCATCGGGATCGTCCACGAGTTCCACTCCGCGTCGCGGACGGGCGCGAACGCGGCTTCGACCGGGTCGCACTGCGGCGCGGTGAAAAAGAGCAAGTCGCCCCCCGCGGTGTTGATCTGCACGAACTTCGAATCTTCCGACCAGTCCACGTGCGTCATCGCCTGCGGGCCGCGGTCGTCCTCGTGCGCGGCGTCGATGACGAAAAACGGCTTCACGTCGTCGGTTTTATCCACGATCTGGTACCCGCTCTGCCCGGCGTACACGCCCAAGACGCGAAACACGCCGTCTTGCGACGCGCACCCGAGGAAGCACCCGCACGGGGAGTAATTCACCGCGTTGACCCTGACGTTGGACAGCTTCGTCCGCGTAACGATGGTCCCCTTCTCGACGTCGACGACGATGACGTCGCCGCGGTACGTCCCCACCGCGACGTGCTCCGTCTTCGGGTGCCAGTCCACGCATCGTCCCTTGGACGGCAACCGAAGCATGCGATCCTGCGTCTTCCCCTTCAGGCTCCAAAGCCGGATCGATCGGTCCTCGGACACGGTGACGAACCGCGGCTCTCGCGGGTGCATCGCGAGGCCCCACACGTCGCCGCGGTCCGCGCCCGTCTTCGGGTCGATCGCGCCCGCGTGGCCGTTCATCAGCAGCTTCGCCTTGGTCTTATCCTGCGCCGCCTTCTCGTCCGTGATGTCAATCTCGAAAATCTCCGACGCCGCGGTCCCGTACGCGAGCTTGCGGCCATCCGCGCTCGGCGCCAACGCGCGAATCGACGGCGCCTTCCCCGCGGCGTACGACCGCGGCTGCGCGTGCGCGTCGAGCAACCCCTCCGCCACCTTCGCGGTGTCCACCTCGAACACGGGCTGCATGAAGACGCTCCAGAGCTTGATCTTCCCGTCCTTTCCCGCGGTCGCCAGCACCTTCCCGGTGAACGCCATGTCGTGTATCGGCCCGTGGTGAATCGCGGCGAACTTTCGCACAGCGCGGCATCCGCCCTCCTCGTATTTGTACGCGTCCCCCTTCATCGTCCCGGCGAACGTGCTGCCGTCGGGAAGAAACGCGATCGACAGCACCGAGCACGCGGCGAAGCCTTTGCTCGCGCCGTGCGAGTACTGCGCGGGCGCGACGCGCAGCGTCCCGTCGTCGATCGTGAAGAACTTCAGCGACTTCTTTCCGCCGACGACGAGGCGACCGTCCACGGGGTTAAACGCGCACACGTACGGACGCGCGCGGCCAAACTTTTCCGTCGCGATCAGCTTCGGCGTCGCCTCGCCCTTCAGCGGATCCCACCCCGGCGGGCCCCACTCGTGCACGGCGACGAGGTGCGCCTCGTCCGCGCCGACGCTCGCGAGGTACTTCCCGCACTTGCTGAACGCCGCGCACAGGATGGCGTTCTTGTGAAGCTCCGTGGATCGAATCGTGCACACCTTTTTCGCGTCGCTCGAGCGCCACACGTGAATCGCGGGGAAGTCGCCCACCTGCCCGGTCGCGAAGAAATCGCCCCCCGGGTGCTTCGCGATGCAGGTCACGTCGTCGCTGTGCGCGTCGAAGAACGTCTGCTTCCGCGTCTTGGCGTTCAGGACGATCCCCAACGCCGCGGCGTGATACACGAGGAGCCCCTTCTTGTCGTAGTGCAGGTTGTGCCGCGCGTCGTGCGATCGATACCCGTGCACGAACTCGAGCCTGAGCTTGTTGTCCGGGAGCTTCTCCGCGCCCTCGGGGTGGTCTTTCGGGTACTGGAACGGCGGGACGATCTTCTTCGCGCACGGCAGCGCGCGCTTCGCGTCGCCGCTCGGCTCGGGGCCGAGCCTGCCTCTCGACGTCTCGACCGTGGGTCGCCCCTGCGCGGGCTTCGCCCTCGGCGCTTTGAGGTCGCGGAAGTCGTCCGCGAGGTCGGAGTCGTACCCTTCCGCGTCCACGGGCTCGGAGGATTCCGCGTCGCCCAAGGACACGGCCTCGGGGTTGAACTCCGTGCTCGCGCCCGCGCCCATCGCGAACGTCCGCTTACTGCGATCGCTCGGAGAAGGGGCTGCGACGAAGGGATTTCAGATTTCAGATTCGAAGGCGCCGGTCGCGCGCCTCTTCGAGCCGCTCCTGGCGTATCGCGCGCGCCGGCGGATATCCCAAGCGCGCGCTGCTCGCGTCCCGTCCGCAATACCTCACGCGACGTCGGCGCGCGGCGTCACGTCGCGGTGCGCTCGGGTGTGTCTTCTCGCGCGTCCCCGCCCGCGGGCTAAATCTGGTGTTTAAACGGCTCGAAACGGGCCGAAAAACATTGACCGAACGAGAGCGGTTCGGTGTTGACCGACCGCGCTCAAGTCGTCGAGAGCCGATCAAAAGTGGCATTTTTCACCCTCGCCTCGGTGTCAAAGTTCGACCGCGCCGCCGGTCAACGGACCGATGAAACATCGACACGCGAACATCTCGGAAGACGCGACGTCCACGTCGGAACGTCCCGTCATCACGCGCATCACTCCCACCCCGCGCCACCATGGCGACGCGACCGTACGACCTCGTGATATGGGGCGGCTCCGGGTTCACCGGCAGGCTCGCCGCGGAGTACCTCGCGCGGAAGTACACCCCCGGCGGCGCGTCGTCTCCCAAAGCCGCCGACGGCGGCGAGTCCGTGCGCTGGGCCATCGCGGGTCGCGACCGGCGGAAGCTCGAGGAGGTGCGCGCGGAGATCGAGCGGAAGCACCCGCACGTCGCCGGGAAGATCGACGTCCTCGTCGGCAGCGTCGACGACGCGAGCTCCATGCGCGCGGTGACGTCGCGCGCGTCCACGGTGCTGTCCTTCGCCGGGCCGTTCGCGCGGTTCGGCATGCCGCTCGTGGACGCGTGCGTGGAGACGACGACGGACTACTGCGACATCACGGGCGAGCCGAACTTCATCCGCGCGTGCGTGGACAAGCACGACGCCGCGGCGAGGCGCGAGGGGATCAAGCTCGTGAACTGCGTCGGGTACGACAGCGTGCCGTGGGACCTCGGCGCGTGGGCGGTCGCGAGAGAGTTGAGAGATAAGCACGGCGACGGATGCGTGGACGCGTTCGGCCACGCGGGCGCGGCCAAGGGCGGCGTCAGGTGCGAAGTTTTTCACCCATCCCGTAGTTTCAACATTTGATCGCGTCCCCTTTCAACTGACCGATGAATGAACTTTCTTCCGCATCAGCGGCGGCACGATCGCGTCCGCGCTCAACGTCCTGACGACGACGCCGTGGGACGTCCTCAAGAAGATGGGCTCGCCGTTCTACGTCGCGAACGGCGGCGGGGCGGGTCTGAGCGACGAGACGAAAGCGCGGTGGCGCACGCAGAAGAGCTACGCGTACGACGAGGACGTCAAGTCGTACACGATGCCGTCGATCATGGCGTCAATCAACACGAAAGTCGTCGCGAGGTCCGCGTCGCTGTGCGCGCAGCTGTGCGCCGGCGATTCGAACCCGTACCCGCCCGACTTCGCGTACAACGAGAGCGACCTCTCCGGCGGATACGTCGCCGCGATGGTCGGCACGGCGATGATGAGCGCGTTCGGCGCGGCGTTGATGTTCCCTCCGTCGCGATGGCTGCTCTCGAAGACGGTGCTCCCCGCGCCCGGGCAAGGACCCGCGGAGACGACGCGAGAGACCGGGTTCGCGAACATCTACGTCGTCGGCAAGGGCGCGAAGGCGTCGACGCCCAAGGTGTGCGCGCACATGGAGTTCAAGGACGCGGACCCGGGGTACAAGGGCACCGCCGCACTCGCGGTCGAGGCGGCTTTGTGCCTGGCGCTGCCGGCGGAGCGGCGGAAAAACGGCGGCGCGGTGACGGGCGGCGGCGTGCTCACGCCCGCGTCCGCGCTCGGCGCGACGCTGGTGGACCGTCTGAACGAGTCGGAGAATTTCTCGTTCGCGGTGAGGCCGCTCGAGGAGGTCACGCTACGCGGCGCGTCGAAGCTGTGAGAGAGCGGCGGGCGCGCGGGCGGGCGCGCGGCGAAGAAGGGGGGACGAAAGCGAAAGGAAAGGCGCGAACGAGTCGTCAACGGCGTAATCACGACATTAGTGTACTATACACTGGTCCCCATACGACTGCGTTGGCGAGGTGGACGCCGATTCTTAAGGACTTTTGCCGTCGTCTCTCTCCGCCCACACCTTGCTTTCGAGCACCGCGTCACGACGACGCGTCCTTCTCCTCCGCATCCCCCGGCGGCGCCATCACCGCCGTTCGCACCGTGCTCCCCAACCCCACGTCCCCGACCGCGACGCGCCCGAACCCGTCGTTCCCCCAGTTCCGCCACGAGTTCACCACGAGCCAGTGGTATCCCCCCGCCGTCGCCGGCTTCCCGCGCGCTTTTTCGTCCCGCCCCCACCCGATCAACTTCACGACGTGGCCGCCGTGGTTCTCCCCTCGAACGCGCTCGTCCCCGCTGGACGCGAAGACGCCGCGTCCGTCGTACAGGTAAAACTCGCCCCATATCGTCCCCGCGTACGACGTCACCGGCCCGCGCGTCGCGATCTCTTTCGCGACGCACGAGTAGTCCCGTTCCGGACACGAAACGATCTCCTTCACTCGGTACGCCGGCGCGTCCTCGACCCGCGTTCCCTTCGGACGCACGCAGCTCAACGGGCACTCCGGCGTGGGCGACTTCTCGCACGGGTGCTGGCACGCGTCGAACAAGTACGGCGCGCACGTGCTCTCGTCGCCGTACGCCCCGCCGGTGACGACGCCGTGGGTCTTGGCGTACTCGAACGCGTCTCGCTCGTCGCCGCCCTCGCAGCCGTCCGCCGCGCCGCACGATAACAGCTGCGACGCGCTCAAAAATTCACCTCCGCCGCCCCCGCCGCCCAGCGCGCCGTTCGTCGCGATGCACGCGCGGTCGGTGAGCACCGCGGCCGTCGCCACCGCCCAGCACGAGCCACACTTGCCCTGATCGAGCGCGGTGCCGACGACGCGCGCGCATCGCGGCCATCTCTCGCGCGCGTCGAAGAGTTCGGGGAGGCCGTCAGCGACGGGGTCGAACGCGCCGCGCGCCGCGACGGTCGTCGCGTTCTGGTCATCATCTCTATCGCCGCCGAAGGAGACGAGGCCGTCGAGGAGGCCGCCGAGGCGCGACGCGGCGCGATGGGCCCCGGGCGGCGCCGCGGGCGTCGACGCGAACGGCGAGCGCGTCCAGAGCGGATCGTCGTCGTCGTCGTCGCGTTCATGACGATCCTTCCCGCTTCCGCCAACCCGCGGCTTCCATCCCGCGAGGAGGTCGAGGTCCGCTCTCGTCGCGCGCGCCCACCCCGGGTGTATCGCCGCGGTCCACGTCTTGTCCTCGCGCGCGTTCAGCCTGTCCACCATCTCGCGCGTGAGCGCGACGCGCGACGACGACGACGACGAGGCCGGGAGCGCGAGATCGTCCGCGGCGCCGTCGACGACGCCCGATGATGAACGCGGATGCTGATGCCCGAGACGGGGCGCGACGCCGACGCCGCCGCGCGACGCGACGACCGCCGCGGCGGCCGCGAGCGCGACGACGACGCCGGCGAAGACGGTCGTCGCGCGCGCGCTGCGACGCGGCGGCGCGCGGTCGGCGCCATCTTTCCCCTCGAGCAGAGGCTCGCGCTCCATCGTGTGATCGCGTAACACCTCGCCGAGAGGCCTCGCGCATCGCGCCTCGGCTCGTTCGACGACCTCGGCGATATCGCCGCCGTCGATCGCCATCATTTCTTCCAGCGCGCCGACCGACGCCTCTCTCCACGGCCGCGGCGCGATGTCGTCCGGCGAAGACCTCATGGAAGCGATCGAGTCCGGCGACGAGGCCGGCGTCAAGCGATGCCTCGACGACGGCGCGGACCCGCTCTTCGCGGACGACGAGGGCTTCACCGTCCTTCACATGGCGTGTCAGGAGGGCCTCGACGCGATCGCGACGATGCTCTTGAGAAAAGGCTCGCCGATCGACGCGACGGACGACGACGGGACGACGCCGCTGATGCTCGCGTGCTCCGGGGAGCACGCGGACTGCGTCGCGATGCTGGTCAAGGAGGGCGCGGACGTGATGATGAAGTGTAAGAGAGGGAAGACCGCGCTGTTCTGCGCCGCCGCGGTCGCGGGGTGCGAGGACGCGACCGCGACGCTTCTCGCCGCGTCCGCGGACGCGTTCGATTGCCCGGTGGACGGGAAAGCGATGCACGAGGTCGCCGCGAAGAAGAGTGACGCGTGCGCGAAGCTCCTGCGCGCGGCGACGAGCGCGGAGGGCGCGTCCTCGCGTCTGTTGGAGGCGTGCGAGGCTGGGCGGACGAGGGCGGTGGAGGCGATGCTCGCCGGCGGCGCCGACGTCGCGGCGACGGACGACGACGGGTGGACCGCGTTGCACTTCGCCGCGAGCGAGGGCGGCGCGGACCTCTGCGAGCTTCTCTTGAGCAGAGGGCTGAGAGCGGACGCGAAGGCGAAGGACGGGAGCACGCCGATCGATCTCGCGGAGGAGGAGGAGCACGACGAAGCGATGGAGGTGTTGAAGAAGTCGCTCGAGTGATGATGGATGAACGGATGAACGAACGAACGAGGCGCGTTCGTTCTGTCGCGAACGAAAGCCGCGTCCCGTCGCCATCCTCCGCCGCTAGACTACGTACTGTACCATCGCGAGACGGACTCTTCGACGCACCTCGCGCTACTCCCTTCTGCGACGACGCCGACGACGACGCCGATCATCGCGTCGTCCACCCCCCCACGAGCTCCTTCACCGCCCTCCGCAACCGCACGCACGCGTTCTTGTTCCTCGCGACGACGCTCGCGCCGTTCGCGACGCCTCTGTGCCACGCGAGGCATCGCACGATGATCTCGAGCTCCCTCCGCTCCGCCATCTTCTCTGCGACGGCGACGGGCACCTCCGCGGCGACGCAGTACGCGCGAAAGATTACGAGCCGGTCCGTCTCGTGCAGCGCGTCCAGCGGGACGTTGTCCGTGTTCTTGTCCCCGAGGTCGAGGTACGCGCGATACGGCAGGTCTTCCGCGCGGACGCGGACTCGGCTCGACGACGCGTCCGGGTCGCTCGCGAGACGCGTCGCCTCGAGCTCCTCGAGGTACCGTCTCAGGACGTCCTCCGGGATGACGCCGCCGACGTACGGCCCCTGCGCATTCGCCTCCGCCTCCTCGCGTTCCTCGTCCGTGTCGACGTACCCGTCCGAGTCCGCTCTGGCGTCGAGCTCGGGCGCGACGTCGCCGCGTTCGCGCGACGCGCGGACGCGCGCGGCGGAACGGTCTTCCTCGTCTTGCCGCGTCACCCAGCGCTTCAGCGTCGCCGCGTCTGGCAGCGGCGGCGGCGGCGCTCTTCGCAACATCCGTCGCACGCGCTCCGCGATGTTGCAGTTCGTTATCGTCGTGGGTTCCTCGGCGGCGGCGCCGTCGTCGTCGCTCGAGTCGTCGTCGTCGTCGCTCGAGTCGTCGCTGTCGCTCTCGTCGCCTTCCTCGCGGACGGGGTTACAGTCCTCGTCGACGACGTACCACCGGAGCGCGTGCGCGCGGACGTTGTCCGGGTGCCACGGGCACGTCTCCGGCGTGAACGGGGTCGGCTCCGTCGCTTCGTCGTCGACCGCGTTCGCGGGTTTGCCCACGAAGTATTCCAGCACGCCCTTCGCGTTGAAGCTCCCGTCCGGGTTGAGCCGAGGGACGGTGAGGTCGTTCGCGATGAGGTCCGCGGCTTCCTTCGTCGTTCGCGCGAGGTACCGCGGCGGCGGCGTCGGCGGTGGCGACGACGACGACGACGCGGCCGCGCCCGTCGCGCCCGTCGCCGCCTCTTCGCGACCGTCGATCGGGAACGACGCCGAATTTCGACCCGGACCCGCGGTCGGATCAGGGTCCGGTTTCGTCGTCCCTTCCGGCGTCGAAACGCGCCGAGGTCCGGTGCCCCACGGGTCGTCGGAGTCGTCCGAGTCGTCGTCCTCGCCGCCGCCGCCGCCGCCGCCGCCGCCGCCGCCCGCGCCGGCCGAGACGAGAGGCGCGCCCGCCCTCGCCGCGCCGGTTTCGTCGTCCGTGAGCCTCCGCCCGACGAACATCCGCATGAGCATCTCGTTGTCGAGCCCGCTCTCCGTCGCCGCGCCGCCGGCGTCGGGCCTGACGACGGTACCGTCGACGTCGACGTCGTCGTCGCCGCCGCCGCCGCGAACCCTCGTCGTCCCGAAATCCCACTCGCTCTCGTCGTCGTCCCCGCCGCCCGCCGCGCGCCCCGCGTCCGCGCTCCCGTCCGGCGACGGCAGCTCCCTCCCACCCGTCGGCGGCGCGTCGCCCGTCGGGGACATCGGCGGCGTATCCCCGACGTACGACGCCTCCAACGCCGCCTCCGCCGCCGCCATCGCCGCCGCCGCCGTCTTCGAATCCAACCGAATCGTCCTCGAAGCGCTCGGCTGCCGCGCGTGCTTCGGCCTCGTCGTCGTCGTCGTCGACGTCGTCGCCGCCGCCGTCGCCGCGCGAGTCGAGCGACCGCCGCGCTTATCGAGCGACCGCCGCGCGGACGCGAGCAGCGCTTCCGGACTCGGCGACGGCTGGCGAGCGATTTCGTCGCCGCCGGTGTCGTCGTCGCCGCCGCTCCCGCCCGTCCCCGTCGGTCGCCCCGACCCGTCGCCGCTGCCCGTCCCCGTCCCGGTCCCGGTCCCGGTCCCGGTCGTGGCCGCGGCCGCGTTCGCGCTCGCGCTCCGAGACGCGAGAATCATCGGGACCAAGCTCGCGCCGGACCCGGCGCTGCTCTGCAGGAACCGATGCGGCAGAAGCTCCGTCGCCGTCGGCCGCGCGCGCGTGTCCTTCCGAAGGCACCGCGCGACGAAATCGTTAAACGCCGCGCTCCATCCGGGGCCCGTCGTCGTCGAGGAGAGCGTCGGCGGCGGCTCCCTGGTGATCATGAATATCACCCGCATCGGATGCACGTCGTGCCGCGGCGGTTTCACCTCCGCCATCTCGATCGCGCTCACGCCCAACGCCCACACGTCCACCTTCCCGTCGTACCGCGCCTCCTGTATCACCTCCGGGGCCATCCAGTGCGGCGTCCCTATGAACGTATTCCGCTTCGACATCGTGCGCGTGAGCTGCGCGGCGACGCCAAAGTCCGCGAGCTTGACGCCGCCGCTCTCGGTGAGCAGGATGTTGCTGCACTTGATGTCGCGATGCACCTTGAAGATGGAGTGCAGGTACACGAGCCCCTTGAGGGACTCGCCGCACAGGTACGCGATCTGCGCCTCGGACAGCGGCGCGCCGCCGGTCGTCAGGACGTCGCGCACGGACCCGCCGCCGCAGTGCTCCATGACGATCCACAGGTACTCGTCCCCGGTGAAGGAGCCGAAGTAGCGGACGACGTTTTGGTGCGAGCACTGCTGGAGGACGGCGATCTCGCGACGGATGTCCTCGATGCCCTCCTGGTCCTCCCCGGCGAGGGGGATGACCTTGACGGCGACGACGCTTCCGCTGGGGCGGTGACGCGCCTGTGGAGAAGAACGATGCGAGCGGGGGTGGGGGTGGGGAGGGTCGGCGCGCCGCGAGGAGGAGGACCGACGACGATTTGATCGGATTAGATCGGAAGGGGCGGTTGGACGACGGACGGACGGGAGGCGCCGCGAGCGTCGTCGGGCGAGCGCGCACCTTGTACACCGCGCCGTAGCTCCCCTTCCCGAGCTGCTCGAGCAGCTCGAAGAGGTCCTCCGGGCGACCTTGCTCCATGTCGACGACGGCCCCGCGGGCGCCGTCGCGTGCCTCGCGCGCAGACCTAAAGTGATTCGCTGAGCGAGATTTGCGCGCGAGACGCCATCGCCAGCACGACTTCTCTGGCAAATGCGAAAACCAGGATAGATCACGGCTCGCCGCCGCACGTCCCCACGCCCTCTCCTCCCGGCGGCGAAGATGGCGGCGACGCTCGCGGCCGCGTCGCCGCGTCCGCAGCCCGCTCGCGTCGCCGCGACCCGACGCGCGGGCCGGGAACCCACCCCGTCGTCGTCGTCGTCGTCGTCGCACTCTTCCGGATATAATACATTTGACATCATCAGAAGCCCGTCGAACGCGCGCGACGTCCGCGCGCGCTTCCGCGTGAAGGGCGAGCCCGACGCGCCGTCGAAGGAGGAAATCGGCTGGAACGCGCCCCCCGGAATCCCCCCGAACGCGTGGAGCGTCCGCATGCACGTCCTCGCGGACGTCATCGGCGACGACGCCGGCGTCGTCGCGGACGTCGGGTGCGGCCACGGCCTCCTCGCGATCGGCCTCTCCACCGGCGGGCGGTGCGTAAAAGCAATCGCGATCGACGCGAGCGCGCCCGAGGTGGAGGCCGCGAGCGCGAACGCGCGCAAGGCGAGGGCGTTCTGCGGCGGCGACGCGTGCGCGCTCAACGTCGACGTCAGGCTCGGGAACGGCGCGGAGGCGCTGAACGTCGCGGACGCGACGAACGTCATCGTGGTCGCGGGCGTCGGCGCCAAGACCATGATAAACATCCTCGAAGCCGCGGCGCTCGGCGGCGACGGTCCCGGCGCGAGCGTGGAGCGGCTCGTCCTCAACCCGCCCGCGAAGGACGCGGAGGCGATCCGAAGGTGGCTCATGGACTCGAGCCGAAGAAACGCCCGCGGACCGAGCGTTTGGGTGATCGACGACGAGCGTCTCGTCGTGGAGAACGAACAGCTGCACGTCGTCGTCGCCGCGAGGAGAGCGACCGCGACCCCTCAGGAAGAAGTCGACGCCGCGTCCGCGTCCGGCTCCGGCTCCGGCTCCGCGCGCCCCGACCTCGCGGACGTCGTGATAGGCCCGGTTCTGCGCGCGTCGTCGCCGGAGGAGTCGCCGCTGCTGGGGTGTTACCTCGGGCAGAGGCTGGAGTGGACCGTGGACGCGAGGGACGCGGCGGCGGCGGCGGCGCGACGCGCGCGAGACGCGATTGACGTGCCGACGCGATTGGTCGAAATTCGAGCGTTCGTGCGCTGGGAGGAGGCTGGGAAGCCGGAGAACACGTCGGAGGAGTGGCGCGCGGCGGAGTTCGCCGCCGCGCGAGAAGACCTCGAGCTCGAGATCATCTCCGGCGCGTCCCTGAACGACATCCGCCGGAGGTTCGACGCGGAGACGGCGGGGGACGGCGACGACGGCGACGCGAAAATCCGCGCGAGCGCCGACGACGTCGCGCGATGGACGCGGGAGGCGCGGCGGCTCAACGACGCGGTGAACGTCATATGGGCGGCGTTGGGGTACCATCGCACGTCCTCCGCGGTGGACGCGGCGCGGAGACAGATCACGTGATGTGAGCTGAGAAGAAGACTACGATGGAATAATAAAAATTAATTTAAGGAGCGCGAGAGAGACGCGTCAGAACCGTCCCTCGAGGTACGCCCAAATCGCGCTGACGACGACGCCGGCGAACCCGACGACGACGCCTATTTTCGTTACGGCGTCGACCCACGACTCGTCCGCTCGTCGCGCCGCCGTCGCGGTCCCGCCGCCGCCGCCGCCCGCGACGTCTTCGATGTCGCCGCCCGCGTCCCCGCCCGCGACGTCTTCGATGTCGCCGCCCGCGTCCCCGCCCCCGGTCTTCTCCCCCTCGTCGCACTTCTCGCACGGGCTCTTCGGCGGCGGCCACGTCTCGCCCGCCGCCGCCGCGGCCGCCGCCGCCGCCGCCGCGTGATCCTCCGTCTTCATCCCCATGCTCCCGCGCCACAGCCTCGGTATCTTCTCCCCGCGTCGAATCGTCCGCTCGACGATGTCCGGGATCTCTCTCGGGGTGACGTACCCGTACCACGTCCCCTCGCTCGCCGCGGCGTCGGCGTCGGCGTCGACGCCCCCGAGCGGGTGAAACACGAGCACGTTCCCCGCGTACGCGTGGCCCCCCACGTGCGAGCACCCGCGGACGGCGACGCGGTCGGTCAATCCTCGCGCGTCCACCTCCGCGCGAATCGCGTCCACGAGCGCGGGGCCGCACAAACCGCACCGCGCGTCCCTCGCCGCGTGCGTGCACACGAACACGTGCGCGCCGCGGAGTCGCTCGCATTCGCCGCCGGGGAGTCCCGCCCCCGCGTCGCCGGTCACGAAGACGTCGCGCACGAACGCGGCGACGCGCTCGGGCGACGCGTCGGAGGGATCGTCGTACGCCTTTCGCCGCGTCGACTGCGGAAAGATGAGGACGTCGCCCGGCGCGTCGCTCGCGTGCGCGCGCGCGCCCGCCTCCGCGAGGTTCAGCTTCACCTTGCCGCCCACCGCGTTGCTCCCCGGCGCGAACTGGTGCACGCCGCCTTTGTGCGCGCCGGCGGCGGCTTCGAGCGCGGCGTGCATCGATCGCGAGACGTCGCCGATCGGTCCGTCGAACTCTTTCGCGGGCCATCGCGACGCGTCGTCGTGGACGAAGAACGCGTGGCAGTCGTGATGCTTGACCGTACCGACGAGCGATTCCGTGCGCATCTCCTTTCGGTTGAACCCGACGCGCACGTTGTCCTCCGCGGTGCCCTGGCGCGAGGACGAGGCGGGAGTGGCGGGTGAGACGAGACGAGCGATGATGCGCGCGCGACGAGGCGAGATCTGTGTGACGAGCGACGGACAGGACGCGAGGCGACGACCAGACGCGCACCTGTATCGGCGCCATGGCTTGCGTTCGCGGCGGCGCGCGTCGAGGGCGCCTTCGCGCGCCGCGGAACGACGACGCGGCGACGAAGCTCGACCCCACGCGGAAGACGCGCATGAGCGGCGCGTCCGCGAGTGCGCGGCACCCCTCCTCGTGCAGGGTTTAGGGTTGCGGTGGTCGCGAGCGTCGCGTCGCGTCGAGGCGCACTTTTCTCGGAAGGCACTCACGGCGCGGGCGCTAACATCGAACGCACTCCGCGCGGCGCGGCGGCATGGCGACGACGTTCCCGCCGCCGCGAACGCGCGCGCGCGCGTCCTCGGCGACCTCGCGCCGGATCGACGTCCCCCGCGCTCGGCGCGCGCTCGGCCGTCCGTCGTCGCGGTCGCGCGCGGCGCTCCCGGAAGCCGCGTCCGAGCTCATCGCAAATCTATCGTCGTCGTCGTCGTCGTCGTCGTCCTTCCTGACCGCGTACGACGCCGCGCTCGCGTCCGCGCCGGTGCTGACGAAGTCCATCACGTCGTGGGCCGGGTTCACGATCGCGGACGTCGTCGCGCAAGCGCTCACGAACGCGCTCGACCTCGACGCGAACGCGAACGACGACGGACGGAGCGGGAGCGGGAGCGTTCGGTTCGACCCGTCGCGAACGCTCCGCAACGGACTGTTCGGGCTCGCGTTCTACGGGCCCGTCTCCGGCGCGTGGTACGCGTGCTTGGACGCGAACGTGATGACCGAGGACCCGAACGGCGCGACCGCGGTCGCGGCGAAGACGTTCCTGGACCAGGCGCTGTGGGCGCCGGCGTTGGTCACGAGCCTCTTCGCGTGGGATTTGGCGTGCTCGGGGGAGCCGCTGTTCCCTGGGGACGCCGCCGGGGACGCCGCCGGGGACGCCGCCGGGGACGCCGGGAAAACCAAAACCGGGGACGAAACGCGCGGGAACGGGCTCCCCGCGAAGCTCAGGCGCGACCTCATCGATACCCTGTACGTGAACTGGAGCTTCTGGCCCGCGTTTCACGTCCTGAACTTCTCGTTCGTCCCGCCTGGAGAGAGGATACTGTACGTCAACGTCGTGCAGGTCATCTACAACGTGTTTCTGTGCGTGAAAGCCGCAGACAGAGGGACGCGGGACGCGGCGGAAGGGAGGGAAGGCGGCGCGTAGGCGGGCGGACGCTGACTCATCGTTAAATAGACTACAGGTATGATATGATATATAAAAGGTAGCGCGGTCGTGAGTTAGTTTACATCGCTCGCGAGTCGATCTCGCCCTTGGAGAGCGTCTCCGCGAACGCGCCGCCCTTTCTAATCTCCATCTTCTCGATGAACGCGCACCACTCCGCGAGTAACACCATCCCCTTCCCGTCCGCGTCCATCGCGTTGAACACCTCCGCGGGGTCCGCGCCCGACTCAAACGCGACAAACGGTAGCGCGCCGAGCGTTTCGTACGCCGCGGTAAACTCCTCGACGGTGACGCGTCGGTCGTCGTCCGTCGCGACGCCCCGACCGCCGCCGTCGACGGCGGCGAACGCGTTGTACATCTCCGCGTACGCGCACAGGTACGCGCACAGGAGGCGGAACTCCGACCTCTGCACGTAGTCGTCGTACTCCGCGATGCCGCCGGAGCCCACCGGTTTATTCGCCATGACGTCCTTCGCGTCGTTGAACGCGCGGATGTACGACGGACGGAACGCGCGCCATATCGTCTCGCCGTCGTCGTCGCTGCGGGCGTTTTGAAGTTCGTCTTTGACCCAGCCGTCAACCTCCGCGAGCGAGAGGTGCCCGTTCCCGTTCGGGTCCGCGCGACTCCACCCTTCGTCTCTCGCGCCGACCGCGCCGTCGCTCGGCGAGGCGTACCTCTCGAACGTCCTCTTGAACGCGGTCAGACCGTCCGACGTGATCGCCGGCCGCGTCTGCGTCTTGATCGTCTCCTTCCACCCCGCGTCGGTGACGACGCCGGCGCGTCGCCTCGGGTCCTCGGACGCCGCCTTGGAGAGCACGATCGCGTACTTGCCGTTCTTCTCGATCTCTTTCTTCTCGATGAACGCGCACCACTCCTTGAGCGACACCTTCCCCTTGCCGTTCGCGTCCATCTCCGCGAACACCGCGCGCATCCCGGGCTCGTCGAGCGGGTGATCGAACGCGACGAACGGGCCCGGACCGAGCGCCGCGGCGTATCCGGCGACGAACTCATCCGCGGTCATCCTCCGGTCGTCGTCCTTCCTAGTCGTCGCGCCCTCGCCGCCGCCGCCGTCGATCTCCGCGAACGCGTGATACATCTCTGCGTACGCGCACAGGTACGCGCACAGGAGGCGGAACTCCGGGCGTTGGACGTAGTCGTCGTACTCCGCGCCGCCGCCGCCGCCCACCGGTTTATTCGCCATGACGTCCTTCGCGTCGTTGAACGCGCGGATGTACGACGGACGGAACGCGCGCCATATCGTCTCGCCGTCGTCCCCGCCCCGCGCGTCGACGAGCGTCTGGAGGATCCAGCCGTCCGTCTCCGCGAGCGAGAGGTGGCCGTTGTAGTTCGGGTCCGCGCGCTGCCACGCGGCGTCTCGCTTCGATCGCGACACCGCGTCGTTCGTCGTCAGCGGACGGAAGCACTCGAGGAACGACGCGCCGCCGCCGGAAGGGACCGCGGTGAACGCCGCGGTCTTTATCTGCGCCTTGAACGTCTTCGCCTCTCTCGACTTTGGCTTCGTGACGGAGAGCAGCGCGTCGACGTCGTCCGAAGCACTTGGCTTGACGCGCGCGGTGTTCGCATCCTTGGAAGCGTTCGGGGTCAACGCACGCGGGCCTTCCGGGACGACCTCGATCGACGACGCGCCGCACCCCATGACGGACGGACGGCGCGCGCGGTCGGCACCCCCGCGAAGATGGGGTGGTCGCGCGAGCGACCAGGTGGCGTCCGCGGCGGAGGGAGGCACGAAACCCGACGCGCGCTCGGGAGTGGGAGCGACTCGAGGACGCGGGCGCCGCGCTCGGACCAGTGCTCTCTCTCGTCGCGAAAAGTCGCGGCTTTTCGTCCTTTCCGTCTCGGAAAAAATGCTCGGCGTCTCGTCCAAAAAGAATCAACAAATCGCGATCGCGTCCGCTACCGACCACCCCCCACACACACCCCCCATCCTCCCGCGTCACTCCCCCGCGACGTCGCACAGAAGCTCCCTCGACAAAATCTCCGCCTCGCGATGCACCTTCAGCGACTCCCGCGTGAGCTGCTCCATCTTCACGCTCAAAACTTTCATATCCGCGGCGAAGGCGTTGGAGAGCATCTTTTTTTTCAGCTCGACGTCCGCGTTGACGCCGTCCATGAAGGACTTGTCGAACCCGAAGCTGTACGTCATCAGGAGCTCCTCCCCGGCGCGTATCTTCTTCGACGCCGCGATCGCGACGATTCCAGACGGAAACGGCACGGCGTGGCAGTTCGTCTCGTTCGTCGTCTTCTTCAGGTACTCTCCCGCGTAGGCCGCGTCCGTCGCATCCGTCGGCGGCGGAAGGACGTCGTTGACGAGGTGCCCTAAAAACCCGGACACCAGCGGCGCGCCCGGGTCCGCCTCTAACCTGAGCGCGTTGCCGTCGCCGAACATCTTGTGCCCGTTGAACATGACGTACGACGGCTGCGGCGCGACGTACGTCTCGGATTTGATCGTCGACGCGACGCCCTCGGCGGCGCCGCCGTCGTCGTCCCCGCCCGCCCCCTCATCTTTTTCTCCATCCTTCGACGACGCCTTCTCCACGCGCATCAGCGACAGCTCGTTCGACGCCGGGTACAGCGTGAGGAGCTCGTGCGGCTCGATGTCCCTGATCGCGAACACGCCCTTCCCGTCGCACACCGTGGAGTCTCGAACCTCCACGGCGTCGTAGTCCACGTGGAGGTGCGGCAGAAAGTCTGGGATCTGTTTCAGCGCCTCGAAGTGCTTCGCGACGGACGCCAGCAGCGCCGCCTGGTCGCCCTCGCGCATCGTCATGCTCTTGACGCCCCCCTCCGCGTACATGCGCTCCGCGACGTTCCAGTTCGCGCCGTACGTCGCGCGCGTGACGTGCGAGTGGTGCGAGGGAGACCCGCCGGACGTGCGCGTCGGCGCGCGCGACGGGCTCGGCGATCGGCTCCTCGGCGAGCGCGATCCGGTCGAAACGCGCGACGGCGACGCGCGGGACGTGTGCCCGAGCATCGACGCGCCGGACGCGGACATGGCGACGAGAGGCGCCGCCTCCTGCGCGCGATGGGCGCGATGTGCGGAGACGGGGTGGCGACCGCGACGCCGCCGGCGGGACGCGTCGGGCGCGCCAGAGGATAAAGCGGCGACGCGGCTGGTTCTCGGCGTTCAAAGATCTCTTCGGAGATATCTTCCGGTCGACGAGTTCGGACGAAACTTCGCGAAGTGCCGCGCGTAATAAAACCTCGCGCTCGCGTTACAAGTGCATGTACAACCACGTCACGTCACCTCGCGCGAGCGGTCGCGCGCGCGCGTGATCGTCTCTCTCTCTCTCTCTCTCTCTCTCTCTCTCTCTCTCTCTCTTCTCCGCGACGCCGGAAGACGACCGACCGTCCCTCCGCCGCTCTGCGGGTATTCTCCGCGTTTCGTTTCGGTTCGCGTACTTCACGCAGGCATGTACGTGGACGTGTCGATCTGCTCCGGGAGCTCCTTGATCTCCACCTCGAAGCGCTCGTGCACTTGGTTCAAAACCCCGCTGTCCTCGTCCGAGGCGATGAACGTGATCGCGAGCCCCTTGGTGCCGAACCGTCCGGCGCGACCTACGCGGTGCAAGTACGTGTCCGCGCCATCCGGCATGTCGTAGTTGATGACGATGTTCACCCGCTCGATGTCGATCCCGCGCGCGACGAGGTCCGTCGCGACGAGGATCCGTTTGTGCCCCTCCTTGAACGACTTATACCGCGCGAGGCGCTCCTCTTGGGACATCCCGCGGTGGATGGCGATGGACGGAAAGTTGCACTCGGTGAGGAGCTTGTCGAGGTACGTGCACCGCTGCACGGACTTGACGAAGATCACAACCTGGTTGAACATCAGCGCGTCGAGAAGGTCGTTCAGCTTACGGTTCTTCTCGCCCTCCTGGAGCTTGATGTAGTGCTGCACGAGACCGTGCAGCGTCAGCTTCGTCTCGTCGTCCACGTAGATCTCCATCGGATCGTTCATAAACTTTTTGCACACCGGTCGAATCTCCTTGCTGAGCGTCGCGCTGAACATCATCACCTGCTTATCGTGCGGGGTCATCTTGAAGATCTCCTGCACGTCCGAGCGCATGTCGAGCTGCTCGAGCATCTTATCGCACTCGTCCAGGATGAAGTGCCCGCACTGCTTCAGCGACAGCGAGCCGTCCTTCGCGAGCGCCTTGAGCCGCCCGGGCGTCGCCACCACCACGCTCGGCGGCTTCGCCTCGAGCTCCTCCTTCTGCTGCTTGATGTTCACGCCGCCGAAGACGACGGAGACGTTCACGTTCGGGAGGTACACGGAGAACCGCTCGAACTCGTGCATGATCTGATACGCGAGCTCTCTGGTGTGGCACAGGATGAGCGCGCCGATCTCGCCCGGGACGGGCTCGAGCTGCTGCAGCACCGCGAGGACGAACACCGCCGTCTTGCCCATGCCAGACTTGGCCTGGCAGATGACGTCCATGCCGAGGATCGCCTGCGGGATGCATTCGTGTTGGACTGATCGTACGATGTCGGGGAGGGAGGGAGGGTTAGAGTTCGGGTTAGGGTTAGGGTTAGGGTTAGGGTTAGGGTTCGGGTGAGGGGTCGGATCGGATCGGATCGGATCGGATCGGACGCGGAGAGGCGACGAATGAATGAATGAACGAATGAATGATCGCGCCCGAGGGGCGGATCGTCGGTCGCGCGATCGCTCGACGCGGGACCCGCGCGCGGCGCGTTCGAGCGCGCGGCGTCGTCGTCGACACGACGCGGGGTGATCGCGACGGCGTGCGGCGGTCGCGACGCGCGGGACGGGTCCGCGCGCGTCAGATCGCCCGCGCGCCGCGGATCGGAATTCCCGGAAAGATGATGCCGAGCGCGGGACGAGGGAGGATGAAATAAATGCGCGCGAAACGAAACGCGACGATCGATCGACGCCGCCGCCGATCGCCGCGCGCGAGCGAGAGGAGGACGTCGACGCGAGGCGCACCTTCGGACGGGTGCTCGAAGCCGCAGTCCACGATCGCGCGCAGGAGCTCCGGCTTCAGGAGGAAGTCCTTGAAACCGGTGCTGTGAATGCCGACGTAGCCCTTCTTGACCGCCTCGCCCGCCTTGGCGCCCTGAACCTCGGTCGCTTCTTCCTCCTCCTCGTAGTCGAGGAGCTCCTCCTCTTGCTCGACGGGTTCGTCGGCGGCCATCGTGTGTGCGGGTGTGTGTTTTGAGTGACTGAGTGCGACGCGGCGTCGATCGCGCGCGTGTCCTGGAGTGATGAGGCCGCGGAAGAATTGCGCGGCAAAATTCCGTCCCCGATGAACCAGACGCGCGCGAGTCAACTCTGATGAGCGACAGCTGCTCCCGAATCGATCGATCGATCACTCGCGCGGGCGCCGGTCGCCCGCGACGCGCGCGCCATGGGGAAGTCCACCTTCGCGTTCCCCGTGGACAAGGATTTCAACCCGAAGCCGCCGAAGCCGAAGCGGCGCTCGGCCGTCCCCTCAGACGACGCGCGAAGGCGGGGAGGCGAGGACGACGACGCGGAGTCGGCACGAGCGCGGGCCGACGACGAAGACGAGGGCTCCGGAAAAGCGCCCCTCCCTCGACCCGAGATCGTCAACGACGAGACCTGGACGCCGAAGCCGGCGCCGTTCATCCCGCCCGGGATCCCGCTCGGGATCCCCCTCGGCGAGGAGCATGAGCACCGCGAGCCGCACCCGGACCCGGAGATCGAGGAGGTGCTGCGACAGCTCAAGCCGTACTCGGATCCGCTCGCGACGGACCCGTTCTCGCCGGATTTCTTGTTCGACCTCGACGACGCCAAGCTCGTCGCGGAGTTACAAGCGAACCAGTACGTCATCGCGAAGAACGTGGAGGCGAAGGCGCTCAGGGAGAAGCTGAAGTGCATGGAGAAGCAGCACGAGGAGGCGGCGGCGGAGATGAAGCGGTTGCGCGAGGAGCTGGCGGACGAGCGGACGAGCCACCGGCAGCAGTTCGAACGCATGCGGCTGAAGCTCGCGACCAGCGTGCAGCTGGAGGAGGTCCAAGCGCGGTACGACGAGTTCAAGGAGTTGGAGGAGGACATCGAGAAGGCGAACGAGGCGCTGCAAAACGCGGCGGCGCGCGTCGAGGAGGCGGAGTCGGAGGCGGCGAAAGAAAAGAGACGCGCGGATGAAGAAAAGAGACGCGCAGACGTCGCCGAGAAGAAAGCGGCGAAGGTCGCGGAGGAGAACGCGCGCGGGCGGAAACGAGAGATCGAGCACGTGAAGAGAATCGAGAGCATGGAGGCGGCGCTCAAGGCGGCGACGCCGAAGGAGATGATGGAGGAGGTTGTCGGGAGCATGGAGACCACGGTACGGAACCTCGCGGACGCGTTGCGTCGGACGCAAGAGCAGGCGAACGCGATGCAAGAGACGATGCGAGGGCAGATCGCGGAGCGTTCGCGGCTCGCGGGGGAGCTGGACGACGCCAAGGCGACGATCGAGACGTTGCGCGCGGAGTTGGAGGAAGCCCGAGCGAGCGCGACCGCGACCGCGAGCGGGGGCGGGGGCGGCGGGGACAGGAGGGAGAAGACCGGCGACGGCGGAGGGCGGTCGGGGTCGGGGTCGGGACCCCGAGGCGAGGGCGGGAAGCCGCCGACGCCGCCGACGCGGGGCGGCGGGACGATGGGCGCGCGCGTGGGAGGGCCGCGCCCGGTGTCTCAGGCTGCGGCGAAGCGCGCGTTCAAGAGCACGAAGAGCACGGGGCATCTGTACACGCGTTGACGGGTTTTATTTACGTCATACCTATAGCTAGTCCAGTCGACGCCGTCACCCTCTACGACCCGACTCTACGCGATCGATTCGATTCTCCCCCGTCTACATCTCCCCTAACTCGTTCTCGCGCCCGTGCGGGTCCGCCCACGTCTCGTACCCGCTCAGCTTAAACCTCCCCTTGTACTCATCCAACATCGTGTACGTGCTCCCGGGCGGCGCGTTTTTCGGTATCTGAGGGCCATCCATCGGTCAGTTGAAAAGGGACGCGATCAAGTGTTGAAACCGGACAATGGGTGAAAAACTTTTCTACAGAACGCACCTGAAACGAGCAGTACAGTAACAGACGATCTGTCGCCGTGACGCCGCACGAGTGGTTCGCCGTCCCGCGATGGATCGTCCGACTGTCCATGAGCAACACGTCCCCGACGCACAGAAGCGCGGGGACCGGCGACGGGTACCCCGCATTCGTTAACGCATCCTCCCCGGCGGTTATCCCCCCCCCGCCGAAAACGTTCCCTCTGGTCAACGCCTCGTGCGCGTCCCTGAGGGTGTAATGTCCATACGAAGCGACGTCGAGGTGGAGTTCAAAGGAGTCAGAAGCGGAGTCGAAAGGCGTCGAGGTGTGTGCGTCGGGATTGAAAGCGAGGGACCCTGGGCGGAGAGATGCGCCGGGAGAGAAAGTCCTCAAGGATCGGCGTTCACCGCGCGAACGCGGTCGCGTGGGAACCGGCGTACGACAGAACGCGCCTGACGTGAGACCCGGGCACCACCTCCGTCGGCCCCATGTCCGGCCGCACGTCCTGCAGCGCCACGAACGCGGTGATCAGCGCGCAGTGCGCGCCCGCGCCGGCGTACTGCGTGTCCGGGTGCAGCGGCTGGTCCTTCGCGCCGGGCTCAGAGCACAGCGCGGCGAGCTCCGCGAGCTCCGCGTCGGACGTCAGAAACGCCGCCAGCGGCGCGCGGACGCATCGAAGAAGCGGCAGCAGCACGCTCAGGGTCGTTCCATACAAAGCGATGTCGGGGTGGAGTTCAAAGGCGTCAGTTGGCGTTGAAAGGCGTCGAAAGCGGGGATTGAAAGCGAGGGGTGGGCGGAGAGATGCGCCGGGCAAAGTCCTTAAGGAATGACGTTCACCACGCGAACGGGGTCGTATGGGGACCAGTGTATAGAACGTACCTCAGCACCGGCCTCGAGAGCGACAGCTTGAGGTCGCGCCGCCCCGACGGCGACGCGACGTCGCCGAAGTACCGCGCGCTCGCGGCGTGGCGCGCGTGCGCGGGGTGTACGGGCATCGTCTTGGCCACGGCGCGCGCGAGGCGTCGGCGGATCTGATGCAGCGCGTCGTCGCACTCGCGTCGCGGGACCGCGGCGCGGACGACGACCGCGCCGTTCCGCGCGAGCGCGTCCGCGGCGGCCTCGCGTCCGAGGTCTTTCAGGAGATCGGTCGCGTGCATCGTCTCGAGGACGGGAGGGGGAGGCGGCGGCGGCGGCGGCGGGGGCGGCGGCGATTCCGAATCGGCGCGCGCGTCGGGCGAATCGATGGAGGACGTCGCGCTCGGGTCGGCGGCGGCGGCCGCGTCCGCGTCCTCGCTCGGCGGGACGCCCACCCCGGGCGGGACGGGCGCGTCCACGACGTCGGCCATGTGCGACCTCGGGCGCGACGGCTCGAGGTCGACGCGCGTCACCGCGCGGCCGCGTGTGTCTCGGCGCGGCGATCGTTCGTTCCGAGACGGATTTTGCACCAAGTCGAACGCGATTACGATCACGCGCGCCAGCATTCTCTCGACACTCCGCGGCGCGCGGGCGCGCGCGTCTCGAACGATGGAGAGCTCGTTCCAGCGCCGCGGGCGGCGGTTCCGCGACAAGACGCTCGCGCGCGAGCCGCCCGCGACGGCGTCCACGGCGTCGCCGTCGACGCCCGACGCTTCCGCGCGAGGAGCGGGCACCCTCGGAGGAGGATCAGGAGGAGGAGGAGTCGGCGGCGCGGGCGAATCCCCGCCGCCCGTCGCCGCCGCGCCGGGCGCGCCCGCCGCGGGGACGCGACCGGGCCTGTACGGCCAGACGCTGATATCCACCGGGCTCGCGGAGTTCGACGACCTCGTCGGCGGCGGCCTCCCGCTCGGCTCGGTGACGCTGATCGGGTCCGACGGCGCGAACGAATCCTCCCGGGACGTCGGCCACGCGGGAACGTTCGCGCGTTACTTCGTCGCGGAGGGCGTCGCGAGCGGTCACCGCGGGCTGTGGATGCCGCCGACGAGCGGGGCGAGGGACGTCGCGCGCGCGCTGCCGAGGATCGTGTCGCCGGACGACGCCGCCGCGCGCGACGACGACGACGACGGCGGCGCCGCCGCCGGTGGCGACGACGGACTGCGCATCGCGTGGCAGTACCGCCGCTATCTCAGGCAGGGAAAAGCGCTGGACGACTCGAGAGTAGGCCGAGGGAGAGACGGCCTCGGCGCGGGCGTCTCCGCGTCCGGGGGATCGAGCACGAGCGCGAGCGCGAGGTCCAAGTCGAGGCGAAACACCGGAGGCGTCGTGCGTCTGCCGGAGATGTGCCACGCGTTCGACCTCACGAGGGAGATGGACCCCGCGACGATCGCCGCCGCGACGCTGCGCCGCGAGCCGTTCGAGCCGCGCACGTCGCTGAGCGACCTCGCGCGCGGCCGCGGCGGAACAGCGGGCGCGGAGGACGAAACGTCGGCGACGACGCGTCGCGCGAGGCGGACCCGCGACCGTCTGCGACGCGCGCTCGACGCGTGCGCGTCCTTCCGCCGCGACTGCGACGCCGCTGGCCCCGGCGTCGTCGGCCGCGTCGTCGTCCACCCGCCGGTCGACGATATCGACGTCGGCGGGCCGTCCGTCGAGGCCGCGGGCGAGTTCGCGCTCTTCCTCCGCGCGTTGCGCGCGACGCTCGGCGGCGGCGCCGTCGCCGCGATGGTCGTGTTCCCAGTCGCCGCGTGCGACGCCGCGTCCGCGGCGAAGTTGCGGCACGCCTCGGACGCGTGCGTGGAGTTGTCGTCGCTGTCGTCGCCCGCTGGCGCGCTCGAGCAGCTGCTGCCGGACCCGCGGCTGTGCGTCGGGTTGGTGCGCGTGCGCAAGCTGTCCTTCCCGGGCGTCGTCGGCGCGTCGCCGCTGACAAAGATGGACCACGCGTACGCGTTGCAGATAAGGCGGCGGCGGATGGCGATCCGGCCGCTGCAGTTGTCGCCGGAAGACGCGGGCGGTGGCGGCGGGGGAGGGGTTGGGGGGAGGGGGGGGGAGGGGAAGCCGAAGAGCGCGTCCGCGGGGCTGTGCGGCGGGCCGCCGAACGCGACCAAGGCGTATGATTTTTAAATCGAAGCCGTCGCGCGCGCAGTTTGGTACGGTGAGCCGCTCCGTGTTGCGTTGGCATCTTAGACTAGTGTATCTTATAGAAGAAGAGAGAACGAAACGAAAGAGCTCAGCTCGGTCTGTCGTTCGCTCGCGCGCGTTCGCGTTCACTCCGCGACGGACGCGGACACCGCGTCCGCGAGCCTCCCGACCGCGTCTTCCACGCGGCTCCAATCCTCCGCCATGCCGACCCAATCCGGCCCCGCGCTCGGGGCGCCCCCCCCCCCGCCGACGAACCCCGCTCGGCCCCCGCTCGGCCCGTACGTCGCCTTCACGACGCCGTACCACGCCTTCGTGAGCATCGCGAGCAGGAACGCGGAGCACACCGCGATCGCCGCGGTCGTCGCCTTGACCGGGTGCTCCGACACTTTGGACGGGGAGGTAAACAGTCCGAACATTATTCGCAGCACGCCGAAGACGCCGACGACCGACGCCCTCGCGATCTTCGCGGCGATCCTCGCCCAACCATCATACCCGGAGACGTCCTCGAACGCGTACTGCAACCTGCGCGACATCTTGCGCACGCTCGCGGGGACGTTCGCGGTGGGGATGCCCGCGAGAAACCCGTCGTCGTCGTCGTCGTCGTCGTCGTCGTCGTCCCATCCGGACGACGACGCGCCGCCGGTCCCGCCGCCGGCGTTTCGTCGCGAAAACGGCGACGGCTTCCCCGCGGAGTACTCCCTGAACGCGCTCGGCGCCGGCCGCGCGACGCTGTCCTGGACCCTGCGACGACGCAGCCACGTCTGCGGGGACTCGACGTCGCCTTCGACGAACGCGACGGATCGCGTCGCGGTCGCCGCCCTGTCCGTCGCGGGCGCGGGCGCGGGCGCTTCCTCTTCTTCTTCTTCTTCTTCTTCGTCGTCGTCGTCGCCGTCGTCGTCGTCGTCGCGCGCCTCTCCTTCGTCGTCGAACCGCGACGTCCACTCGTACCCGGGCTCCGGCGGGTCCTCCCGCGGGGACCAGATCTTGTACGACGCGCTCGTTCCGGCGGCGGCGGGTTTCCTCCCGCCGCTTCGTCTTCGCGACCGCGTCGTCGCCGCCGCGACCTCTTCCGCCGCCGCCGTCCGCCCCCCGTCGCCGCCGTCGTCGTCGTCGCGCTCGATGACAATCTCATCCGCGATGTTCTCGCTCACCCACCGCTTCAACAGCGTCTCCGCGGCGACGCTGCCGGTGTACGCGGACGGCATCACGAGCCGAGACGCGCCCGCCTCCGTCGTCTCCCAGTGCGGGAGTCGGTGCATCCCCCCCGCTGGCGTCTTGACCGTCGTGTGCACAGCTGGCGCGGGCACCGCCGCGAGCGTCGCCGCGGGCGTCGCCGCGGGCGTCGCCGCGGGCGCGAGGTTGGACCGTCGTCGCGGCGGCGGCGGCGGCGGTATTCGCGACGCGAACGCGGGGCCGCGGTGGTTCAGCACGGGCACCGTGTCCGCGGTCTCGGACGGCGAGAGAAGGCGCGAGAGGAACGACGACGCCGCCGCGCCGGCGACGTCGCGTGCGGCGGCGACGGCGTCGGCGACGGCGACGGCGGCGCGCGACGCCGTGTCCGCCGCGCGCGACGCCGTGCGCGGGCGCTCGCGCTTCTGCGCCGTCGCGGGCAACTCCTCCTCCTCCTCCTCCTCCTCCTCCTCCTCCTCCTCCTCCTCCTCCTCCTCCTCCTCCTCCCCCTCCTCGCCCTCATCCCCCTCCTCCTCGCCCTCATCCTCCTCTTCGCGTTCCTCGCGGTGCGCCTCCGCCTTCTCGAGCAAGAACTTCTTCGACGCGACCGTCATCTCGCGCGTCTCCGCGATACGCGCGATCGTGTTGTACTCGATCTCCGTGACGCGTCCTCCGTCGTGGACGTCCTTCCACACCGCGCGCGCGTCCTCGATGCGCAGCCGACCGTGCCGCGCCACCGCCGCGTCCGCGATCGCGAGCGCGTTCGCGTCGCACCGCTCACCGTCCTCGACGCGATACGCTCTCGGCGCGCGCGCGGGCGTGACGCCCGTCTCCGGGTCGTGCTCCTCGCATCTCGCCTTGAGCCACGCGCTCGCGCTCGCGTCGACGCGGAACTGCGCGCCGCCGTTGCCGCCCTCCGCGATGAACTTGAGCGTCGCCCACTCGATCGGCGTGACGCGCCCGCCGTCCTGGACGTCGGCGTGGATCGCTTTCGCGTCGAACAGCGTGACGCGCCCGCCGTGGAGGATCGCGTCCTCGCACAGCGTCAGCGCGGCGTCGTCGTACTTCACGCCCTTGATTTGGCGGTACCGCTTCTTCTTCTTCGCGGTCGAGCGGGCGGGCATCGCGCCGGGCGTGCGCCCGCGCGCGCGAGAATAATTTGAATCTGGGACCCGACGACTGGACGCGAACTGAACAGAAGTTTGACGACCCGACGCGACGCGACGAGGCGAGGTTCCGCTACTGATCTGTCCGCGAGCTCTCCTCGCCGGAGCCCGCAGTCCGCCCCCGCGCGGCCGCCGCGCGCCAGCCATGGCATCGCGCGCGTGCGTCCTCGAGGAGGCTGCGATCACGGAGACGCACGAGCGCCTGCTCAACACGCGCGCGCCGCCGAGCACCGGGCTCCTCCTCGGGAAGCTCGAGGTGGGATCTCGCGATGTCGTCCTCGCGCTCGTGCCGACGCCCGCGAAGGAGGAGGACGACGACGACGCGGGCGGCGGGCCCGGGCCGGGGCGCGACGCGTCGTCATCGTCCGCCGCCGCGGCGTCCGCGAGCGCGCTCGAGATCGACGAGGACTGGATCGTCGAGCACGCGACGCAGGCGACCCGGATGCTTCCGGGCGGGATCCACGTCGTCGGCGTCTATGTCTTCGCGTCCGACGTCGCGATGAAGCGCGCGTCGAGCGCGGCGCTTCGCGCCGCGATCGAGGTCGGCATCGCGGAGCGCGCCCTGGACGTCTACGCGCCGCCACCGCCCGCCTCCTCCTCCTCATCCTCCTCCTCCTCCTCGTCCGTCCTCACGCGGCATCAGGCGTCGCCCGAGCGGCTCGTCGTCCACCTCAGCGCGGACGCGCGCGGGAAGGTCGTCGTCAAGCGGTGCGCGCTCGCGGACCCGGGCGGCGACCTTCGCCACGTCGAGCATCGCCTCGGGAAGGTCGCGGCGTCGCTGATAAGGATCGACGCGACGTACGACGTGCGCTGCGAGCTCGAGCTCGAGCGCGAGGGAGGGAAGACGAAGACGATGCGCGACGCCGCGGGGGCGGCGATCGAGCGAGAAGCCACGCGCGTGATGGCGTCGAGGGTGCTCCTGGACGGGACGTTCGCGCGTCCGGAGGAGGACGTCGTCGGCGTCGTCGGCGCGGACGTGCGCGCGGCGCCCGTGCGCGCGGAGCTTCTATGCCCGCCGCGCGCCTCCTCCTCCTCCTCGGCGGCTGCGGCCGCGAGCGGCGGCGGCCGCGGCGGCGGCGTGACGCTCCGCGGGACGATCACGTCGCGGTGTTACGCGTACGGCCGGGAGTCGATCGCGCGCGCGTGCGAGGACGTCAAGGGGGACGTCGTCAACTCGCTGCGGTCGCGCCTCGGCGTGTTGTGCGATTTGGCGGATAGCGCGGACGACGCCGCCGCCGCCGCCGCGGATGAAAAGGAGGACAGCGACGCCGCGGCGGCGGCGGCGCACCCGCTCAGCGAGAAGGGCGACCCGTTCCCCGGCGGCGACTGGGGCCCTAAGCGGCGCGCGTCGATCGCGCTGCCGCGTCGCGCGTGGGCGCGGTGGACGGTGGGCGGCGAGGCGGAAGGAGACGCGCGCCATCGCGGAGTACAGCTGTGCGACTATCTGACAGCGGACGAGGGCGCGGCGGAGGTGGTCGCGCGCGCGAAGGAGGTGCTCGGTTGCGACGTCGTCGGCGGCGTCGACGGCGTGGAGGACGACGCCGAGGTCTCGGCGCGCGACGACGACGAGTGCGAGGAGGAGGACGACGACGAGGACGAGGTCGACGACGCGGGATACGCGCCCCCGGACGACGGCGGGCCGACGTTTTTCGGGTACCTCAAAGGGTGCCACGGGTACACGGTCACGGCGGACGGGAAGGTGGTGTACGACGACCGCGTCGCGTGCGCGTGGATCCTGTTCGCGTCCGCGTGCGTCGCGCTGTTCACGACGATCGTGAACGTGTTCTTCACCCCGGACGGCACGGTCAAGCCGGGGTTCGAGGCGGACATGAGTTGACGCGAGCGCGCGTAGAGTAAGAATCTGATGGCTTTGATCATCCAGTCAGACCTGTCGTAGAAAACTTCCGTCAGCGTCAGATCCGACGTGTTGACTCCGCGAAGACCGAGAGACGCGTCGCGCCCGCACAACGCGCGACGCCGCGTCGTCGTCCGTCCGCGACGATGGACGGCGTCGTCGACGCGGACGACGAATTCGTCCTCCCCGGGGACGTCGCGCTCGCGACCGGGGAGCCGATCGTGAACGTGTTCTTCACCCCGGTGAACGCGGTGAGCGAGCGATACCGCGCCGCGGACGACGACGACGACGAGACGCGTTCGAGAAAAGCCGCGTTCGCGGGTGACGTGAAGCGCGCGTTCGACGCGCTCACCGCGAAAGAAACGTACGACATGGAGCCGAACGACGCCGCGGCGCTCGCGCTGAAGCTCACCGCGGACATGGCGGAGTGGCCTTTCAACGCGAGGGCGTTCTACGATGCCGCGAACGCGGGCAAGGACGTGACGGCGATGGATGAGGTGTTCCGCGCGTTTCGATCCGCGGACGCGCTCAACTCGAGCTTCGTCGCGCGCAAGGACGCCGCCGCGGCGTCTTCCTCCGCGCTCACGGACCGCGAACGCGCGCGGAGGAAGCCGCTGGACGACCTGAGGATCGATTTCGACGCGCTGGACCGGTTCTACGACGCGGTGCGAACGATGTTCGGCTCGGCCCTCGACGGTGCGCTATACGACCTCATTCATTCCATTCGCGAGCGCCTCGAACTCGACGCGTCGGGTCTCTCTCGCAGCCGCGGGAAGACGAATTGGGAGCGCCTAGGGCTATCGCTGACGCGATTGATACTGATGGTCATGCGGTACCTCTCCACGTGCGACGACTTGGACCACGTCCTAGAGGACATGCTGAGCTGTTGTTACGAGCTGGCGGCGACGCTGGACCCCCCCGGGATCCGATGTTTAACCGCGCAGCTCCGAGGGCTCGACCGCGGCCGGTTCGAGGCGCTCGCGCAGACGACGCAGCAGTTCGTGACCGTGAGGGTGTACGAGAGAGCGAGCGCGGAGGACGGGCACGACGACGGCGGGACGTTGGAGCACGCGGTGAGGTTCCTCGCGATGCTCTACGACGCCAACGCCGCGTCGGTCGACGACGACGACGACGACGACGACGAGGCGGATCTCAGACTCGGACTCGAACTCGAACTCGACGCCGCCGCGGATGCCACCGCCGCCGCCTGGGACTGGACGCGCGGCGTGCATCTGCCGCACGCCTACTTTTACAACGACGCGGTGAACGACGAGGCGTTCTTCGACGTGAAGGACGACTACCGACGGTGGAAAAATCCGGAGTGGCGCGCGTCGAAGTTTGCTTTTTCGTTTTGCGCCGTCGCGCCGTTCGCGTTCGATCCCGCGACCAAGGCGCGAATCTTGACCCTGGAGAGCAGGATGCTGATGACGAGCGAGTTTGAGGAGGCGATGATGCGGAGCGTCTTCTCTGGGTCGCGCGATTCGCCGTTTCTCGTCGTCAGGGTGCGGAGGGATACCTTGGTCCAGGACGTGTTGGCGCAAATTTCGAGCAAACGCGAGAGAGATCTCCGCAAGCCTCTGAAGGTGGCGTTCGTGGGCGAGCAAGGCGTGGACGAGGGCGGCGTCGCGAAGGAGTTCTTCCAGCTCTTCGTCCGTCGAGTGTTCGACCCGTCGTTCGGGATGTTCGCGCACGACGACGAGACGCGGACGTTCTGGTTCGCCCCCGAGGCGGACGATTTGGGGCTCGAGGACGTGGAGTTCGAGCTCATCGGCATCGTCATCGGCCTGGCGATTTATAACGAGCACATCCTCGACTTTCGGTTCCCGATGACCATCTACAGGAAGCTGCTGGGCCAGACGCCGAGCATGCGGGACTTGAGGGAGGTGAACCCGTGGCGGCACCAGGGTTTCGCGAAGCTTTTAAAGGCGCGAACGGCGGAGGAGGTGGACGCGTTTGGGTTGACGTTTACCGCGACGAGAATCGTCTTCGGCGACGAGGTCGTCGTCGATTTGATCGAAAACGGTCGCGACGTGCCCGTCACGATCGAGAACCGCAGCGCGTACGTCAAAGCCTACGTCGAGTGGTTCTTCGTCGACGCCATCCAATATCCGTTCGACGCGTTCAAGAGAGGATTCCACAGGCTGTGCGGCGGCCCCGTGATTCATTTTTTCCGCCCCGAGGAGCTCGAACAGCTCGTGTGCGGGTGCGCGCACTTCGACTTCAACGCGCTGGAAGCGGCGACGCGATACGAAGACGGCTACGCGAAGGATGATCCGACGATGCGAATGTTCTGGAGAGTCGTTCACGCCATGACCGAGACGCAGAAGCGGCGGCTGTTGTTTTTCGCCACCGGAAGCGACCGCGCGCCCATCGACGGGCTGGGCGCGTTGCCGTTCGTCATCAGGCGCGTTCTATCTTACACTGGTGCTCATACGACCGCGTTCGCGTGGTGAACGCCGTTCCTTAAGGACTTTCTCTCCCGGCGTTTCTCTCCGCCCATCCCTCGCGTTCAATCTCCGCCCGCGTTGCCTTTCAACTCCGCTTCTGACGCCTTTGAACTCCACCCCGACTTCGCTTCGTATGGAACGACCCTCAGCAAGAACGGCACGGAGGACCACCGGCTGCCGACCGCGCACACGTGCTTCAATCACTTGCTCTTGCCGGAGTACAAGGACGAGGGGACGCTGAGGGCGCGGTTGACGCAGGCGATAGAGAACGCGGAGGGGTTCGGGTTGCAATGAGTAGTCGAGTTGTTGTTAGCGGAGAGGGCGACGACTGACGAGAGTCTTTAGCTTTAGCGGCGACGAAATTTTTTAGCGAGCGAGCACACTACAGAACGCGAGAAGCACACTGCGAGCGCGAGCTCTCGAGATCTCGCGAGCGACGCGCCCAGCTCGCGTCGTGGCCACTCCGATCGGCGCCTCGGCACGATGAGCGACTCCGAGGACATCGTCGCGACCGGGAAGGCCCGCTCCAAGCGCGTCATGTCCGACAGCGACGATGACTCCGACGCGCCGATCCGCAAGCGCGCGGTGCGTCCGCGATCCGCCCGCCCGTCGATCGATCACGACGCGATTCCCCCACGCCGCGATCGATCAACCCTAAATCCTCCTCGTCTCGTCTGACGCCCCCGCCCTCCCCCGCCTCTCCGTCCCCCCAGGCCTCGGACGACGACTCCGACGGCGACGCGGAGGACCCGAACGACCCGTACGGCGACGGCTTCGGCGACGATCTCATGGGCGACGATGACGATCGCGACCGCCTTCTCGCCATGACGGAGCTCGAGCGCGAGGAGACGCTCGCGGATCGTCGCGACGCGCGCGCGAAGATCCAAGACCGCAAGCGAATCATTCAGATGGCGAAAGAGAAGAAAGCACGCGACAGCGGCGCGCTGAAGAAGAAGTTCAAGCCCTCGGACGCGACCGCGGGGAGGAAGAGCGGCCGCGTCGCCGGCGCCGACGCGCGCGAGCCGTCCAAGACGAAGAAGGCATTGGAGGACATCGCGAAGAAAAAACGCGCCGCGATGGATCGCCGGGTCGACGACGACGACGACGACGACGACAGCGACGACTACGACAGCGACGAGCTCGAGGACGAGGATCTCACCGGGATCTTGCCGACGCGAGAGAAGGCGTCCTCGCGCGCGCGCGGCAGGGCGCGCGCGGGCGCGTTTGACGACGAGTACTCGGACGACGACGAGGAAGACGACGGCGGCGACCGCGTCCCCGCCGCGGAGGCGCAGATACGAAAGATCATCCTCAAGCGCGAGACCCTGGAGAAGTGGGTCACCGAGCCGTACTTCGAGCAGTGCGCGCCGAAGTGCATGGTGCGCATAGGCATCGAGAGGAACCGCGAGACGGGGGAGAACAAGTACGTCGTGGCGGAGATTGTGGACGTCGCGGAGGGGAAACACGGGAATTACGTCTTGGGGGAGTACTCGTACGGGCACCACCCTCAAAATAAGGAGCCGCCGAAGAAGACGGGGAAGTGGTTGATATTGAGGTACGGCGACGCGTCGACGGACCGCGCGTTCAGCATCGACAAGGTGTCCAACGCGGAGGTGACCGCGGGGGAGTACGTGAAGTGGTGCAAAAAGATGGAGGAGTCCGGGCGGCGGATGCCGCAGCTTCGGGACGTCGCCGCCGCGGAGGAGAACATCAAGTTCGCTTCGAGTTACCGGTACACGAGCGAGGACGTGCAGAAGATGATCCAGAAGAAGAGGGAAGGACGGGACGGCCTCGCTCCGAACCTCGCAATGGAGAAGGAGACCATACGACGGCTGATCGCGCGCGCCAAGGCTGAGGGCGACGACGAGGCGGTCGAGACGCTCACGGCGCGACTCGAGGTGGTCATGGAGACGCTCACCAAGCAGTTAGACAAGGGCGGAAGGCAAGCGACGATGGCGAACATCAACAAGCGGAACAACCAGCTGAACGACGCGAATCTGTCGCGAATCGCGTCGGAGCAAATCGCGCGCGCGGCGAGCGGCGCGCCTGATAAATCAGCGGACGATCCGTTCTCGCGTCGTAAGACGAAAGCGGCGACGTATTACACGATCAACCGCGACGCGGAGGCGGCGGCGGCGGCGGCGGCGGCGGCGGGCGCGAAGACGGACGATGACGCGAACGCGAAGACGGACGACGCGAAGGCGGGGAAGAAGGGCCCGGGGAGCGGACTCAGAACCGCCGCCGGCCCGGACTTGCGCTCGCACGCGGTCGTGACCGCGGCGAAGCTCAGCGCGCTCGTCGCCGCGCACTCGGGGGTCACGATCAAGGGCGTGGAGCCGTCGCTCGCGGCGGCGCCGGACCCGACGACGCGCGCGGGCGTCTCCGTCGGGCTGTTGCCGGCGTTGCGGAGGGGGCTCATCAGCGGCGCGGGGTTGACGCGGGGGACCAACGCGATGAAGCCGACGGGGCGGACGTACTCGATCCAGGAGTACCAGGCGCGGCAGGGCATCGAGCAGGAGTGATGATAAGCGCGACTGCGTAGTCGAAATTCGATTCGTTTCATCGCCGCGAGAAGAGCGTTTGTTACGAGGGCGCTTCCGCGCGCCGCGCGACCGGTTTCGACCCCGCGGAAATTTTCCCGTTTTGCTTTTCGACCGACCAAGTTATCGATCAAATCGATCGGGGGTTTCCGATTAGAAATGTTGAAAGGTATTTTTTCATCGCAAGAGCCGATCAAATGGACCTTTGGAGCTCCAAGGGTCCAAACGGCACCTCTTCTCGCCCGCGAAACGGCGACTCGGCGCCTTTCACGACCGCTCCGCGCGTCGTCGCCGCATTCGCGCGCGCGCGACCACGCGGTCGACGCCGTCCGCGAACCCTCTCGCGCGCCCGCGCCCGCGCGCGACATGACGTGCGCGCTGACGCTCGCGGCCGCGGCGCCGCGCGTCGCGGCGACGGCGTCCCCGCTCGCGGCCGCGTCGTCGTCGCGGCGTCGTCGCCTCGGCGCGACGACGACCGACGCCGCCGCCGCCGCCGTCCGTCGCCGCCGCCCCGCGCGCCGCCGCGCCGCCGCCGCCGCCGCCGCCGCCGCGAGCGACGACGACGACTCGCACTACTACTCCGGCGACGCGAGAGGACCGAACGCGGTGGAGGACGTCGTCGAGCTCTACCTCGCGAGGGCGCGCGCGACCGCCGCCGATTCCGATCCGTCCTCGATCGTCGATCCCGACGACGACGGTCCGCCGCGCGGCAGAGGGAAGGGAAGGGTCTACCTCATCGGCACCGGCCCGGGCGACCCCGGACTCCTCACCCTGAAGGCGTTCCACCTCATGCAGACCGCGGACGTCGTCCTGTACGACCGCCTCGTCGCGCCCGCGATCCTCGACATGGTCCACGCGGACGCGAGGATGCTCTACGTCGGGAAGCAAGCCGGGTTTCACACGCGCACGCAAGACGAGATCGAGGCGATGCTCCTCGGGTTCGCGGAGGTGGGCGCGACGGTCGTCCGCCTGAAAGGCGGCGACCCGCTCGTGTTCGGCCGCGGCGGCGAGGAGATGGAGGCGCTCATGGCCAGAGGCCACGCCCTGAGCATCGTCCCGGGCGTCACCGCCGCCGCGGGCGTCGGCTCCGAGCTCGGGATCCCGTTGACGCACCGAGGCGCCGCGACGTCCGTGCGACTGCTCACCGGTCACCTGAGAGAGGGCGCGGCGAAGGAGGCGGCGTCCGGGGAGGGGAACGCGGTCGCGGACCCGATCGACTTCGCCGTCACCGCCGCGGATCTGGACACGACGCTGGTCGTGTACATGGGATTGGGGACGCTGCCGAGTTTGGCGGGGAAGGTGCGTTCTATACACTGGTTCCCATACGACCGCGTCGGCGTGGTGAACGCCGATCCTTAAGGACTTTTGCCGGCGCATCTCTCCGCCCACACCTCGCTTTCAACGCCCGCCCTCGACGCCTTTCAACTCCATCTGACGCCTTTGAACTCCACCCCGACATTAGCTGATCGCGTCCGGGTTTCCGCCGGAGACGCCCGCGGTGGCGGTGGAGCGCGGGACGACGCCGCGGGAGAGGCGCGTGTTCTCCGCGCTCGGCGAGCTCCCGGACGCGGTGCTCGAGTGCGAGCTGAAGTCGCCGACGCTCATCATCATCGGGAAGACGGTCGCGCTGTCGCCGTGGTGGCCGCGGAAGGCGGGCGAAAAAGCGGCGGAGGGGGGGGGGACGTTCGTCCTTCAGGAGGGGCTCGCGGAGGAGGACACCGCGGCGTGGTTCGAGCGCGACGGCGCGACGGTGAGGAAGCTTCGAGCGATGGGTAACGCGGAGAGGAAGGCGGCGGCCGCGGGGGGGGAGAGCGCGCGATAGACTCATCTCAACACTCCTCTACGACTAATAAAGATCCTATACGGGTCGTTACACGACGAACGCGCCTTCGATGTTCGTGACGTGGAACTCCGTGCGCTTCGGGACGACCGCGGGGGAGTAATACGCCGGCCCGACGACGTCGTCGACGTCCGATCGCGCGATCCGGTCCGTCTCGCTCGCGAACGGCGAGCGGAACGCGGCGCGTCGCGACGCCGTCGTCGGCGCGTAGTGCCCCGGTCCGGGCGTCGGCGGCGTCGGCGACGTCGACGCGCGCTCGGGTCGCAACGGACCCCACCCGGGGTAGTAGCACCGGTCGCGATTCGCGCGTCCTCCGCTCGGGTCCGCGACGTCGATCGCGCCGGGTTTTGGCGCGTACTGTCCGGGGCCCGGGGTCGGCGCGTCGGCGTCGGCGTCGGCGCCGAGCGCGGCGGCGACGACGCGGTTGAGATTCCTCGTTCTCGTCGTCGTCGTCGTCGCCGCCGCCGCCGCCGCCGCCGCCGCGTCGTTCCCCCCTACCCCTCGCGGCGTGAACGCCGACACCGCGGTGTCGTACGCGTCCGGCCCCGGCGTCGACGCGGCGTCCGCCGCGGCGCGTCCGCCGCCGAACCTCGACGCTCGGTCCTTGAACGCGGCGGTGCGATCCCTCTCGCGCGCCGGCGCCGGCCGCGTCCGCGGCTCCGGCTTCTCCCTCGCGCTCGCGCGCGCGTACCCCGTCCTCGGCGGCGCGGTCGCGGTCGCGGTCGCGAACGAGCTCGTCGCCGCGCGCTTCCGGTACCCCCCGCCCGCCCGTCGCGGCGTCGACGGCGCGACGCTCGAGCGCGCGACGTCGTAGGACCCCACCCCGGGCGTCCGGAAGTATTCGTCGGGGCGCTGCGTCGAGATGCGCCGCGCGCCGCTCGTGAACCCGTTCCCGAACCCCTTCACGCCGCACCCCTCGCCGCTTCGCTTCGACATCGTCCCCGCGCTGATCCCCGCGTACTCCCCCGGGCCGGGGACGTCCATCGTCGGGTCGCCGTGGCTCGCGCGCCTCGGCGTCGCGCTCCCGAAACCGTCCGGGGTCGGGTTGACGTACGGGACGCGCTCTGCTCGGGTCGACGGTATCGACGGCGCGGACCTGGCGATAACGCGCTCGACGGGGGACGGAGGCGAGCGCGGAGGGGTGCCGCCGCGGGAGGAAGACATCGCGACCTCGCAGGCTCCGCGCGGAGGGACGCGACGGCTGCTGGCAGTGCGGGAATGAATCGTCGTCGTAATAAACCGCGCCCGCCAGAAAAATTCCGGCGATCGATCCGATCGATCGGTCGCTGCCTTGCAACCCGGGCGCCCCCCTCCCGCGCGGGCCATTCCTCCCCCGCGCCCACCCCACGGCGCGCGCGACGCGAACGCGAACGCGAACGCGAACGCGAACGCTAACGCTAACGCTAACACCCCACCGTTCACGAAGATGGCGGAGGAGGACACGACCGTGAAGGAGCCCCTCGACCTGATCCGCCTGTCCCTCGACGAGCGCGTCTACGTCAAGCTGCGGGGCGACAGAGAGATTCGGGGGAAGCTGCACGCGTACGACCAGCACCTGAACATGATCTTGGGCGACGTCGAGGAGACGATCACGACCGTGGAGATCGACGACGAGACGTACGAGGAGATCGTCAAGGTGCGCGCGGCGTCTTCGGAGCGCGACGACGTTCGGCGGGCGGCGCGCGACGGCCATCGATCGACGCGTCTCGTCGACCGGCGTCGGTTCGAATCGAATTCGATCTAGGTTTTTTTTCTCGCTCGCTCGCTCGCTCGCTCGCCGTCGTCGATCGTCCTCCGGCTCGGGCCTCCCCGCGCTGACTCGACGCTTATTATCCTCCCCGTACGCGTTTCCGATCGCTCGCAGACGACGAAACGGGCGGTGCGGTATCTCTTCGTGCGCGGCGACGCGGTGACCTTGGTATCGCCTCCCTTGCGCACGTGACCGGGGGGCGGGGGGGTCGCGCGCGGGCGCTCGTCGCGAGAAAACCAAACGGCGGAACGAATCCAAACGGACGGCGGGGACGCCTCGGACGACGCGCGACGCGCGCTCACTTAGCACGGGAAAGGAACGTAGGAGGTAGTCGTTCTCGTATGATCATCAGAGGGTGTTAGTATCGTTACAACCCCCCGCCGCGCGCGTCGCGTCGCGTCGCGTCGCGCGCCGCCCGACGAGGTGACTTACATCCATCCGTCACAACTTCCCGACGACGGACTCGACGAAGATGTTCAGCGACTCCGGGCCCCGTCGCTCGCTCCCGAGCTTGACGTACCCAGCCCTGCCCTCCGGGAACAGCAGCACGGTCGGGAACGACGCGAGAGACAGGCACTCCTTGCTCCACTCCTTCTCGTCGCCGTCCGCGCGGAACTTGACCACGTCCACGCCCTTGGCGCCGAGCGCCGCCGCCGCCGACTCATACCCGCCCTCCATCGCCTGGCAAAACGGACACCACGGCGCGTACAGCACCGCGAGCGTCGTCTTCGCGTGCGCGTCCTCGCCGCGCAGCGCGTCGATCCCCGCGCGGTCGAGCGCCCGCACGGACCCGTCCACGAAGATGTCCTCCTCCGTCGCCTCCCTCGCGTCCTGCTTCGCCTGCGGGTGGAGTTGAAAGGCGTCAGAAGCGGAGTTGAAAGGCATCGCGGGGGGGGATTGAAAGCGAGGGACCCTGGGCGGAGAGAGACGCCGGGAAAAGTCCTTAAGGAACGGCGTTCACCACGCGAACGCGGTCGTATGGGGACCGGCGTGAGATAGAACGCGCCTTGTCCTCCGCGGAGACGTTGCCGCTGTGAAGACCGCACTCTTTCATCGCGCCGTCCTCCCACCACCACCTCCCCTCGCGCTCCTGCTGCCCCGGCAGCACCGCGCGCGTGCACGGCGCGCACCCGATGGAGACGTACCCCATCTCGTGCAGCTTGTTCACGGGCGTGCCCATCACGCGTAAGAAGTCCCACACCTCTGAGGGTCGTTCCATTTCAAAGCGAACGTCGGGGTGGAGTTCAAAGGCGTCAGTCGGAGTTGAAAGGCGTCGAGGGCGGGCGTTGAAACCGAGGGGTGGACGGATATAGACGCCGACAAACGTCCTTAAGGATCGGCGTTCACCACGCCAACGCGGTCGTACGGGGACCAGTTACCAGTGTGAGAAGAACGCACCTTGCGACGTCGCGTTGGTGAGCGGGTTGAACTTCACGAGCGACCCGGCGCCGCCGCTCGCGCCCTCGAACACCGGGTCGATCTGCACCGCGGGGACGGCCATTCGCGTCCCGGGGCTCTGGTCCTTCCGCTGCCCGGTGACCCACGCGTTGAGGGTTTTCAGCTTCTTGCGCAGCGGCTGGACTTTCCGAACGCCGCAGCACTCCTTGTGGCCGTTGAAAGGCGTTGAAAGGCACGTCAGGGGTGGAGTTGAAAGGCATCGCGTTCGGGGATTGAAAGCGAGAGACGCCGGGAAGTGAAGTCCTTAAGGAACGGCGTCAACCTCGCCGACGCGGTCGTATGGGGACCAGTCCGATACTATCTTATAGAACGCGCCTTGTGGCCGTCCTCGTAGAAGGAGAACATGCCCTTCTCGTTCACGAGCTCCACGACCGCGTCCTCGTCCGGGAACGTGAACTCGATCTTGATCCCGAAGTGCTTCTCCACGTCGTCGAAGAGCTGGTACGTCTCCGGGTTCAGCCGACCCGTGTCCAGGGAGAAGACGCGGAAGGGTCGGCCCGTGAGCGACGCGTATTGGATCAGCGCGACGTCCTCCGCGCCGCTGAACGCGATGGCGAGCGTGTCGCCGAAAATCTCGAGCGCGCGGTCCAGGATCGCGATCGTCGTGGCGTCTTGGAACTCCGCGTCGAGCTTCTCCCAGTCGATGGACGTCGTCGCGGACTCCGCGGCGGGCGCGGCGGCGGGCGCGACGGCGCGGCGCGAGGAGGCGTTCTTCTTCGCGGAAATCTTCTTCGCGGCGGAGCTTCCGCGCGTTCGTCGGCGTGCGGACGCGTCCGCGACGGCGACGCGCGTCGTCGCGAGAGGCGACGTCATCGTGCACGAGGTCATGGCGTTCGCGGTCGAGTCGTGGCGACGATCGATGAGAAGGAAACGCGGGACGAGCGCGTCGCGGAGTGCGGACGGCGCGATAGATAAAGTCGCTCTTAGGGTATCGAGACCTGGTGAGCCGGAGCGAGACGCCGGCCCGGCTGGTTTGACCGGTGGTCATCGGTGAACGAGATGGCGCGACCCGATCGATCGCGATCGATGAAAGCTTTATTAGCGGTGGAGGGGGTTCGACGACTCCCGCGACCTCAGAAAACTGATGAGAAATCGCCGCGCGCCGCCGCGATGATCGCCCTGCGTGGCCTGTGCCGCCGCGCCCTCGGCGCCGCCGCGCACGTCTCGTGGACGTCCGCGGCGCCGCCCGCGTCGCGCCCGTCGTTCTTCCACGCCTCCGCGGCCGCGGCCGCCGCGCGCGACCCCAAACAGATGCCCGTGATCAGAGAGGGCGCGAAGATCACCCCGAAACCGCGTGGGATCGAGCCCCCGCCCACCGCCGCGGAGTATAACGCGAAGACGCAACCTAACTTCGGGAGCGGCGGCGGCGGGATGTCGCCGTTCACGCCCACGTCGCAGCTGAGGAAGCGCAAGACGTACCAGAAGCGCATGAAGTTTCTCATGCAGACGCTCGAGGTTGAAAAGATGCGCGAGATCGCGAAAACCTCGCCGGTGGTCCCGTTCCGCCCCGGGGACGTCATCCGCGTCAAGGTGGAGGTCTTAGAGAACAGAAGGAGAGCGAACGACTTCATCGGGATATGCATCGCGCGAGTCAACCGCGGGATGGGGAGCAGTTTCACGCTGAGGAGCGTGGTGGCGAATCAGCCCATCGAGCGAACGTTTCCGACGTACTCGCCGACGATCAAAGAGTTTGAGATCATCGAACGCAGGAAGGTGCGCCGGGCGAAGCTGTATTACCTGCGGGATAAGCCGCTGCGGTACAGCCGGTTCGAGGGGATGTGAGGAGAAAGGAGTGCGCACGACGACCACGCGATCGTGGACGTGTAGGTATGACGCGCGATAGGCGCTCAAAGAGTTGGAATCATCTCGACGAGGTTTCTTCTTCGTCGCTCAAACGAATGAACGCTCTCTCGACGGGACGCGACGACGCGCTCGTTAAGAATCAGATGTCTTTCTGTCGTCACAAAATTCAATAACCAACATAGCTCGTCGTCGAGTGCGGGCTTTCAATCAACCGCCGCGCATCTCGTCGACAAACCGCTACTAGATCAACCTCGCGGCCGTGAACGTCGTAGACGTCTTCAACCAACCGACCGCTCAACCGTGCTCAACCGTTCCTTCAACGTGAAAACTCAAAAGCGTTCAACAACTCGCCTCGCTTGCTCTGATGTACCCCTCGAGCGCGCCCAACGTGCGCGCGCTCTCCTGTTCGTATAACTGTTCGTATAGTAGTAGTAGTAGTAGTGTATCACGCGCGCGCTCACCACGCGCTCGACGCCGCGCCGTTCGCGGCGCCGCTCTTCGCGGACGACGAATCGTATCCCCCCGCGTCGGCGTAGCTGCCGATGCGCAGCCGCTCGAAATTGAGGAGATCCTCCGCGGACGAGTACCCGTACCCGCCCGCTCCCCCCCCCGTCATCGCGGCAGCCGTCGCGGCGGGGTCAAACGCCGCCGCGGACGCAGATATCGACGACGCCGCCATCGCGCCGCCGCCGACGCCGCCGCCGACGCCGCTCCACGTCCGCTGCTGCTCGAGGACGCGTTGCAGCTCCTCCTGCCGCCGCCGCAGCGTCGACAACTGCGCCTCCGTCTGCTGCGCGCTGACGCGCGCCGCCGCCTGCGCCGCCGCGGTCGCCGCCGCGGCGATGACCGCCGCGTCCGGTGCGCTGCCCGGACCGTTCGCGCCGTACTGCGACGCCGCCGCGATCGCCGCGGCGGCGATCGCGGGGTCGTACGCGTGCTGCGGCGGCGGGTCGCCCGGCGGCGGCCGCGGCGGCGGCGGGCCGCCGTAACCGCCGGGCCCCGCGTACGGCGCGTACAGTCCGTTCAGTCCGTTCAGTCCGTTGAAACCACCGTTGATCGGCAGCAGAGGCGCGCCCACGCCCGGCGCTCGGACGCCCCCGAGCGCTGCGGCTTGCGGTGCCGCGCTCTTGGGCGGCGGCTGGTAGGAGAACTCCACGCCTCGGATCCGCTGCAGGCGTTGGACGAACTCGCCGCGTCGTTTCCCTTCGCAGAGCTCTTTGTACCGCTCCACAGCCTGGTGAATGATCTCCGACGCCGCGGCGACTTCGCTCGTGGATCCTTGCACGCGGAAGATGCGCGTCGGGCGGTGATAGCCCCCGGGTTGGGGCTGCTGCGTCCACGACTGAATCGTCGCGCCCGTCGCGTTTGTGATTTCGCGCACGCTCGCGCCGCTCGCGCCGATGACGAAGCCGGCGGCTAGGAGCGTCACGCACAGCTGCGCGCCGCCGGTCGGGAGCCACTCGACGTTCACCACGGCCTGGTCTTCTTCCTCGACGCCCTCGCCCGCGCGTCGAGGGCCGGACGGGCCTTTGCGGAGCGCGGCCCCGCCGTTCGCCGCCGCCGCCGCCGCAGCCGCCGCAGCCGCCGCCGCCGCAGCCTGCTGCTGCTGCTGCTGCTGCTGCTGGAGCAGCAACAGAGCGAGGTTGGCGTTCACGTCGGGCGGCGGGCCGGGAGGGGGCACGCCGAGGAGCGCGGCGGCGGCGGTCAACGCCGCGGCGTCGCCGACGACCGGCGCGCCGCCGCCGCCGCCGTTCGCGTCCGCCGCCGACGCCGCCGACGGCGGCGAGCCGCGCCCGCCGCTGAGCCTCCCGACGGACGACCCGACGGAACCGTACGGCGACGCGAGCGCGGACGACGGCGCCGCGCGCGCGCCGACGCCGGGCGGGAAAGCGACGAACGGCGCCGACGCCGCGCCGACGCCGACGCCGACGCCCGCGCCCGCGACGCCCGGGCTCTCGTCGTCGTCGAGAATGTCCTCGGGGAGCGGCACGGGCGGGGGCGGCGACGGCGACGGCGACGGCGACGGCGACGTCCCGAGGTCGATCGCGCCGCTCGCGGGGTGCGTCTGCGAGGAGAAGACGGGGGAGGAGGGGCGGTGAGCGATCGCGCGATGGACGGAACGGGCGAGGCGGGGGAGGCGGCCGGGAAGGGACGCGCGCGGAGGGAGGATCGTGATTCGCGAAGCGTCGCTCGGAGGATCTTCGCGCCGATTCGCTCGTCCACTCGCGCCAGGAAACAATTCGAAGCGAGATTCGCGCGCGAGATTCGACGCCGGGGACGCGTCGCGCCGCGCACCTTTTCGCCCCCTCCAACGCGCGCGTCGCGAAGAACGCCGCCTAGACCGCCGTCTCCGCCGAGTCCGTGCCACGCCGAGCCCTGTCGCGCGTCGCGAGGGGGGAGCGTCAGGACGTGCGAGCCGTTTTTATCCTCGCCGCGGGGAAAAGCGTAAACGGAGCGACGAAAAGAGCGAGGTGCCGAGGAGGTGCCGCCGCTGGACGCACGCCGCGCGAGGGATCTCGCCGGCGGTCGGGGACGACGCGACGCGAGCGCCCGTCTCGCGATCGCGCGGCCGACTGACCGCGCGTCGTGTACAGCGCGTCGGCGAGCGATGGGGGACGCACCGTCTCCGCGTCCGGCGCGAGCGCGCGTTCGCCGGCGCGAGCCACGCCGCGAGGGTGGTCATTAAATCCCTCCATCGCCGGCGACGCCCTTCGCTCCGGCGACGCGCGCTCTCCGCCGACGCGATCGCCGCCCGTCGCCGCGGTCTCGCCGTCGTCATCGAGCACCCCCACGGGGAGCCACGCGTTCGGGAGCTCACCGAGGGTCACGTCCGCGACGCCCCCCGCGGGCGCGTCCGCCTCCTCCTCCGCGCGCCGCATCTCTGCCTCCTCGGCGCGCTGTCGGGCGCTTGTTACTCGCGAAAGCGATCGCCGGTCGATTCGATCGATCGCCGATGAAACGTCGGCGGTCAGGCTGCTGCTCAAAGGGTCGAACCGTTTAACTTCGGTAAGATCGGTGACCCGATATCCAACCAAGCGCCGGTTCGAGTTCGCTGCATTTGGCAACGACGCGCGCGACGCACTCGCGGCGACGCGCGCGAGGATGACGGACGCCTCGGACGACGACGACGCGACGTCGTCGGAGATATCGTCTCTGTTCCACGGCGGCGACTCCGGAGAGGCGACGTCGCCGCCGTCGCCGATCCCGCGCGCGGACGCGGACGCCGATCTCGCCGATCTCGCGTCGTCGACGAGCGCGCGCGCGTCGTCGTCGTCGTCGTCGTCGTCCGCGTCGCTCGAAGCGGCTCAACACTCGTCGCCGTCCGCGCGCTCCGTCGCCTCGACCGCCGCGCCGAGCGCGGAGGAGATCGCGTCGCTGACGCGCGCGCTCGAGCGCGTCGGCGCCGCGGACGGCGACGGCGACGGCGACGGCGAGAGGCTCGCGCGGCCGTCGCGCGTCGTCGCGCCGCCGGCGCGCCTCTCCGTCTCGCCGTCATCGGCCGTTTCGAGATCGAGCGACGCGCGCGCCTCGACGCGCCCGCCGCGACGCGCGCGATCCTCCTCGGTCTCGGTCTCCTCGTCGTCCGCGCCACCTCGGACGATCGCGTCGTCGACCGCGGACGGCGCGCTCGCGCTCGCGTCCTTCGGCGAGCGCGGCGGTGCCGGCGCGCTGACGACCGCGGCGAGCGAGGAGACGCGCGCGTGGCGACGCGCGTCCCCGATCGTCCGCCGATGGCTCGAAGAGAAGGAGCGCAAGGCGGCGTCGCTCGCGCGGCTCAAGACGCGACGCGCGCGCGCGGACGTGAGCTGGATCGTGAACCGACGGAAGCACCAGATGGCCATCTTCCGCAGAGACCGCGCGAACGACGAGCGCGAGGCGCGCAGGGAGCTCGTCGCCGCGCGGTCGGACGGCGCGCTCGCGCTTCTTCTCGGGCGACCCGATCCGTCGTCTCCGTCGTCGCCCTCGCCGCGGCGTCGTCCGCGCGACGACGCCGACGCCGACGCCGACGTGACCGCCGCGTCGATGATGTCCGCGCTCGCGCTCGCGCCGTCGCTCCCGCTCCCTTCTCGACGCCCGCCCGCGGGCGCGCCCCCCGCGAGGGACATCACGCGCCGCCGCCACTCGCCGCCGCCGTCGCCGACGAAGACGCGCCGAGCGCCCGGCGTGGCGTTGCCGTGGACGCGCCTCGCGCCGCCGGCGCCAAAGACGCGGACGAAGCAGACGAGCGTGTGGATCGAGCCCGGGCGGTTCGTGACGACGACGACGGTGGTGACGACGACGACGAAGCGCTCGGGTAGCGCGCTGCTCCCGCGGTGGTCCACGGCGTCGAGCGACGGGTCCGTGCCGTTCGAGGCGGTGGCGGGGAGATACACGGGGTCGGACAACTACGCGGACTACATATGACGACTCTCGAGCGAACGACGACTGACTCTCGAGACCCTCGCGAATATTAAGGTTACCAACCTTATTACGCCAACTTCTGTTTGTCATCACACTACGACGACGGACGACGCGTCGTCCTCGCCAAAAATCTTTACCCTCAACCTTAATAATTACCCTGCATCATCAAGCCCGCGAACCGAACCACGCGCGCGCGGCGAGCCCCGGGAGCGCTCGCAGCTTCTCCCCCGTCGTCGTGTACGCGCGCCGCGTGATGTTATCGTACCCGTTCGCGCGGACCTTATTCAGCAGCGCGCCGTATATCTCCCCCGCCGCGGTCACCGGCAGCCGCGCCGCCGGGGGGAGCATCTTGATCCCCACCCTCGCGCGCGCGAAGTGCGCCTCCGCCCTCTTATTAGGGTCGAGGGTCCATACGAAGCGACGAACGTCGGGGTGGAGTTGAAAGGCGTCAGAAGCGGAGTTGAAAGGCGTCGAGGCGTGTCGGGATTGTGAGCGAGGGGTGATGGGCGGAGAGATGCGCCGCCAGGAAGAAAAGTCCTTAAGGATCGGCGTTCACAACGCCGACGCGGTCGTATGGGGACCGGTGCGAGGAGAACGAACGCGCCTGAATCTCGCCCTCTATCAGCGTCGCGTACCGCGCGTCCACCGACCCGTCCACCGCGTTCACCACCGCGCCGGAGAGGATCTCCTCCGCGGTTAACCCCGCGGCGTGCACCGCGTCCAGGGGCAGGTAGAGCCTTCCCCGCTTCGCGTCCTCGCCGACGTCTCGCAGCACGTTGACGAGCTGCAACGCGATCCCGAGCTCGACGCCGGGGGGAATCGCGTCGTCCAAGCCGTACCCCTCCGCGACGCCCATGACCGGGAGCGTCATCAGGCCCACGGTGCCGGCGACGTCGTAGCAGTACTCGCGGAGCGACGGCCAGTCCGCGAACGTCCGCGGCGGAAATGGCGGCGGCGCGGCGGCGTCGTCGTCGCCGCCGGCGTCTGAGGGCCGTTCTTACAAGCGAATGTCGGGTTGGAGTTCAAAGGCGTCAGTTGGAGTTGAAAGGCGCCGAGGGCGGGGATTGAAAGGGAGGGGTGGGCGGAGAGATACGCCGGGCAAAGTCCTTAAGGATCGGCGTTCACCACGCGAACGCGGTCGTATGGGGACCAGTGTATAGAACGCACCTGATGACGGGACCGCCGCGGGGAGGTCGGAGCGCATGCCGGCGATCATGTCCAGGAACGGCTCGGGGGACATCCCGTCGGTCGCGCGTATCGTGTCCGCGAGCGCGATCGTCTCCGGGGAGGATGACGACGAACCTGAAGACGACGGAGGCGATGACGCGCCGTCGCCGCCGTCGTCGTCGTCGAAGAGCGCGCGGAGGCGGCGCTCGATGGCGTCGAGCTCGCGCCTCGCGTCGGCCGGCGATCGCGTCTCCGCGCCGTCGACGACCTCGTCCAGGGCGCGGCACCACGCGTATATCGCCCGCACGCGCTCGCGCTGCGTCGGGCGCATCAGCGCCGTCGCGAAGTAGAACGTCGCGGAGGAGGCGCGCGTCGCCGCCGCGCACGCGTCGTACGCCGCGGCGACGGCGGCGTCGTCGATCGACGACGACGACGACGACGACGACGACGACGCGCGCGCGGACGAGGCGCGACGCGCGGACGCGCGCGCGGCGATGGAGCGCGACGGAGCGCGTCGCGGCGCGGCCGTCGTCGCCGCGAGCGCCGTCGCCGAGGACGCCATGACGACCGCCTGCCGCGCGCTTCTCGAAGTGGATAACGGAGCGCGAACTTCCCGTCCTGTCGTTTTTACTGTCCTGGCACCCCCTCGGACGCGACGACATTGACGGGGCGACGACGACGCAGAGGCGACCGCGCGGGGTCTGCGCCGCGACGCCGCATGGACCGATTCGCGTTCCTCGCCGCGCAGCCGTGGCTGTACCCGACGCGGCGCGAGGACGCGCGCGAGGACGCGCGCGAGGACGACGACGCGACGAACGACGGACGCGATGAGCAGGGTGCCATCAATTCCGACGCGCGCGACGGCGGACGCCATCGTAGTCTCCTCCCGCCGCGCCTCGTCCTCGAGACGTCCCTCCCCGCGCGGACGATACACGACGGCGTCTGCAGCTTCCACTTCAGCGAGGAGCAGTACCTCCCGCCGTCGTCTCCGCGATCGATGACGAGCGGCGACGCCGGCGGCGCCGCGTCGACGACCGTCGCCGTCGTCGGCGCCGCGACCGCGGACGCCATCCACATGGCGTTTTCGGCGACGAGAGACCTCCCGGACATGGCGCAGTTCCGATGCGTCCTCCGCGCGAGGGAGGTCCGCGACGCGTCGCGCGACAGCGACGGCAGCGCCGTCGCGCGCGAGGCGTCGCCCGACGCGGACGGCGGCGCGCGGAGGAGGACGAGGGCGTGGCTGGAGCTCCGCGTGGACGGGAGAGCGTACGCGATGGACGTGTCTCAGGTGCGTTATTCTATACAAAAGTTTTTCACCCACCGCCCGGTTTCAACATTTGATCGCGTCTCATTTCAACTGACCGGTGAACTTTTTTTGCTCAGGCGCGGCACGTCGCGCGAGGGCCGCCGCCGCCGTCGCCGGCGACGCCGTCGCCGGCGAGGGCGAGGGCGACCGCGACCGCGACCGCGACCGCGACCGCGACGCGGCCGTACGTCAGCGTACTGTTCACACACGTCACGCTGAACTTGTACGACGACGACGGCGCGGCGCGAGCGACGGAGACGGAGCGTCTGAGGGAGACGATCGAGGCGTACAGAGCCGCCGCGTTCGACGCTTTTCGACGCGACGGGTCCCTCGACGCGGCGAGCGGCGACGCGCCGGCGCCGGGCGGGTCGCTCGAGAATTTCGAGCGGGGAGAAGAGCGACGCGGCGGCGGCGCGTCGTCGCGCGACCGCGAGCGCGCGATGCGCGGCGTCTACGCCGCCGTCGCGACGCGGCCGCGCGACGCGGCGCGCGCGACGGTCGCCGCCGCGGGCGCCAAACGCGGGCGCCGCGGCGCGGCGGCGAGCGACACGGACGACGACGACGACGACGACGACGAGCTATCGTCCGAGGAGCTCGTCCCGTTGTGCGGCGGCGTCGAAATCGAGAATCGTTGGTGTCGTCGTCGCGGCGTTTTCCGCGGCGGCGCGCCCAGCAGCGGGATCGGCGGGTTGGGCCACGCGGATGACGACGGCGGCGGGACCATGTGCTGGTGCGGCGCGCTGGACGCGTCCCGTTGTAAGGTGCCGCGGCGGCTCACCGCGGCTGCCAACGCGGTCGCGAGCGCACTGCGCTCGAGCCGCGCGCTCGCGGGGTGTCGCGCCGTCGTTCGCGAGCTCGCGCGATCGAAGGCGTCAGAGCGCGCGGCGTTGGAGGCGGACGGCGTGCCGAGCTCGAGGAGCCCGGAGCGTCTGAGGGCGTGGCGCGATGTCGTCGAGGAGGAGGCGGCGTTAACGCACGCGGCGGCGATAGCGGAGCTCGCGCCCGTCGTGGACGACGTCTGCGAGGCTCGACTGTGATTAATAATGTGATTAATTACACGTCATGAATGACGTTCTAAGGTTATGTTATACCCGCCGAGCGCGTCCGTCGCCGTCCGTCACAAAACCCCCACGGCTTCGAGGAGGTCTTTGATTCGCACGTACTCGCCGTTGAGCTCCGCCTCCGTCGCCAGTTTCGGCGCGCGCGTCGCCGCGGGGTCGAAGGCCACCTTCGGTAACGACCGCCACAGCGTCAAGAGACTCTGCGCGTCGAAGAAATCGCCGCCGCCGCTCTCTATGCCCGGGCACGCCAGCATCACGGCGACGAACGACTCGAACGACAGCGCGAACCCGCCGCCGCCGCACAACTTGCCATCCTCCGCCGCCGCCGCGGCTCTCAACGCGTCCGTCGCGTCTTTCCCCGACGCCCCCACGACGCTCCGCGCGCCCGCGATGACCTTCGCGGAGTCGCTCTTCGGGAACTCGCTCGGTTTGGATTCCATCACCGCGAGCGTCCACTCGTCCGCGGCGTTCAGAGTCACCGCCCTGCCGCTCAACTCCAACGTCGCGCCGACGTAAAAGTCGCGCGCGCGGAGCCACGGGCCGTCCTTGTCGCCGTTCTTCTTCACCGGCCGCCGTTTCATGAACACCCCGCCCGGTAAGCCGCTGTTCTTCACCGGCGGCTCGTACACGCTCACGCTGTGGTCCTCGAGGAAGTACGACACCACGAGCGCGCGGTCCAGAGGCTTGGACGGGTTCCCAAACTCGGGCTTCTCCCCGGTCGAGTCCGAAAAGCTCGCGGTGAACCGCATGACTTGCCCTTGGTTGAGCGCCCACTCGTTGAAGTCGACCGTCTTCTGCGGCTTCGGGACGAGGTGGAAGCACGACTGCAGGGAGTCCTCCTCGGAGCCGATCCCGGAGAGGTTCGGCGGCGGGGGCATGCGCGGCACCGACGGCGGTCCCGGCGGCGGCGGCATCGCGGAGAAGTCCGCCGCAGTCAGACCGAGTCTCTCCTCGTACCACCCCCGCGTGTGCTCGTCGCAGTCCCTCAGCGTGAGCTCTCTGCCGAACACGTTCACGACGTCGCCGACGCGGAGTTCGCTCCAGTGGTAGGTGTTATCCGAGCGCTTCCGGAGCGTGTCCTCGGACGCGGGGCGGATGCCGACGCCGTAACTCCCGTGCTTGGGGAGTTTTTGTCGCCGTAAAAGTTTGGGAAACGGCTCGCGGCCGCTGTTCCGGCCCATGACTTCCAACACCTCCACGGTGTCGTCCGCGAGGAAGTAGTGGAAGATGAACGTCCTCAAGCCGGTGTCGCCGGTCGTGTCGTCGCTCCCCGCGGGCGGCTGCGCGGTCGCGAAGAAGCGAAGGACGTTCCGGTCGAGCTCCAAGAACTGCCGCCCCGCGGATTCCTTCAGATGTTCGCTCTCCTTGAGCCCCCAGCTCTGATGCATCTTCTTCGCGACGGCGTCCGCGTCCTTCTTCGTCTTATTCGTCTCCCGCCCGGCGTAGGATAACGGCGCTGACGCGGCAGTTATCGACGGCGCGGACGGGAACGCCTCCCGCGGCGGCGGCGGGTCCCTCTCCTCTGGGAACGCGAGCTCCGGGCCGAGCTCGACGCCAAACTCCTTCCAGACGAACCCGCGCGTGAACGCGTCGCATCCCAACACGTGGTACGTCCGCGAGAAAATCTCGATCGGCTTCCCGACGACAAAGTCCAACGGGCTCAGCGCGACGCCCTCGCGACTCGTCGCCTTGATCCTGTGCAGAATCTGACCCTGCACGATCCCGGAGTTGACCCCTTTGGGCTCGCGGACGTCCACGGTGTCGTCCTCGAGGTGATACGTGATGTGGCAGCGTCGGATCCGCCGCATGCCCGTGCGCACCGTGCTCTCGAGGTCTTCGAAGTACCCGTGGAAGCCGAGCTTGAGGCTGTCGTACTTGAGCCACGCGGGCTGGCGCGACGGCGTCGCGGTCGTCGTCGTCGTCGTCATCGTCGTCGTCGTCGTCGTCGTCGTCGCGCGGTTCTCGCGACCCGCCCACCTCGGGTCCGGCCGCCGCGCGAGGTCGGCGACGCGCTCGGACGGCGACGACGGCTTCCCCGCGCCCGGGCGGTTCTCGAACGGGCCGGCGACGCCGCAGACGTATCGCAGGCCTTGCGTGCGCGGACGCGCGGTCGGCTGCGAGAGCGCGCGGAGGGAGGAGGAGGAGGACGGGGGGAGCGTCGGTCGGCGGACGGGATTCGGTCAACAACGAGAGAGCGTCGAAAATCAAATTCGAGATGCCACGACGACGACGCGCGCGGGGGGGCACGCACGAGCTCGCTCGGGACGCCCAGGCCGGGAACCATGGGCATCGGGATCTTTTTGTAATCGTCGAGGTTCGCGTCGAGCCCCATCGCGGACGGAGTGCGCGGGAAGCGTGGTGCCGCGCGGTCTGCGCGCGCTTCGAGTCAACAACAATCTCAACGGCTGTCTCGTGCGTCACTCATCAGCATCGCCGCGCCGTCGCCCGTCACCAACCGCGCGCGCGAATTTAACGCGCGTCCGCCCGAGCGCGCGCCCGCCCAGAAGTCCCCGCGCGCGGTCTTCTCGTCGACGCGACGCGATGCCGAAACGCAAAGCCCCGGCCGCGGCCGCGGTCGAGGTCAAGCCCGAACCCGACGTCAAGCCCGAGCTCGAGGTGCGCGCGACGGCTTCCGTTCGATCGATCGGTTGTTGCCCTAGCCAGCCAGATCCGATCGATCGGTTCCTCGATCTCGACGCCCACCCCTTATCATACGCGTCGACGCTCACGCTCGCCACTTCGCGCGCTCGCGTCCCTCCCGCCGCCGCGCAGGACGCCCACGAGGCCCCGCCGACGGGCTCGGAGCAGGTGGAGTCCGCGCTCCGAGACTTCCTCGCGTCGAAGAAGCAGTCGATGACGCACCTGCCGCGCCTGCTCTCGCTCCTGGACCCGCTGAACCTGCGCGCGGGCGCGATCAAGGGGAAGTACAACACCGCGCCCAAGTGGAGCGACGAGAACACGACGCCGCAGCAGCTGCGCGCGCACTGGCGCGCGCAGTGCGCGGCGATCACGAAGACGAAGGAGGACGCGCTCCCCGATGCCCTCTCCGACGCGTTGCGGCGGTTCCATTGGCCCGCGTCGTTGGACACCGCGCGCGCGGAATCGCTCTCCTGGCTCGTGAAGGTGCCCGCGTTCGTCACGAGGGCGTGGAGAGCGACCGCGGAGGCGCTCGCGAACGCGGACGAGATCGACGACGTCGACGCGATGGACGCGGAGGGAGGGGCGGAGGGGAAGGATGGGGGGGGGGACGACGGCGACGCGCTCGGAGAGATGAAGATCGCGGTTGATCCGTTCGCGCCGCCGGAGAAGCGGCAGCGGCACTTCCTGACGCTGTCGAACCGCGTGTCGGAGACGCACAGGGTCCCCGCGGCGTACGACATGTTGATCAACCCGGAGGAGCAGCCGATACACGTCTTCTCGGGCGCGCGGGAGGACACGGCGGCGGCGGCGGCGGCGGCGGCGGCGGCGACGGCGCGCGCCTGCGCCGTCGCCGCCGCGTCCGGGATCCCCGGCCCCGTCGTCGAGCTCCCTCGCGACGACTTCATCTTAGAGGGCACAGTCTCCGAGAAGTTCGACGTGCGCCCCGCGGACGTGGACGACAGCTTATATCGCGAGGTGAGCGCGCGACGCATCGCGGAGGCGACGCGAAAGACCCGCGTCGTGCAGGCGTCCAAGGGCCCCTCGCGAGTCGCGCCTCTCCCGACGGCTCGGAACATCGTCAAGAGGGAGGACGGGAAGGAGGACACGAGAGAGCGCGCGGAGAGGATGGAGCGGGGCGCGCTGGAGGACAAGCTCATGGGTCTGTACGAGCGGCGGAGCTTGTGGTCGTTTAAGCAGCTCAAGGAGGAGACGCGGCAGCCGGCGATGTTTTTGAAGGAGACGTTGGACGGGCTCGCGACGTTGAATCGCCGCGGGCCGAACGTGGGGATGTACTCTCTGAAGGACATGTACAAGAGGAGAGGCGCGGGAGGGGTGGGGGAGGGCGGCGGCGGCGCGGGGGGAACCTCTTAGAGATAGCAGGCGGCGAAACGACCAGACCCTCGGACCTCCGTACTCAGAAGTCGTGCGTCATCAGTAGCTCGTTTCTGCTTCTGTTCGGTGAAAGCGACGAGCGACGCGCGCGCGTACACACATTGTACTGTATCGTATACGTACCCACATCGAATAATCACAAAATATACATAAAATCACGGGCAGTTCACAGCTGTACATCACGCGCGACGCGCGCTTCATCGAAGACGCGCGCGATGACGCGATGCGACGCGATCGGACGCGGACGCGGACGATCGATCGATCAATACATCCCCCCCTTCTCCATGTTGTAGGCGGAGCCTCCGTGCTTGCTCGTGTCGAGGCCTTCCATCTCCTCCGACCCCGAGATGCGAAGAAGCCCTAGCTTTCTCAGGATGAAGAAGAAGACGCCGAGGGTGACCGAGGTCCACGCCGCGATCGCGAGGACGCCGGTGATCTGGACCCCGATGAGATCGCCGCCGCCGCCCAACACGAGGCCGTAGTTTTCGTTACCGAGGAACTTTTTCTTCGCGAACAAGCCGACGGCGAGGCACCCCCACACGCCGCACGCGCCGTGAATGGGGAACGCCTCCAGCGGATCGTCGATCCTGAGCTTGAGGAGAAGCTTCGCGGAGCCGCGAAGGATGAGCGCGGAGACGAAGGCCGTGAAGATCGTCCAATGCGTGTCCATCACGTGGCAGCCCGCGGTGATGGACACGAGGCCGGCGAGGATGCCGTTGCACACGGCGACGAGGTCCCACACCTTGTTGAAGGCGCGGTGAAGGAACAAGGTCGCGACGCCGCCGGTCGCGGCGGCGAGCGTGGTCATGACCGCGGATCGCCCCACCTGTTCCGCGGAGGCGAGGTCGTTGAGCGCGTATACGGACCCAGGGTTGAACCCGTACCATCCGACCCACAACACGAAAGTGCCGAGGACGGTGAGCGTGGCGTTGTGCCCGGGCATCGGGACCGGCTGGCCGTTCATCCCGAAGCGGCCGGTTCTGGGACCGAGCATGATCGCGCCCATGAGACCGGCGAACCCGCCGACCATGTGGACGACGCCGGATCCGGCGAGGTCGATGAAGCCGACGCCGCTCCACTTGGAGGAGTTGAAAGAGGAGATCCAACCGTCCGATGACCAGCACCAGTGGACGACGACGGGGTAGACGAAGCCGGTGAGGAGCGCGGAGTAGCCGAGATAGGCCACGAACTGGGTCCGCTCCGCCATCGCTCCGGAGCAGATCGTCGCGGCGGCCGCGGCGAACGCCCAGTTGAAGAGGAAATTGGTCCATCCCTCGCCGGTGAGAGTGGCTGAGTTGGAGAGGAAAAAGTTCCCTTCGCCGATGTAGGCGCCCGCGGTGTCCTTGTTGGTCTTCCTGCCGTAGGCTAACCCGTAGCCGACGGCGAAGAATGCGAGCGCGCCGACGCACGCGTCCAGCACGTTCTTGATGAGGATGTTCATGACGTTCTTCGAGCGGATGCTGCCGGCGCAGAGCATCGCAAAGCCGGCTTGCATGAAAAAAACGAGCGCGGAACAGAACAACAGCAAGTTCGTGTTGGCTGCCCCTTGAAGCCCCGTGATGGCGAGTTCGTTCGCGGCCACGGTGAGCGAGCGTCGCTCGATCGCGGTCGCGCCGGTTTCGCATATGACGTCGACTGCGAGACGAGGGAGGGGCGCGCGGACGTCAGCGCGCGGCGATCGCGTGTACACGCGTACACGTACAGTACACATACAGTAAGGTGCCCAGCCCAGGCCAGGTACCAGCCAGGACGAGGTGTGCCCACGCAGGTTTGTTCCGAAAGGTCGCGACGATACAACTCGAAAGGTCGCGGCGCGTGACGCCGTTCCGTAAACGACGCGGGAGCGCCGCGCGCGAGGCCGAGGAGTCCCGCAGAGCCGGCTGAGAGATGTGGTCGCGCGCGACGCGATACGATCTCTCGACGGGCGCGAGAGTTCGCGCGGAGGTCGCGTCCGCGCGGCGCGCGAGGCCGTCGACATCTCCAGATTGCGAGGCACACATGCACGTGAAATCTCGATTGAAGAATGCGCGCGGGAAAGCGCGCGCGCGCTCGCGGGGGTCAGGACGCACCGACTGCTTGCGTCATGCCTGACGCCGTGAGGGTCGCGACATCGGCGGCGGAGCACGGAGACATTTTGGGAAGTCGCGCGAGACGCCGTGGAGCCGGAAGCGCGCGCAGAGATGTGGATGCTTTTTGGCGCTTTTTCTCGTCTTTTTCGTTTTTTTTTTCGATTTTTCTGTGATTATTTTTCATCGAGGCTGACCGGAGATTCACGATCAAGGGGCGAAAATTTTGAAAGGCAAATCGGCCCACGCGCGCGCCGTGAAACGTGAGGGCGACCCGCGAACAGCATAGTTTGTAGTCCAGTCAATCATCGTGCGGCCCGTGCTAAAATGTTTAAACTCGGTCAGTTGAAAGGGAATGCGATCAAATGCTGAAACCGAGCGGTGGGTGAAAATGTTTTGATTGAACGCCCTGAGCGTTTTTCCCGAAGCGCATTCTTCGTCAGTCCCGAGGGGAACTGAACAGAAAGTGACGACGAGACGGCGTCGGCCGACGCCGGCGTCGTCGCACAGGCACGCGCGCGCGACACGAGACCCGGCGCCGCTTCGCCGACTCGCGCGCGCGCATCGAGCGAGCGCATCGACGCGCGAACGCGCACGCATCGCGCGCGGACGTCGTCGCGTCGCGCGTCCGACCGTCCGGCGCGGAGTCAACGGTTTTCATCCGTCCGTCGGCGCGGCGCTCAAGTGCTTTTTCCCCCTCACTCATCGCGCGCTGACATCGTCCGTCCGCGCGCGATGGGGTGCGGCGCGTCCACGCCGCGGTCGATGCTGTACCCGCGCGCGCCGCGACGACGACCGGTTCGCAGGAAACCCACCAAGGCGGAACTCCTGAAGGAGCGCGCGGACGTCAACTTCTTCGACGCGTCCGAGGCGCACCATCACGGCGAGCACGAACGCGCGCTCGAGCAGCTGACGCTCGCGCTCAAGCTCGACCCGAAGCACAAGCGCGCGCGTCTGACGCGCGCGGAGGTGTGCCTCGCGCTGAAGAAGTACGACGACGCGTTGGAGGACGCGTCGCAGGCGATCGCGCTCGGGCATCCGGACGCGTACCGCGTGCGAGGCGACGTCCACCTCGCGCGGAAGCGGTTCCGAGACGCGCTCGCGGATCTGACGATCGCCGTGAAGGTGGAGCCGAACGATCGAAGAGCGTGGGCGTCGCGCGCCGCCGCGCACGCGGGCCTCGGGAACGACGCGAAGGCGAAGGAGGACGTCGCGGAGGCGGCGAAGCGCGAGGCGGCGAAAGAAGACGCGGGCCTGTGCGTCGTCTGCATCGACGAGCCGCGCGCGACGCGGCTGAATCCGTGCGAACACTCCGCGCTGTGCGAAGCGTGCGCGACGGAGTGCCGGGAGACGCTGGGGTGCTGCCCGATATGCAACACGATGATCAAGGCGATCGAGTACGGGATGTTCATGAACACGTTCGCGCCGACGAACACGGCCGCGCTGGGGGGGCTCGCGAGCGCGATCAAGAGGGCGCGCGAAGAAAACGCGCAGATGGCGACGCTGTCGAGGATCGGCGAGGGCTCGCCGCTGATGGACGAGTCGGACGACGACGGCGAGATCACGGAGAGCAGCGAGGGCGGCAGCTTAGTCGGCGTCGGCGTCGGCGACGCGAACGCGAACGCGAGAGCGGCGAGGGGCGACGACGCGGCGGCGGCGGGGAGGGGCGACGGGGGCGAGCGCGCGGCGACGCCGCCGCCGCACCGCGACTACTCGCAGTACACCGTCGGCGAGGACATGCGCGTGGAGAGCGCGCCGTGTACGCCCGCGGTGTTGAGAGGCGGTCTCGCCGCCGCGGACGGGAACGGGCTGAGCGATCTGCTCGCGGCGACGCCGGCGGCGATGGGGGGCGAGGCGGTCGTCGAGGACGCCGAGGACGGGGAAGGGGAGGAGGAGGAGGAGGAAGACGCGGACGGGCCGACGCCGTTGATTGGGGGGGTGGAGACGATCACGCCGCAGGGGACGATGCTCGCCGCGGGGGCGTGATGCGAGATAAACGCACGACGGATGGTCGTCACTGACTGTAGCATCTTCGTGTTTCGTAATCGAAATCGAGAGGAGAGAAAGCCGAGGGAGGGAGAACCGACGCCGCGCGCCGTCGTCATCCGCGTCGCGTCGGGTACGTTCGCCCGCCCGCGACGGGCGTCGTCGCGCGCGCGTCGTCGCCGCCGCCGCCGCCGCCGCCGCACCGGTCGCCCAACCGCACGCGGACGTCCGGGACGCCCTTCAAGTTCAACGTCGCGATCCCGCGTTGAAATGCGGACCAGAACCGCTGATAAAACGACACCTTCCCGAGCGTGACCGCGCACCCGGGACACAAGACGACGGGCGCGCCGTCCACGCCGTCGCCGCGCTCCGCGCCGCCGAACGTCAGCGAGACCGAGCGGTTTGAAAACGTCGCGTAGACCTGCATCGCGACCGGCGGCTCGGGTCCACCGGCTCGGGTCGACTGGCGGCTCGGTCCGGTCACCGCCGCCGTCGCCGTGCAGTTCGACGCGACGTCAAAGTCCGCGCGCGGCGCGTTGTCCGCGCTCGCGACGCTCTCCGCGTCGTCCCCGCCGCCGTGCGCCGAGCTCCAACACCCGACGCGAAACTCGTTCGGCCACGCCGCGTACGACCCGCCGGTGAACGTCACGCTCGGGTCGAACCCGAACGTGAACGTCGGTCGGACGACCGTTACTCTCGTTCGAACGCGCGGGTCGTCGCGATCGATGACGACGACGCGATCGCCTCGGCGGCCGAGCCCGAGCGCGATCGGGTCGTCGCCGACGTTCGTCAGCGTCAGGTCGTGGAACACGAGCTCCTGGACGCCGCCCGCGTCGTATTCGTACTCGGTCATGTTGACGGTGACGCGAATCGTCGGCGGCGGCGGCGGCGGCGGCGGCGCGGCTGCGGCGTCTTTTTCTTCATCGTCGTCCTCCTCCTCCTCCGCGCCGCAGCCCGGCGGCGGCGTCGACGCGACGATCTTCCGCGTCGCGTACGTCTTCGCGAACCTCGCGCCGTCGCCACCGCTGCCCTCGTTCTTCTTCTTCTTCTCCGCGGCGTCCTTCTCGCGGCGATACGCGGCGATCCGACGGAGTAACGTCCGCCGCCGAGTCTCGACGAGACCGACGTACCACCCCGCGCTGGCTTCGATGTCCTCGCGCGCCGCGGCGACGTCTCTCGCCGCGGGGTTCGCCGCGAGCAGCTCGAGCAGCCCGGACGCGGTGTCGTCGTCGGACAAGACGCGGAACATGTCTCGCAGCTGCGCGCTCGCGATCCGCGCGACCGCGCTCGCGTTCATCCCGACGCGAAGCGTCCACTCGAGCTGAGGGTCGAGGGTCCATACGAAGCGACGTCGGGGTGGAGTTCAAAGGCGTCGAGGGCGGGCGTTGAAAGCGAGGGGTGGGCGGAGAGACACTCCGGGAAAATTCCTTAAGGATCGGCGTTCACCACGCGAACGCGGTCGTATGGGGACCAGTGTAAGGAAATCGCACCTGATCTACGAAGCTCGCGTACACGTCTGGGTCTCGAATCAAAGCGCGGTCCAAATCCCCCTCCGCGCAGTACAACAACCCGACCGGATCGCGCAGCGCGTTCACGCCGCCGTGATGGCAGCTCTGGAACGAGTCGTCCGGGTCCCACGCGTGCACCCTGAACCGCAGCGGCGACGAGGCGTCCCCCGTCTCGCTCGCGTAGAACCACGCCTCGTCGACGTAATCGCCGCTCTGCACGAGGGTCATGAGCGACATCCACCGCAGGTATTGCTCGACGTCCACCCTTCGGTCGAGCGCGTCGCGGCACGTCCCGGGGAGGCACGAGGACGCGACGAACGCGATCTCGTCGTACCGCGCGCGCGTCGCGTTCTCCGCGTTCCATCTGGAGTGCGCGCCCTCGAGCTTCTTGGACGCCTCGGGGAATTTCACGTCGGGCGTGCCTTTGATCGGGTTGGCGGCGCGCTTGGCGTCGTTGCGTCGTCGGACGACGGCGGCGGGGCGCGCGAACGACCCGACGAGCGCGCTCGTGGGGTCCTCCACGAGGAGGTACAGACCCTCGTTCTCCCAACGGCGCGGCGCGGACGCGGACGCGGCGACGACGCCGCCGCTGACGTTACCCTTATTTTTTCCGCCGCCGGCGTCGGCGCCGTTCTATACAAGCGAACGTCGGGGTGGAGTTGAAAGGCGTCAGTTGGCGTTGAAAGGCGTCGAGGACGGGGATTGAAAGCGAGGGGTGGACGCAGAGATGCGCCGGGAAAAGTTCTTAAGGAACGGCGTTCACCACGCCAACGCGGTCGTATGGAGACCAGTGTAGAACGCACCTCAGCATCGCCGCCGGGTCCCGCCGGGTTCTCGACGAGGAGCCGAACGTACCCGTACGCGTGCGGGAATACGTCGAGCTCGGCCGCCATCCCCGCGACGAGCGCGGTCTTCAGATACCGATCGTCGTAACACATGGAGATCAATAGGAACCGATCGGACGCGGCGCCGCGCGCGAGCCGCAGCTTCGTCTTTCCCTTGACGTTCACCTTCAGGCTCTTGCGTCGGACGCAGTCGCGGAACGAGCTCACGCCTCGGAACTTCGCCTTCGCTCTCACCGGGGTCGCGGCCGCGGAGGAACCGCTCGGCCTCGGCGCGAGTGGTGGCTCCACGTCATCAAATCCAGGTCGCGTGTTCGACCAATCGTACGTCGACACGTCGGATCCTCGAGGATCCCCGCCCAGGACGACGGACAACCGCATGTCCGATTTGGCGGCGAGCATCTCCTCCCACGTGCCTCGAAGGAACGCGCGGCCGCCGTCGAAGACGTCCCGCTGCGCGCGCGTCATCCGCAACGTCACGGAGTCGCCCACGGGGTACGGGTACTCGTCCAGAGACGCCGCGGCGGCGTCGCACCGCGCGGTCGCGAGGTGCGCGGTCGCGTCGAAAGGCGGCGGCGGGAACGCGCATCGCAGGACGCCGCCGAGCGCGCCGCCGCCGAGGCGCGCTTCCACGGCGACGACGTTTTCATTTTCTTCGTCGTCGGCGTCGGCGGTCGTCTCGGCGAACGCGTTCGCGCACGCGCCGCCTTCGCCTCCTCCTCCTTTTCCGCGCGCCGCGGACGACGCGTCGTCGCTCGCGCCGTCGTCGTCGTCGTCGTCCGTCGCCGCGAGCGACGACACCGCGCGGTTCGAAGACGATTCGCACGCGCCGACGCGATAGACGCGCCGCCGCCGCGCGAGCAGCTGAGACGCCAACGCGTTCGCGCCGGTCGCGTCCCACGCCGCCTCGAGCTCCATCCCCGGTCCAGCGCGCACTCGGACGTCGCGCTCCGTCGTCGAGGTGAGCCAGGACAGCGACCAGCGGCCGCCGTGGAACAGACCGAGGACGTCTTCGGCGTCGGCGGCGGCGGCGGCGTCGGCGTCGGCGGAGACGTCGGAGACGGTGAGGGCCGTTCTATACAAGCGAATGTCGGGGTGGAGTTCAAAGGCGTCAGTTGGAGTTGAAAGGCGCCGAGGACGGGGATTGAAAGCGGGGGGTGAGCGGAGAGATGCGCCGGGCAAAGTCCTTAAGGATCGGCGTTCACCACGCGAACGCGGTCGTATGGGAACCAGTGTATAGAACGCACCTGAACCGCGTCGGCGCGATCACGACGACGTTGCGGCTCACCGCGCCTTCCGCGTGCGCGTCCACTCGACTCATTTCCTTTATAACTCTCGTAACCCCTCGCGCCCATGCGTTTTCCACGAGCGGCGCGGCGTCGCCGTCGTTAGAGTCGTCGCGCGCGGTCGCGGCCGCGGCCAGGACGTCGCGCGCGAGCACGCCCGCGAGCGGCGGCGACAGCGCCCGCGTCCTCGCCGCCCACTCGCCGCCGCCGACGATCGTCCCCTCCAGCGCGCGTATCGCCGCGCGCAGCGCGTCCACGACCTCGTCCACGCGCCGCAGCGCGTGTCGCGCCCCGCCGAGCCGCAGCGCGCGCGCGTCCGTCAGGAGGATCGGGTTCGAAGGGTTCGACGCGAGGACGTAGACGGCTACTTTTTCCGTCTCGGGGAGCGCGGCGAGGAGCTCGCGCGTCGCGTCCGCCTGCGCGCGCGCGACGGAGACGTTCGAGGAGAGCGCGATCGCGACCGCGGCGAGGCCGGGCGCGGACGGGTCGACGCGCGCGGCCGCGGTCTCGACGACGGCGCGTCCGGACGACGACGACGACGACGGCGACGGCGGCGGCGCGGCGTCCGAGAGAGAGGAGGGCGCCGCCGCCGTCGCCGCTCGCGCCTCCCTCGCGTCGTCGTCGTCGTCGTCGTCGTCGTCGTCGAGAGGTAAGATCGCGTCCCATCCCACGCCGATCGTGAGCTGCGCGCCGCAGCCGAGCCACGGCGTCACGCGCAAGAGCGCCGCCGCGGAGGAGGAGGAGGAGGAGGAGGACGACGAGCGCTCGTTTCCTCGGCGCGTCTCGAGCGTCTCGAGCGCGCACGCGGCGGACGTCGCGACGCGCGGCGAGCGCGCGGACGACGACGACGACGACGACGCGTCGGCGGCGTCGACGACGACGAGCGCGAGCGCGAGGTGGAGGACGACGAGCAGCGTCGCGGACGCGACGACGAGACGCATCGCGCGGTGTGCGGCGCGCGCGCGCGACTCTGCGTGCGGTCGTCTTTCCCTCGGCCCCGCGCCGGTCTCCTGTTCCAAGGCTCGTCCGGTCGTTACGTTACGGTTTCTTTGCGTCGACGAGGTGCCCTACGTCGCGCTCATACTAATTGCTCATGTAAAGTACGTAGTACGTGAAACGTATCCGGTCGCGGTCGGTCGGTCGGGTTCGCCCGGATAATTTATGCACTCTAAACTTTTTAACTCGTCGTTCTCGAGTCAATTTGCCCATATGACACGGCACCCAAACACCACCACGTCACGCGATCTCCGTTCCCCGCACTGAAAAGCGACCGCGCAAAGCGAGTAAGAAATGCGCAGCTGCTGACGATAAAGCGGACGCGGTGAGTCGACCCTAAAATCGCGCCCGTCCGCGCGTCGCGGCGTCACAACCCACCGCGCGACGCGAGTCGCCGACGGTTCTTCCACCGCTTTCGCGCGCGCGAAGGCTTTTCGGATCTCACGGGAACGTCGGATCCATCTCCGTTCGCGTGATCGAGACGCGCGAGGCGAGCGAACTCCGACCGACGCGCTCGGAAGCAGCACCGACGTCAGACGCGCATCGCTTCTACTAAGCACTGCTCAAGATGGCGGGAGCGCTCGCGCGGGCGACCGCCTCCGCGGCGCTCGCGACGCGCCCGACCGTCGCCACGCGCCAAAATCGCGCGCGCGCGACGAAGGCGCCCACGCGCGTCGCCGCGTCCGCGTCTCTCCGCGCCGTCGGCGCTCGCGCGGTGCGTCCCGCGTCGTTTCCGTCGCCGACGCGCCGAGACCCTTCGCGGCGAAAAACCTACGCGCCCGCCTCCGCGACGACGTGACGTCGCCTCCCGCGTCTCCGACGGCGTCTCCGCGCGCGCTGACTGACGTTCTCGCTGACCGATCGCCTCCCTCGCCGTTCATCTCAACAGACGTCGATGCCGTCGTTCATGGGGCTCAAGAAGTCCGCGGCGCTGCCCAGGTGCGACGCCGCGCCGTGGCGTCCCCCCCGATCGCGCGTGTCCCGTGATTCTAATCTGTTCGAAAAAAGCACAGCTGTCGATCGACCGCGCGTCGTCGTCCGTCGTTCATCCGCGCCCGCTCATCGCCGCCGCCCCACCGCCACCGTCCGCTCGATCGATTCGATCGATCCCCCCAGGTTCCGAAGCCTGCGCGACTCCGCACCCGCGGCGTCCCCCCGCGCGAACGCGGTGGTGACCGCCGCGATCGCGCCTGGCCGCCCCCCGTACGCCGGCGGCGTCGTCGACAACGAGCAACTCCTCGAGGAATCGGACGCGTGCGGCGTCGGGTTCATCGCGTCGCTCAAGGGCGACCGCACGCACAAGACGGTCCAAGACGCGCTCACCGCGCTGGGGTGCATGGAGCACCGCGGCGCGTGCAGCGCGGATGACGACTCCGGCGACGGCGCCGGGATCATGACCAACGTCCCGTGGAAGCTCTTGGAGAAGTACGCCGCGGAGAACGGTATCGAGGGATTCGCGGAGGGATCCTCCGGCGTCGGCATGGTGTTTCTTCCCCAGGATACGAAACAGGCGGCGAAATCGATCGAGATCTTGAACGCGGCGATCGAGGCGGAGGGGCTCGCCGTGCTCGGGTGGAGAGACGTCCCCGTGGACGCGTCCGTGGTCGGACGCATGGCGAAGGACACGGAGCCGGTCATCAAGCAGGTGCTCGTCGGCGGCGGCGGAGCGACGGACGACGAGCTCGAGCGCAAGCTGTTCATCGCGAGGAAGACCGCGGAGAAGACCGCCGCGGGTGAGGACGCCAAGATGCCCGGGATCGCGGAGAACTTTTACGTCTGCACGCTGTCCTCCAGGGTCATCGTGTACAAGGGCATGCTCCGGTCCGTCGTCGTGCGGCAGTTTTACGAGGACCTCCAAAACGAGGACTTCGTGTCGCAGTTTTGCATCTACCACCGCCGGTTCTCCACGAACACCGTCCCGAAGTGGCCGCTCGCGCAGCCGATGCGCTTCCTCGGACACAACGGCGAGATCAACACCTTGCAGGGTAACTTGAACTGGATGGCGTCCAAAGAGGCGGACATGACGCACCCGGTGTGGGACGGCAGAGAAGACGAGCTCCGCCCGATCTGTAACCCGGCGGCGAGCGACTCCGCGAACCTCGACCGCGTCGCGGAGCTTCTCGTGAAGTCTGGCCGCGCGCCCGCGGAGACGATGATGCTTCTCGTCCCGGAGGCGTACAGGAACCACCCGGAGCTCGACGCGACGTACCCGGAGGTGACGGATTTCTATGACTACTTCGCCGGCATGCAAGAGGCGTGGGACGGCCCCGCCCTGCTCGTCTTCTCCGACGGTAAAAAGCTCGGATGCAGGCTCGACAGGAACGGCCTCCGCCCGGCGCGATTCTGGAAAACCTCGGACGACTACATCTACGTCGCGTCCGAGGTGGGCGTCCTCGGCGACGTCATCACGCGCGCCGCGGATGTCGTCGCGAAGGGCCGCCTCGGCCCCGGGATGATGATCGTCGCCGACCTCGAAAAGGGGACGTTCATGGAGAACACCGAGATCGCGAAGGAGGTGGCCGCGAGCAAGCCGTACAAGGAGTGGCTTGAGGACGTCGACGTCATGGCCGCCGCGGAGCCCGCGGGGGAGCCCAAGCTCGACGCGACGCAGCTCATCCAAGCGCAAGCCGCCGCCGGTTACGCCGCGGAGGACGTCACGATGATCATCGAGTCCATGGCCGCGGACGGCTCCGAGCCGACCTGGTCCATGGGCGACGATACCCCGATGCCGGTGCTGTCCGGACGCCCGCACCTCTTGTACGACTACTTCAAGCAGAGGTTCGCGCAGGTCACCAACCCGGCGATCGACCCGCTCCGCGAGGGGCTCGTCATGTCGCTCGAGATGACCATCGGCGCCAAGGGCAACCTCCTGAACAACGACGGCGCGAAGGACATCCCCGCGGTGTCGATCAAGTCCCCCGTGCTGTTCGACGAGGACGTCGACGCGCTCCTCGCGATAAAAGGCCTCGGCGCCGAGCGCGTCGCCGCGACGTACGCGGGCGACGGGAGCGAGGGGGCGCTCGCGAAGGGGGTCGACGCGCTCTGCGCCGCGGCGGAGAAGGCGGTGCGCGGCGGCTCGCAGTGCGTGATCATCTCCGACAAGGACGGCGACAAGGATACGCCCGCGATTCCCTCCCTCCTCGCCGTCGGCGCGGTGCACCACCACCTCATCGCCGTCGGGTTGAGGACGCGAGCGAGCCTCGTCGTCGAGTCGGCGAGCGCGTTCAGCACGCACCACGTCGCGTGCCTCGTCGGCTACGGCGCGTCCGCGGTGAACCCGTGGCTCGGCCTGGAGACGTGCCGCCAGTGGCGCACGTCCTCCAAGGTGGAGGCGTCGATCAAGCGCGGGAAGCTGCCGAACATGTCCGTCGCGGACGTGCAGAGGAACTTCAAAGCCGCGCTCAACGCGGGGCTGAAGAAGATTCTCAGCAAGATGGGCATCTCGCTTCTGACGTCGTACCACGGCGCGCAAATTTTCGAGTGCTACGGCGTCGGCCCGGAGCTCATCGACAAGGCGTTCAAGGGCACGGTGTCGCGCATCGGCGGGCTGACCATGGACGACCTCGCGGCGGAGACGGAGATGTTCGCGTCGAGCAACTTCCCGGGAGAGGGCGAGATGCTCGCCAACGTCGTCGCGAGAGGGATGTTCCAAGTCAAGCCCGGTCTCGAGTACCACGCGAACAACCAGGAGATGTCTAAGCTCCTTCACAAGGCGGTGAACCTCGGCGGGAAGGGCGACGGCGACGAGGACGCGTACAAGCTGTACCAGGCGCACAGAAACGATCGCCCGGTGACGTCGTTGCGCGACATGCTCGAGGTGGTGTCGGACCGAGAGCCGATCGACGTCAACGAGGTCGAGTCCGTCGCGGACATCTGCGAGAGGTTCTGCACCGGCGGCATGTCCCTCGGCGCCATCTCGCGCGAGTGCCACGAAGCGATCGCGATCGCGATGAACCGCATCGGCGGCAAGTCCAACTCCGGCGAGGGCGGCGAGGACACGCAGCGGTTCGTCCCCATCGACGACGCGGACGACAACGGGAAGTCGGCGACGTTTCCGCACCTCAACGGCCTCAAAAACGGCGACGTCGCGTCTTCCGCGATCAAACAAGTCGCGTCCGGCCGGTTCGGCGTCACGACATCGTTCCTCATGGCCGCGGACCAGGTCGAGATCAAGGTTGCCCAGGGCGCGAAGCCCGGCGAGGGCGGGCAGCTCCCGGGGAAGAAGGTGTCCCCGTACATCGCGTCCCTGCGACGATCCAAGGCGGGCGTGCCGCTCATCTCGCCGCCGCCGCACCACGACATCTACTCCATCGAGGATCTCGCGCAGCTGATTTACGACCTGCACATGGTGAACCCGAAGGCGAAGGTCTCCGTCAAGCTCGTCGGTCAGGCTGGCATCGGGACGGTCGCCTCCGGCGTCGCGAAGGCGAACGCGGACATCATCCAAATCTCCGGCGGCGACGGCGGCACCGGCGCGTCGCCGCTGTCGTCCATCAAACACGCCGGCGGGCCGATGGAGATGGGCCTCGTCGAAGCGCACCGCACGCTCGTGGACAACGACCTCCGCGATAGGGTCGTCCTCCGCGCGGACGGCGGCTGCAGAAGCGGTCTGGACGTCATCCAGTGCGCGCTCATGGGCGCGGACGAGTACGGGTTTGGCACCGTCGCGATGATCGCGACGGGGTGCGTCATGGCGCGCATTTGCCACACGAACAACTGCCCGGTCGGCGTCGCGTCGCAGCGCGAGGAACTGAGAGCGCGGTTCCCGGGCGCGCCCGGAGATCTCGTGAACTTCTTCCAGTTTTGCGCGCAGGAAGTGCGCGTCGAGCTCGCGAGGATGGGGTACAAGTCCCTCGACGAGATCATCGGGCGGAACGACCTCTTCGCGCAAGTTCGCGAGCAGGAGGGCCTCTCCGCGCCCGGTCAGCCGGCGAAGACGAGCAACCTGGACCTCTCGTTCCTCACGACGTCTTCCGGCCAAGGAAACAAGTCCTCGGACCGCCGCAAGATGGAGACGCACGGCGACGGGCGCATGCTCGACGACGAGATTCTCGAAGACGCGGACGTGAAGAAGTGCATCGAGAGCGAGGGCACGCACGTGATCAAGAAGGAAATCGTAAACATCGACCGGTGCGCGGGTGCGCGCGTCGCGGGCGCCGTCGCCGCCAAGTACGGCGACGAGGGCTTCGGCGGGTCGCTCACGCTCGACTTTGAAGGCTCCGCGGGGCAGTCCTTCGCCGCGTTCACCGTCGGCGGGATGCACGTGAGGCTCGTCGGCGAGGCGAACGATTACGTGTGCAAGTCCATGTCCGGCGGGGAGGTGTCCATCATGCCGCCGCCGGCGTCGACGTTTAACCCGGAGGATTGCATCATCGCGGGGAACACGTGTCTGTACGGCGCGACCGGCGGTAAGGTGTACATGAACGGCCGCGCGGGCGAGCGTTTCGCGGTGAGAAACTCCCTCGCGGAGGCAGTCGTGGAGGGCACCGGGGACCACTGCTGCGAGTACATGACGGGCGGGTGCGTCGTCTCGCTCGGAAGGGTTGGCCGAAACGTCGGCGCCGGGATGACCGGCGGGTTGGGGTACTTCCTGGACGAGGACGACACGTTCGCGTCCAAGGTAAACGGCGAGATTGTCACGATGCAGCGCGTGTGCACGGCCGCCGGGGAGGCGCAGCTGAAGACGTTGATCGAGGCGCACGTCGAGAAGACGGGGTCGCCGAAGGGGAAGGCGGTGCTCGCGGATTGGGACGCGTCGCTGAAGAAGTTTTGGCAGCTCGTCCCGCCGAGCGAGATGAATACCCCGGAGGCGGCGGACGTCGTCGAGGAGGCGGTCTCCGCGTCCGCGTGATCGTGAGGAGGAGGCTGGCACCGACGGGGGCTATATTTTTGTCGTCGTCCGTCGACCCCGCGCGAAAACACGCGCCGGGGACGAGAGAGGCGAGCGACTTTGACATATGCTGTGCGTAGCGAGCGAGGAGAAAACTCTGACGTTTTATACAAACACAAACCATACATCGATCGATCGACGATTCTCTCGATCAGTAAAAGTCCGGCTGCCCCGTGGACGTGAGCAACCGCTGCCACATCCGCCCGTCCGGGTCCACGAGCCGTTCCTTCTCGATGAGACGTTCGATCGGCAAAAAAACCGCGTGCGTGTTCACCATCCCGATGGATATCCCGGTGTACCCCGCCATCGCGCCGTGCACCGCGTTTTGCCCTAAAATCGCGCAGTATATCGAGTCGTGCGCGTTCGCCGCGCACCCGCGCACCATGTACGTCGGATCGATGTACTTCACGTCCGCGCTCATCTCCTGTTTGAGGCGCTTGCAAAACCACGGTCCGATGTCGCCTAGTTTCGGGTTCCCGCCCGCGTCGACGCCGCCGGCGCCCTGGACGTACTCCTGCCCCGCGCCCTCCGCGAGGACGATGATCGCGTGGCCTTGGTTGTCTAACAGTCGCTTCACGTGCGCGACGACCCCGGTCGGGCCCTCCATCGCGAACGGCAGCTCCGGGATGAGGCACACGTCGACGTTGCCGTTTGCCAGGCTGGCGTGCAACGCGATGAAGCCAGACTGCCTTCCCATTAGCTTCACGACGCCGACGCCGTTCAGCGCGCTCTTCGCCTCCACTGCGGCAGCCTGGATCGCCTTCTGCGCCTCCTCGACCGCGGTGTCGAACCCGAACGTCTTGTCGATGTGCAGAATGTCGTTATCGATCGTCTTCGGGATGCCGACGACGCTCACCTTTAATCCCCTCTTCGCGCACTCCTTCGAGACGGCGTTCGCCCCCGCGTGCGTGCCGTTGCCTCCGATGACGAACACCATGTTGATCCCCTGCGATTCGATGCTGTCGACGATCTTCGGGACGTCGCCGCCGCCTCGCCCGCACCCGATGATGCTCCCGCCCTGTTGCTGCAACGCGCTCGTGCTCTTCCGCGACAGCGGCAAATTCTCGACGCCGTCTTTCCAGAAGCCGCCGAAGCCGAATCGAATCCCGCTGATCTTCTGCACGCCGTATCCCACCTCCAACGTCGTCACGACGCTTCGAATGACGTCGTTTATGCCCGGACACAACCCGCCGCAGTTCACGATCGCGGCGTGCACCGTGGGCGGGTCGAAGTAGATCTCCGCCCTGGGCCCCGCGCGGATGCAAAACTCGGGCTCGAACGCGCACACGTCGCAGACGGGCTCGCCGTCGTCGTCGCACGTCGCGTCGCACTCCGCGCTGAGCGAGTCCGGGGACCCGAACGCCATGGACTTCAGGAGGACGCGGTCGAGCTCGCTGACGAAGACGCGGTTAAGATTCACCGGCGTCCGCGGCGCGCCGCCGCCCAGGTCCACCGGGCACGACGAGCGCGTGCAGAAGGGCGACGGCTGCGGCTCGAGCGGCGTCTCGCCGCGGTAGACGTCCTTGAGGTGCACGCACGGTATGTCGTTCGGGCCGCCGATCCTCCACGTGTACTTCTCCTCCCACCACGGTTTCGGCTCGAAGGAGGAGTCCTCGGGGGACGACGCCGCGGAGGAGTCCGTCGCGACCGCGGCGACCGTCGTCGATCGCGGCCGCGATGATGGCGCGATCGGGAGAGAGGAGGGAATTGTTGCAGCGCGCACATTTTCGGCGGGCGGCCGCCCCCGGCGCGCGCGCGCGATCTCGGTCGCGCGCGAGCTGCGTCCATCCCGCCCGGATCTCGCGCGCGTCGTGAGCGATACCGCGCGCGGCGCGACCGCGTGCGTGGTCGCCATCGTGCCCCAGGGAGAGCGCGTACGCGCTTCCGTGTGTGTGCCGGCGCAACGTTTCGGCCGAGCCCTTTCTTTATTCGCTTTTTTTTTTGCGTTCCTCGCTAGTACTGTAATCGATGTCATATGAGCAAACAGTTACAGTAGGCGATGTGCTACAGTACGCGTCGCGAGACGAAAAGAAAAGACAACTGAGAAAGCGTCCCGTCTGGAAAATATCCGCGTCATACTGTAAATAACACCATCACCATGGCCGACTCCGACGCCGTCACGGCCCTCGTGGACGCGTACTTCTCCGCGTGGAACGCTCAGGACGCGGCGAAGCTCCGCGAGTGCTTCGACGAGAACGTCTCGCTCACGGACTGGGACGTCGCCGTGTCCGGGATCGACGCGGTCGTCGAGGCGAATCAGGGCATCTGGAAGGCGGTGCCGGCGATTCGCATCGTCGTCAAGAACGTCGTCGCGGGGCGGGACTCGCGGGCGTTCGGCGGGCCGGTGGCGACGTGCGAGATCTCCGTGGAGTTGAACGACGACGCGAAGACGGTCCTCACGGTCGTGGACGTCATCGACGTCTCGAACCAAGGCAAGATCAAGTCGGTCCGGGCGTACAAGCAGTGATCGATCGATCGAAATGAGGAATCGTAAAAGTCGAACAGACGAAACGACGTCGAACGCCCTTCGTCTCGTCGTCCGTCGTCGCGCGCGCGCATCGGATAGCCCCCCTGACTAATGAGATACACACGTTACACACTACTATCACACCGTGCTCAAGATAGCTTGAGTTTCACCCCCCTCGCGACGCGTCTCGCGAGCGTCTCAAGACGCGCGAAGCCCGGCACCAACCGCGCCGCCGTCCTCGGCTCCAATATCGCGACGAGCGCCGGAAACGCCAGCACGCTCCCGACCATGTTCTCCATCGTCGCCGCGAAGATGTCCCCCTCGAACGATGCCTCGCTGTGAAATCGCAGCGCGCATATCGCCGCGTGACAAACGAAGTGGTACCGAATCCCCAGCCCCGGCGCGCCGGCGAAGAAGAGACACGAAAACAACGCGGGGACGACGTTGACGCCGAGCGCGTCCGTGAGCGCTACCAACAGCTTCTGTCCGCTCAGCGCCTTGTTGCTCATCAGCGGCGCGAACGCGAAGTCTCTCACCTTGGCATCGTAGAAGCTCGTCGCGAGGACGTGCCGGAGGCGGCAAAACGCGAAGCGCAGGAGGTTGATCGAGTGCATGTACGCGAGCACGAAGCGCGATGAGAGCGCTCTCGAGAGATACCGCGGCTCCGACGCAGAGAGGATGATGCATCCGAGACACGCGCACGCGCTCGCGATGTAGACCGCGAAGCACGTCATCCAGAACCGCGCGTTCGAGATGACCACGCGCAGCGTCGCCGCGACGGTCGGAACCCCGCCTTTCTGGACGACGAGGTGCGCGAACGAGCACAGACGCGCGCCGTCGTCGCGACACTCGTCGAGGAGCCGCCCGCTCGGTCCCGCCTCCGACGCGAGTTTCAGATCCGCGAGCTGCCGCGTGAGCAGCTCGCGGCGCGAGAACGTGTACACCGCGAGCGCGATCGCGCCCAGGAACGACGACATCACCGCGCGTCTGAACTCGTTCTCTCTCTCCCTCGTCGCGCGCAGCCCGTACGCGCGTCTGTGCCCGCGCTGCCACGCTCTGAGGTTGTTGCTCAGCCGCGAGCGCGTTACGTCTCGGAACCCCGCGGACGCGAACGTCATGAACGCCTCGAACAACGGCCGGACGACCTCGGTGCCGAAGTACGCCTGGCAGTTGTAGTAATCGGCGAGGATGACGTCGCGCGACGGGAACGTTCGTTGGACGCGTTCTCTGACTTCGCGTTCGCCCTGCGTCGCCTGCTCTTCGACGATGCGTAAGCCCCACGCGTCCGCTTTCGATATGTCCGCGGCGACCGCGTTCAAGTCGGCGCACTTAATCGTGATCTTCAGCAGCGACTCGCGCTGGTCCTCGTTCAAGACCCACCCGCGGCGGCGGCTCGATCTCGATCTCGATCGATCGGCGCGGTTCGCGAGCGCGGGACTGATCTCGCCGCGGCTCTCCGTCGCGTCGTCGTCGTCGTCGTCGTCGCCGTCCTCCGCCTCCGCCTCCTCCTCGTTCCCGCTCTCGCGGCGCTCGCGTCCGATCTCGTCGACCCAGTGCGCGAACCCGCCCAGGATCCCCTTGTGCGCGCTGATGTCCGTCGCTAGGATGATCTCGCGCATCAAGCTCTCGAACCGCGCGCGGTCGCCGTTCGCCTCGGAAATAAATCGCGACACCCCGTACTCGGGATCGCGCACGTGCTCGGTCATGATGTGCGCGTGATAGCGCTCCAGCGTGCTCGTCGGGTACACCGCCAGGAGCGGGTGATCGCTGTTCTTGAGGAAGTCGTTGTTCACCCCGAAGTGCCCGGCGTCGTGCCCGACCGCGGCGACGTACAGCGCGAGCCGCTCGACGTCCGTGAACGGCCCGTGCCCCTCGGCGATCACCTCTCGCATCAGCGCGTGCGCGGCGAGGAGCACGTCCTTCGCGTGGTTCGCGCAGTGGTACGGCACCTTGCCGTACGAGTCGTAGACGCGATCGAAGAACATCGTCGCGGTGTAGTCGTCCACGCCGAAGCTCTGGAGCAGCTCGGCGTCTCTGAACGCGCCGACGCACGCGCGTCGGAACTCGCGACGGTCGCCGTAGTAGCACGGATCGCTCCGCGCGAAGTGGACACCGTCGTCATCCACGCGCGCGGCCGCGGACGGCGACGCCGCGCCGCGGGCGGCGCGGTCGTCGTTGCTCTCGAACTGCCACGTGATCCCGGTCGGCGACCGCGTGCTCGACATCGCTCTCGGCGGCGCGGCGCCGGCGCCGGAGGTGTGCGCGCGCGGGAGGTGCGGCGAGTGTTCTCCGTCGTTTCACGAGTATTCCTCTTTTGTACGAGTACGTACTCTCATCATACCAATTGCCCATACGCGGAACGAAAACAATATCACCCCAAATCTGTGCGCGGAGCTCTTTTCGCGTCGGGTCGTGAGCGCCGCCATTTTTCCGCGTATTCTCCCGAGTCGAGACCTCATTAGACCTCAGTTCTTGAGTTAATTAGTTTTGATCCCTGAAGAAAACCTGAAGAAAACGACCGAAAAAAGAAAACCAAAGATTTCATCGCGGTCACAGAAAACATGAGAGTACTGTATGTGTCATAGCGGTGCGGGCGCGAAGATACCTCTCGCGACCCGCTGACCTCTCGCGCCTCTCGCGCCAATCAACAGTTCCGAACTTCACGATTCCCCCAACGGGTCCCTCCGGCAGACATCGCCGCGCGCTCGTCGTCCTCGCACCGCGGACGACTCACGCGCGCGTCGAATTCGCGGCGCACGCGCACATCGACGCGACACGCGCGTCGGCGGGTCGCGCGTCGCGCGACGCGAGCTCGCGACGCGCGCGTCGCGGTCGAGACGCGCGGTGGGTGACGTGGTGAGGAATTAATTAATCGAGCGAAGGCTCGAAGGACATCATGGGCTTCACGACCCCCCCGCTGCCGTCGTCCAAGCTCCCCGGGATCCCGCGCAACGCGTTCACGGACGGCCTCGTTGAGCAGTACAGAGCGAGCGAGGACGTGCTCGAGTACCTCGGCGAGGTCATCGTCGGCGAGCTCAAGGGCGCGGCGTACGACGCGGAGCGAGAGCGCGTGCGCGCGCTCAGGGAGAGGCGCGAGGCGGACGCGATCGCGAACGCCGCCGCGAGCGCCTCCTTCGACGCGAAGCTGCCCGAGGACGCGGAGCACGATCTCGAGGAGCTCGCGAACGCCGCGATCCCCGGGTTCTGGACGACCCCGGAGACGAAGGGCGTCGTGGAGGAGCGGCAGCGGAGCCCGAGCCCGGAGCGCCGACGGAATCGATCGCCGTCGAGGTCGCCGTCGAGAAGCCCGAGGGGGGGATCCCCGAATCGCTCTCTCTCCTCCCCGAGTCGCCGCGATCGCGACGCGAACGGACTGGGCGACCTCGTGTCGCGCGTCCGCGGGCTCATGTCGCGCGGGCCCGCGTACGACGAAGAGGACGAGAGCGCCGTCCGCACGCGCGCGGCCGCGGATCAAGAAGCGCGCGACCTCGCGACGCGGCGATGGCGTGCGAAGCGAGACGAGAAAGATCGCGCGCGCGCGGTGAAAAAGCGAGCGGAAGCGGAGAAGCTCGCGATCGAGCGCGCGGCGTTCAAGAGGGCGCAAGATCGCAGGTTCGAGGAGGTGAAGCGCGCGAAGGCGGAGCGCGAGCGCGTCGAGGCGACGCGCGCGGAGGAGGCGCGAAAGGCGCTCGCGGCGACCGCTGCGGAGGCGGAGCGCGCGAGGGCGGCGAGGGCGGAGGCGGAGCGAGAGAAGCGACGCGCCGCGCGGCTTGTCGAAGAGGCGGAGAGGAAGATCGAGGAGAAGAAGCGCATCGACCTCGCGCTCGCGCTCGCGGAGCGGGCGAGGAAGGAGGCGGAGGAGATCAAGAGGCGCGCGCGGGAGGAGGAGCGGATCAGGATGCGGGAGGCGGCGGCGGCGGAGAAGAAAGCCGCGGCGAAGAAAGCCGCGGACGCCAAGGCGAAAGCGGCCGCGGAGAAGAAAGCCGCGGAGGAGAAGAAGGCTGCGGAGAAGAAAGCCGCGGAGGAGAAGAAGGCTGCGGAGAAGAAGGCTGCGGAGGAGAAGCTCGCGCGAGAGAAGGCTGCCGCGAAAGCGAAGGCTGACGCGGAGACGGAGCGAAAAAAGAAGGAAGCCGCCGCGAAAGAACGAGCCGAGCGCGAAGCCAAAGAGCGCGCCGCCGCGGAGAAGAGGCGCGCGGAGGAGCGGAAGAAGAAGGAAGAGGACGCCGCGAAAGCGAAAGCCGCCGCGGAGAAGGAGAAGGAGCGCGTCGCAAAGGAGAAGGCTAAGGCGGCGGAAGCGAAGGCAAAGGAAGCCGCGGCCAAGGCGAAGCAAAAAGCCGCGGACGAGAAGAAAGCCGCCGACGACAAGAAAGCCGCGGACGAGAAGAAAGCCGCGGACGAGAAGAAAGCCGCGGACGAGAAGGCCAAGGCGGACGAAGCCGCGAAGAAGGCGAAGGCGAAAGAAGACGCCGCGAAGAAGAAGGCCGCGTCCAAGGCGAAGGACGACGCCGCGAAGCCGAAGCCAAAGCCGAAGCCGAAGGAGGACGCGCGCGCGGGGCGAAAGAAAGAAACCGCGAACGCGATGCAAAAGAAGGAGACGAACGCTCTGAAGCGCGCCATCGAAGACCGTTTACGAGGCTCCCCGCGGTCTCCCGACAACGCGACGGCGACGACGACGACGACGACGTCTCCGAACGCCGGGCTCCTTCTCACCGCGGGCGCGGTCGTCGCCGCGGGGGCGTACCGCTACGCGAGGCACCGCCGGAATCAAAACGGCGACGGCGACGGCGACGGCGACTCCCCAAAGTCGTCGCGCTCGCTCGACGACGTCGATCTCGCGTCGCCGCCGAACACCGCGCGCACGCCGGAGCGCGTCTCCCCGGTCCCTTCCCTGGGGCTCTCGCGGCTGTTCTCGTCCTCGAAGAAGAAGAAGGAGGAACGACGCGAGCGCGAGGCGTCGGAGGCGCAGAAGACGCCGCCGCCCAAACGCCGCGGAAGCGACAGCACGCTCGGATCGCCGACGAAATTTCAGTCGTCGCCGTTCCGAGACCCGGCGTTACAGCGCGAGCTCGAGGAGACGCAGCGGCAGCTCGAGTCCGCGCGGCGGTGGCGCGGCGAGCTCGAGGCGACGCTGATCGCGAAGGAGAAGGCGCACAAGAAGGAGCTCGAAGCCGCGGCGGCGGAGAGCGCCGCGGTCGCCGCGGATCTCGCCGCCGCCAAAGCCGCGCGCGTAGAGGAGCTCCTCAAGGCGTTGTCCACGTCGGACGCCGCCGCCGCCGTGGAGGAGGCGGAGACGAACGTCTCGCGGCTCGACAGCGAGCTCTCGAGCGAGGAGACGAAAGAGAGCGAACTGCGCGCGAAGCTTCTGTCGATGACGAGCGGCGGCGACGCCTCGTTCGCCACCGCCGTCGGAGACCACTCCTTCGCGCTGGACCGCAGCGCGGATGGCGGCGCCATCCTGCGCGGCATCACCGGCGTCGGCGGCGGCGACGCGAACGCCGCGGCGACGAGCGACGGCAGCGACGACGGGATGGTCACCCCGCGCGGCGGCGACGCGTCGACCATCTCCGACGTCGGCACGCCGTTGTCCCCCGCGGACGCCAGAGCCGCGGAGCGGCTCCTCGCGGAGCTCGACGCGCAGGTGGAGCGCGTGCGCGACGTCAAGGCGAAGAAGGACGCCGCGGCGAAGGCGGCGGCGCAGGCGAAGGCCGCGGCCGCGACCGCGGAGGACGCGGCGAGCGCGGCGCGAGCGGAGAGGGAGAACACCGCGCTCGCGCTCCGCGAGTCGTCGCGCGTCGCCGTCGCCGCGGGCGCGGACGCGGGTGACATCGCGGACGCGTTGCTGTCGCACGGCATCGAGCCGGACGCGTCGATCCTCCTCGCGGGGGGGACCCCCGGGGCCCGCCGCGCGAAAGAGATGGACGACGACGCGGGGATCGAGAGCGGGGAGATTCAGGCTTCTATCGCGGACGCGGCGGCCCAGGCGGCGAACGCGCCGAAGACGCCGGAGATGGCGGCGGCGGCGACGGAGGCGCCGAAGGAGGAGCCGAAGGGCGGGAAGAAGGGGAAGAAGGGGAGGAAATGATCGCGTCGCGAACGCGAGCGCGGCGCGAACGGTTGGTTTTGACGCGCGCGGTCAGTCAATACATTCCAAGCGATGCGATCGATCGCCGCCCGCGTCGTCGCCGCGATCGTCCGCTCGACTCGCGTCGCGTCGACTCCGCGCACGTCACGCCGCGCCTCCGCCCCGCTTCACGCCCGCGGTGTCCGTCGTCCGCATCGACTTCGTCGTCCCGTTCTCCGCGAGGTCCGCTATCCTATTCAAAAATATCAACACGTCGTCCGGGTCTCGCACGCTAAACGACGCGTCCGACGGCTTCGGCACGGTGCTCACGATGACGCCGCACCCGCGGCCGTTGGGCATCCCCTTCAGCTCGTTGAACGCGTCCTCGTCCGTGTGGTCGTCGCCGAAATACAACGACAAGACCTCGTCCTCGTGGAACCTCTCGTCGAGCCCGAGCTCGCCGAGCAGGAACGACAGCGCCTTGCCCTTGTCCCACGCCACTCGAGGCTTCACCTCGAACACCTTGCGTCCGGTCGCCTTCTTCAGCCGCGTCGGGTCGGACGCCACGCACGCGTCGACGACGGCATTGACCTCGCCCCAGTGCTTCGGATCGCAGTTCCGGTAGTGCACCGAGATGCAAAACTTGTTGTGGTCCACCGTCGCCCCGGGGATGTCCTCGATCGCCTTCACGCATCGATCGTTGACCTCGTCCATGAGCTCCGCGGCCCACGGCGCGGGCTGATGCATCGCCTCGTGCGTCGGCGCCGCGTCGTCGTCCTCGTCCTCCCCAACCCCCGACGCGGAGACGTCGACGTCCGTCGACGCCGCGTCTCCGTCTTCGGCCCCCCGCGCCCGCCGCCGCCGCGACGCTGGGGTGGAGTTGAAAGGCGTCAGTCGGAGTTGAAAGGCGCCGAGGGCGGGGATTGAAACCGAGGGGTGGGCGGAGAGAAGCGACGGGAAAAGTCCTTAAGGATCGGCGTTCACCACGCCAACGCGGTCGTATGGGGACCAGTGTACAGAACACACCTATACCGCGGGGGCCGACGATGTCCAACCCGTGCGACCCGGCGTAGTACAGCTCCGGGATCTGAACGAAGTCGTACACCTTCTCGCGGCTCCGCCCGCTGATCACCGCGGTCGGGTACAGCGCCGCGACGCGCTTCACCGCCGCGCGCATCTCGTCGGACATGAACGCGCGCTCGGGTTGCTTGACGATCGGGGATATCGTGCCGTCGTAGTCTAAGAACACCGTGAGGAGCTTACCGCTCGCGGCGGCGACGAAACGCTCGAAGCACTCGATCGCGCACGGGTGGTGTTTCTGTGCGAGGGTAGGGGGGGTGGGGTGGGCGGGGACGTTGGAGGGGACGAAAGAGGTCAGCGCTCCGTCCGCGCGCTTCAGAGCGCGATACGATTCGCGTCGGGTTGTCTTCTTTACGCGGATCGCCGCGCGAGAGGATCTCTCTGTGCGTCTGGAGTCATGCGCGCGAGGGACGCGCGGCGATCGCGCGCGACGCGGCGCGGACGAGAGGGACGCGCGCGACGCGCGCTCGACGCGCCTTCCAGTCCTCGTAATCCTCCCAGTACTTCTCGCTCCGGCGCTGGCGCGTCACGATCCCCGCGACGTCCGCGCCCGAGGTGGCGTCGTTCGGCATCGGCGCCATGGTTTCCGCGCGCGACCCGCGGGATCACCGAGCTCGGCGGACGCGACGCGGCGAGACTGACTGCGCGGCGGCGCGTCCGCTCCGCGCGACTGACTGCGCGACTGACCGCGCGCGCGTCTCGTCGCCGCGACCTCGCGCTCGAGACGCGCGCCGGCGTCGGTTCGGCGCGGGCGGTGGGGTCGTTCGACTCTTTCGCGCGCGCCGGCAACGACCCGCGCGAGCGAGAGGACGGACGATTCCGCGGATGTCACCGCCGCCGTCGACGCGCGGCGCGCCTCCGCGTTCGACGCGACGGCGACGCCCCTGCGGCGCGTTAATGCGCGGCTTCGTGCGCGCGACGCCGCGAGCGCTGCGTTCGCGTTGGCGCGCGCGTGCGACGTGCGCGCGTGCGGCGGAGGATGGTGACAAGTCAGCGGGAGCCGCTTATGCGCGAATCTTCATCTCCCCGAGATCTCGTCGGGGCGAAAACAGGAGAAAACGTGGCCGTATGCGACGCACGCACAGCTGTATTTTTGAGATCCTTTTTGCATATGGGCAAACATTCAGAAGACTCGAAAACGTACGTACTCGCCGCGTAATCGTCCTATCGTATCGCGCCTTCGGCGGCCTCGGCCAATCAGCGCCGCCGGCTTCCTACCTTTTCCGCAGCGAAGAGACGAGGAAAGTGCGCGCGCGACGGGAGTGCACTGCATCCGCGCGCGCACCGGGCACGCGCGCGCGAACGAGGAGTCTTACGCTCAGGCCGCGCGAGCGCTCGATCGCAATCGCGACGCGAGGGAACGGACGAGCGCGATGCAAGTGCAAGCTCCTCAGGGCGGGGGTGAGTCGCGCGCGCGCCGCGCGAATCTCGCTCGATTTCAATCGCGCGTACATAAACCCCCTACGCGACGTCTCGGTCGAAACCCTCCGCGCGGGCGCGACGCGCGAACGCCGTCGCGACGAGGCGTTCGCCCCCGACGCGCGCGCGCTCGATCGTCGCGACGGCATTCGCCGTCCTCGTCGCGGCGTTCGAGCGAGGCGCCCGACGGCGCGCGCGATTGATTTCGCTGGGTTAGGGATAGATCTTCCTTCACGCCTCCCAGACGCGACGATAAATTGAAGCTGACGACGACCCCGCTTCCCTCCCCTTCCCCCCGCAACTCAGTCGTCGAGTACGCCACGAACGATGGCAGCGGCGCGGCCGCGCAGGGCCAGGACTACATGAGGTCCGCGTACGCGTACGACCCGTACATGGCGTACGGCGGCGTCGTGGCGTACGGGCAGCAGACGGTTGTGGCGCCGCACGTCATGGGCGGGTTGCAGGCGCGTTCTATCTCACACTGGTCCCCATACGACCGCGTCGGCGTGGTGAACGCCGTTTCTTAAGGACTTTGCCCGGCGTTTCTCTCCGCCCACGCCTCGCTTTCAATCCCCGCCCTCGGCGCCTTTCAACTCCACCTGACGCCTTTCAACTCCACCCCGATATCATCGCTCGTATGGAACGACCAACAGAGCGCGCGCATGATGCTCCCGAGCGAGATGGAGGAAGAGCCGGTGTACGTGAACGCGAAGCAGTACCACGGGATCTTGCGCAGACGCGCGGCGAGGGCGAAGGCGGAGAGCGAGAACCGACTCATCAAGTCGCGGAAGCCGTACTTGCACGAGAGCAGGCACAACCACGCGCGGCGGCGCGAACGCGGCGCGGGGGGGCGGTTTCTCACGAAGAAGGAGCTCGAGGAGAGGGATCGATTGGCGAAGGCCAAGGAGGGCGGGGGGGACGGGGGGGACGCCGCGGACGCGGACGCGAACGCGAACGCGAACGCGAAGGAAGGAGGAGGAGCGGACGCGGACGCGGGAGGCGACGACGCGGGCGATAAGGAGACGCCGTCGAAGGAGAAGGACGCGCCCGCGAAGAAGACGGCGAAGAAGGGAAAGAAGTGATCGAACGAACCACCCTCGAATCGAATCGCTCGCGTCGAGGGACCGTCGATCGATCGTCGCGTCTCTCGTCGCGAACGGAACGGAACGGAACGGAACGGACGACGCACGCGAGTCTTTTGTTTGACGTGTAGATATAGGTGGGGGGCGCGGGTGGGGCGGACGGCCGCCCCGAACCGCGCTAGCGCCGTCGCCGCGGATCCTCGGTCGCGACGAGAGAAAATAAAATGTGAGACGCGAGGTCACGAACTCGAACACTCTTCACACTCTTCCCCGCGCGACGCGATGCCCAGCGGCGGCGGCGGCCCGCGATGGGTCGCGCCCGTCGCGATCGTCCTTCTCCCCCTTCTCGTCCTCGCGCGCGCGTGGACGCGGATCCTCTCGCCCGCGTACGGCGGCGAGAACCGATGCGCGATGACCTACGTGCGCCCGGCGTACTTTCAGCTCGAGACGCCGTCGCTTCCGCCGTCCGTCGCGGACCACGGGTACAAGCTGTACATGTACCGCGAGAACCCGAGTAACCCGGGGATGTCCGCCTCGGAGGCGATCTCGCAGGCCGGGGAGGGCGTCCTCGGCGGCGGGTCGACTCGAGCGCGAACGACGCGCGGGTCCGTGCCCGGGATCTTCGTCCCGGGGAACGGAGGGAGCTACAAGCAAGTGCGGAGCATCGCGAGCGAGACCGCGAGGGCGGCGACCGCGAAGGCGGAGGCGGCGGCGGCGAACGTCCTGCACGACGACGACGTCCTCGACTCGGATCCGGTGTCGATCGATTGGTACGCGGTCCACCTCAACGACGAGCTCGGCGCGTTCCACGGCGACCTGCTCGAGCGTCAGGCGGAGTTCCTCGCTCACGCGATGCGCTTCGTGTCGACGCTGTACCCGCCCGGGGTGCCCACGTTCGTGTACGCGCACTCCATGGGCGGCGTCGTCGCGAGGCGCGCGATCGTGATGGCGTCGACGCCGTTTCCGCCGCGGACGCCCACGTGGTTCGCGTCCGCCGCGACGCTCGCGACGCTCGCGACGCCGCGAGGCGCGTCCCCGGCGTCGACGCTGCCGTCCACCGCGCGGTTCTTTTCGCGCCTGGTGCGTTCTATACACTGGTCCCCATACGACCGCGTTCGCGTGGTGGACGCCGATCCTTAAGGACTTCGCCCGTCGTTTCTCTCCGCCCACCCCTCGCCTTCAATACCCGCCCTCGACGCCTTTCAACTCCATCTGACGCCTTTCAACTCCACCCCGACGTTCGCTCGTATGGAATGGCCCTCAGGACGCGGACTGGACGCGCCTCGAGTCGCTGCTCGAGCGCCGCGCCGCGTTGGGCGTCGCGATCGTGGCCGTCAGAGGCGGGGATCGCGACCGGCAGGTCACGGCGGCGGCGGCGGGCGCCTTTGGCGCGCTGGCGCGGGGGCGCGACGCGTCGTCGCGGACGACGACGACGACGCTCGGCGTCGACGTCCGCGAGCTCAGAGGCGCGAACGGGACGCTGTCCGCGGACCATCAGTGCATCGTGTGGTGTAATCAGGTGGTGCGGGCGATGAGCGAGGCGATGCTGCGCGTCGCCGCGGCGGGCGGCGCGCGAGACGCGGCGGAACGGCGCGTCATCGCGCGAGCGGCGTTGATCGACGAGAAGACGGAGACGGACCGAGACAAAGATGGAACGGAAACGGAAACGGCCGACGGCGATGCGTTTCTTCGTGCCGTTCTCGCGTGGACGCCCGCGATCGTCCCCGCGTCGGTCGCGCACCTCGCGTTCGCGTCCGCGCGCGCGGAGCGGCGCGCGGCGGCTCGCAGAGCGGCGGGCGCGTCGGCGTCGCGCGTCGCGTCCGCGTCGTCGGCGTTGCTCGCTCTGACGCGCGACGCGGCGTGGATCGGGACGTTCGCGGTCGTCTTCGCGCTGACCGCGATCGTCGCGCCGCCGGCGCACGCGCCGAGGTGGGATGGCGGCGGCGGCGGCGGCGTGATGCGCGTCGCGAGTCACCTCGCGGGGGTGCCGTCGTTCGTGTTCGCGACGTCGCTGAGCGTCGTCGTCGTCCAGGCGCTCGCGATCGAGCGCGTCGCCGCGGCGCGGCGTTTTCTCACTCGTTTCCGTTTCCTCGCGCGGGGGAAGGACGACGGCGACGACAACGACGAGTCCTCCTCCTCGTCCTGGATCGATCTCGCGGCGCGCGCGGTCGCGGCGCTGTTCGGCGCGGCGACGACGGCGGCGGTCGCGACGACGTGCGCGACGCAGCCGGCGGTCGGTCTCGCGTTCGCGCTCGCGCTGAGTCTCAACGACGCGACTTCGACGACGACGACAACTTCGACGACTTCGACGACGGGCGACGTCGCCGTCGCCGCGACGCTGCGCGCGCTGCTGACGCTCCAGTCCTTTGCGCTGTACGCGCCGTCGCTCGCGGCGGCGATCCGAGTCGTGATCGAGTCTCAGGTGCGTTCTATACACTGGTCCCCATACGACCGCGTCGGCGTGGTGGACGCCGATCCTTAAGGACTTTGCCCGGCGCATCTCTCCGCTCATGCCTCGGTTTCAACGCCCGCCCTCGACGCCTTTCAACTTCAACTGACGCCTTTGAACTCCACCCCGACATCGCTTTGTATGGAACGCCCCTCAGTCTCGCGGCGAATCCGGGGTGGTGCCGTCGATGCCGAGGACGTCCGTCGAGGACGCCGTCGTCGCGCTGTCGGTCGCGCTGCCGTCGATACCGTGGGTGAAGGCGTGGACGAGCGCGCGCGCGAAGCGGACGACGCGAGGGAGGAGAGGGAAGGGGGAGAGAGACGCCGACGCGGGCGCGGGCGCGGGCGCGGGCGCGGGCGCGGGCGTCGCCGCCGTCGTCGCCGCGTTCGCGAGCGTTCCCGGGCGGCTGCACCTCGGCTCGCACGCGGTCGCGATCGCGGCGTGCGGGACGGTCCTCGCGCGCGGGGGGATGGGAAAGCGCGGACGCGCGCGGGCGAAGACCGAGTAGCGGGCGAGCGACGACGTTTGAGTGGCGTTTTAATAAGTCCAGCGATCGAACATCAGTGGCGCATCGAAACGCTCACAGCGGCTCTTCCGCCCGACCGCGGCCTGTTCGTTTTCGCGTGACTCGACGACGCTCCGGCATTCTTTGGACGCGCGTCGCACGTCTTCTTAGTATCGATGGCCGCTATCGCTAACTTCGCGGGCGTGAAGCCTCGCGTGAACGCCGCGCGCGCGGGTCGGTTCGCGGGTTCCCGGGTGTCCAAGGTGCGCGTCTTGCTCCGACTCGCCCGCGCGAAAGAATTTCCGAGCGCGAGAGACGTGGCCGGACGTGGAGGATAAAATCTCCCGTCGCGACGCCCTCCCCCCGTCTCCGGCCGCGCGGCTCCGCTCGACGCGCGACTGACGTTCACCTCCCACCCCTCCTCCGTTCCACTCCCAGGTCACCAACGGTGGTGTGGTGTGCATGGCGCAGACGGACAAGCAGCCGGAGTTTTTCCCCGAGGCGAAGGTGCGCCTCCGTCCCCGTTCGTCTCCGACGACGCGCGCGTCTCGCGACGGTCGCGCGACGCGAACAAACCCTAGCTGGGAAAAACCTCATCGTCGCTCGTTCGTTTCGTCGCGGCGTCTCGCTCCTCCTACCTCCCCCGCGACGGAGAGCGCTGACCGACCTCTCACTCTCACTCTCACCTCATCTCCCCCCTCCCCCCCTCAGGTGTTCTGCAACGGCGAGGAGGTGATGACGGTGGGGGGTACTCAGGCGGAGTACGTCGTGGACATCTGGAGCGGGAACCACCCGTTTTTCCTCGGAAAGTCCACGGCTATCATGACCAACGCGGGGCAGGTGTCTCGGTTCGGCGACAAGTACGGCGACCTCGGGGCGATGTCCGAGGTGGAGACGATCGACACCCCGTCGAAGAAGGACGAGAAGAAGAAGTGAGCGAGGGAGGGATCTGGGATGGAGGGAGGGAGTCTCGACGGCTCTGAAGAGGGCACATAGTCGTGTACATGCTCACGCAACACATTCTCTCGTCGCTACGCTCCGCTCCGTCCGAAGACTCACCTCACTGCGGCTTCGAATACATCGTCTCCCCCCAGTCCCTCGTCTCCAACTCCCCCGCGGGCCGGCCGTGCGCGCCCGTCGCCCACTCGTCCGACGTCGGCTCGTCGTGCTGCAGCGGCTTGGCGTCCGGCTTCTTCGCCTGCTTGACGCTCTTATGAAGAGTGTTCTCCGTCACGGGCCCCGGCGCCGGCGCCGCCTTCGTCGGGGACGCCGCGACGGACAGCTTCTCCATCTTCCCCGCGGCGGCGGCCACCGCCACCGCCGCGGGCACGGGCACGGGGGCCGCGTCCACCTTGCCGCCTTGTTGGTCGTCCGGCTTCATCGCCGGGAACAGCAGCACCTCTTTAATGTTCGCCGTGTCCGTGAGCAACATCGTGAGACGATCGATCCCGAGCCCCCACCCGCCCGTCGGCGGCAAGCCGTACTCGAGCGCCTCGCAGAACGTCTCGTCCACGGTCATCGCCTCGTCGTCGCCCGCGCCCTTCTGCTTCGCCTGGTCCGCGAACCGCTCGCGCTGGACGATCGGGTCGTTCAGCTCGGTGTACGCGTTGCACAGCTCTCGCTTGTTGACGAACATCTATTCGTCGGGGCGGAGTTCATAGGCGTCAGAAGCGGAGTTTAAAGGCGCCGAGGGCGGAGATTGAAAGCGAGGGACCCTGGGCGGAGAGACACGCCGGGAGAAAAAGTCCTTAAGGAACGGCGTTCACCACGCAGACGGGGTCGTATGGGGACCAGTGTGAGATAGAACGCGCCTCGAATCGTTCCGTCATGTCCGGGAGTTTTCGGTGGTATTTCGCGAGCGGCGACATGATCTTCGGGTGGTCGCAGATGAACGCGGGGGAGACGCACTGCGTCTCGAGGTAGTCGCCCACGAGCGTGTCGAGCAATCGCGCGGTGGTGTGCGGCGGCTGGCACTCCGATCCGAGTCTTTGACACGTGTCCTTGAGGTATCGGTTCGCCTCGTCCGACTCGAGCGGCATCGGAATCTTAATGTTCAGCGTCTTCTCCAGGTCCGCCACCATGCTGAACCGCTTGAACGGCGGCGTGAAGTCGATCTCCACCGGGGGCTCGTCCGGGCCGTTCGCGTGATACATCACCTTGTACGACCCCTTCAGTCTCAGCACCATCCCGGACACGAGGTCCTCGGTCATCTTCATGAGGTCTTCGTAATCCGCGTACGCCATGTAAAACTCGCACGTCGTGAACTCCGGGTTGTGCGTCATGTCGATGCCCTCGTTCCGGAACTGTCGCCCGATCTCGTACACGCGGTCCATCCCGCCGACGACGAGCTCCTTCAGGAACAGCTCCGGGGCGATGCGCATGTACAGCGTCATGTCGAGGTCGTTGTGGTGCGTGATGAACGGCTTGGCGGTGGCGCCGCCGGGGATCATGTTCATCATCGGCGTCTCCACCTCGACGAAATCTTGATCGTCGAGGTACTTGCGGATGCTTCGGATGATGTTCGAGCGCGTGATGAAGATGTCTCGCACCTCCGGGTTCATGATGAGGTCGAGGAAGCGCTTCCTGTACCGCGTCTCTTGATCCTTCAGGCCGCTGAACCCGGGGAGCATGTGCAGACACGGCGTGAGCACCTCGAGGTGGCACGGGAAGATGGACAGCTCGCCGCGTTTGCTCTTGCCCGCGTAGCCGCGAATGCCGACGATATCGCCGCGGCGCGTGGACATGTTTATCTTCTCGAAGTCGTACTCCGTCGCCATCTTCGCGTCCGCCATGACCTGGACTTTCACGCCGTCGCCGCGGAGGTCGTAAAAGTACAGCTTCGTCCCGGACGCTCGCTTGGACATGAGACGTCCCGCGACGGAGATCTTCACGCTCTCGTCCACGACGCCGTCCGCGACGCCGCCGAAGCGCGAGATGAAGTCCGGGAGCGACGTGTCGACGTGGAACTTGTGCGGGTACGGGTGCTCGCCGTTCGCCTTGCGCGCCAAGACTTTGTTGATGCGGTTCGCGGTGTACTGCGTCGCGTCGAGCTCGCCCTCCTCGTCCTCCTCGGACTTTTTGGAGTCGGCGCTCGGCGCCGCGGCCGCCTTCGCCGCCTTCGCGGCGTCCTTCTCAGCCTTCGCCTTGGCGTTCTGCGCCGCCTTGAGGCGCTTCTTGTACTCGCTGTCGTCGGTCGCGCGCGGGAGGAGAGCGTCGTCGTGCGTGGGGGCGTCAGAGGAGGGCGGCGGGTGGGCGAGGACGGGGAGGGACGGGCGCGATGGAGAGCGATCGATCGGTTCGAAACAAGAGCGACGATCGATCGCGATCGATCGGCGCGCGGCGGCGGATCGCACCTCTTGCTCATGGGCTCCCCGGGGAACTCCGGGTACTCCTTGAGCGCGGGCGCCTCCGTTTGGGCGGGCTCGGCCATCGTGAGCGCGTGTGTGGTGCGTCGGTGGGGCGTCGCGTGCGTGCGGCGGCGCGTTCGCTCTCCGCGGCGTCGCCGCGAAAACCCCGCTGTTTGAAGTGGACCTGCAGTGGCCACTTCATCAGACGCGCGCGAGGCCAGACGCGCGCGCCGTTTCATTCTCCGGGGTCGCGTCGCCGCGATGGCGCGCCTCTCCGTCGTCCTCGCGCTCGCGCTCCTCACGTCGCCCGTCGCCGCCGCGCGCGCGCCGCGTCGTGCCTCCGCCCTGACCCCCCCGCTCCGCGGCGGCGTCGTCGGGGAGGGAGCGCGCGGGCGCGAGACCGCGACCGCGACGACGACGACGGTGGGCCCCGCCGCGGATCTCGTCGACGACCTGCCCGGGTACGGCGCCCCTCCCGCGGCGCAGTACAGCGGCTTCCTCGACGCGTCCGCGTCCACGCCCGGGACAATGCTGCACTACTGGCTCGCGCTGTCCCCCGCGGACGACTGGGCGTCCAAGCCGATCGTGCTGTGGCTCAACGGCGGGCCCGGGAGCAGCTCGATCCTGGGCTTCCTCCAGGAGAACGGGCCGCTGCTCACGAATCGCACAGGGGGGCTGATGCTCAACCCGTGGGCGTGGACGAACGACGCGAACCTCCTCGCGCTGGAGTCCCCGGCGGGGGTGGGGTACTCGTACTGCGCGAAGCAGTTGAAACGCCCGCCCGGCGGGTGTTACAACACGGACAAGTCCACGGCGTCCGACGCGCTCGCGGCGCTGGTGCACTTCTTCGGGGTTAAATTTCCGACGCTGGCGAAGAACGAGTTCTTCATCACCGGGGAGTCGTACGCGGGGGTGTACGTCCCGACGTTATCGCGCGCGATTCTCGATCACAACGACGCCGTGGCGGCGGCGGAGTCGTCGGAGGTGTTCGAGAACGACGCGACGAAGACGACGACGAAGAACTCGACGACGAAGATCAACCTCGTCGGTCTCGCCGCCGGCGACCCGTGCACGGATAACGCGTTCCAATCCGACTCCATGGACATGCTGTGGTACGGGCACAAGTACGGGTTCGTCCCGGAGGAAGACTTCGACTTGATGTGGAACACGTGTAAGATGAGGTACGCCGCGCCGCTCGCGAGAGGCACCTGGTCGGGGAGGGAAGCGGGAGAGGCAAACGAAAACCAAGTAGTGTCGTCGCGCTCGACGCGCGCGCGAACGCGGTGGGGCCGCGGCGAACCCGTCGCGGAAGTGCTCCTCCCCGACCCCGACTCCGACTCCGACTCCGAAGAAGACGTCGCGCGTCCGCGGCGGCGGCGGCGGCGGCCGCTGGATAAGAAGCGCGACGACCCGCGATGCGTCGCGGCGCATCGACGGTTCCTTCTCGCGTCCTCGGACGCGTTCTCGCAAGACTGGGAACGCGCGTGGATGAACGACCTCTCCCTCTTCGGCCCCGCCGCGGCGGTCCGGAACGACATCCCCGGGACGTTGGACTACGACATGTCGACCTGGATGATGCGCGCGGACGTCCGGAAGGCGTTACACGTGGAAGACGCTCCGGTCGACGCGTGGCCCGGCCCCGGCCGCGATTGGTCGTACGCGAGCGATTACGCCGCGTGCAACGCGGACGCGAAGAAGGGCGCTGAGTCGATGGTGGACTTCTACCGCGACATCGCGCCGCGGCTGCGGACGACGATCGTGTTCAACGGCGACACGGACCCGTGCGTGTCGTACGAGGGCACGCGAGAGGCGGTCAAGGCTGTGGGGTTCGATCGTCTCCCCGGCGGGTCGCAGCGGCCGTATTTTTTCAACGCCACGGGGACGACGCTCGCGGTATTGAACGAAAAGCCACTGCTCTTCGGTCCGTCGCTGTCCGTCGTCGACGCCGGCGCGCAGTTCGGCGGGCACGTCGCGAGCTACGAGCACGGGCTGTCTTTCGTCACCGTGCACGGCAGCGGGCACATGGTGCCGCAGTTCAGACCGCGGGTGGGGTCGCACCTCCTCCGGAAGTTGTTGTCCGACGCGCCGTTTTCGCCGCCGTTCAGGTGCGTTCTATACAAACGTGTTTCACCAAACGCTCGGTTTCAACACTTGATCGCGTCCCCTTTCAACTGACCGGTGAACTATTTTTGTATGGAATCGCCCTCACCAGAAGCGACGACGAGCTCGCGCGGATGACGGAGAGGGAGTTCAGGCGAGAGATGGACGCGTGGACGTTAGAGGCGCAGAGTTCGAAGTACTTAGACTGACGCGTGGTGGTGGTGGTGATCGATGGAGTGCGCGCGTACTGTACGCGCGTAGTGAACGAACGAACGAGAACGCGTTCTGTAAAAAGTCGTTTGGTTGTACGAGTACTCGTACGAGCTTATTAATCGTGCGTTACACGTTGATTGAATTAATCGACCGCGTCGCCCGGGGTGCGATGGGCGGGGACGTGCGCGTCGCGCGTTCGCGTGCATCGAAGCGACGAAAACCGGACGCGTATCCGGCGTTTAACTCGTCGCTCGTCACGTGGCGAACGCGCGCGCGCTCGCTCGTCCCCGATCGCGCGGGAACTTTTATTTTTTCACTTTTCTCTTTCGACGAAGTGCTGAAAGAAAAGCTGCCGTCCCCGAGCCCCGGGCGCCGTCGAGGCCGTCGACGCGCGAACGACTCGATTACGCCTTGATGAGCGCGTCGATGTCCGCGGTCAGCGCCGCGTTCTCGAGCTTGGGCGAGAACCGCTTCGCCGGGACGCCGTCCTTCCCGATGAGAAACTTCTCAAAGTTCCACGTCACGTCCGAGCGCCGCACGGGCGACCACTGGATCGGCATCGAGTTCGGCTGCGTCTGGTAGATGAAATCCGCGCCGGTGCCGCCGCGGTCGTCCGCGGGGTACGGGATGCAGGACTTCAGGTACGTCCAGAACGCGTGCTCGTTCTCCCCGTTGACTTCCATCTTCTCCGTGATGGTAAACTTCGGGACGTATCCGTCCCCCGGGCGCACGTGCTTGAGCGTGTTGAGAAGCTCGAAGTCCTTGTCGTAGCACTGATGGCCGAACTGGTTCGAGGGCACGCCGAGGATGACGAGGTCGTCGCCGTACTTCTCCGCCAGGGCGTTCAACTGAATGAAGTCCCTGACGGTCGTGCCTCACATGGTCGCGACGTTGTTGATCAAAACGACCTTGCCCTTGAACTGCGACAGCGGGAGCGCCGCGCCGTCGACGGGGGATTCTCTCGTGCCCCCGCCGAGGGTCTTGAGCGTGAAGTCGTGAATGGACGACGCCGCGCGCGTCGCGACGGAGCGACGGGACGTCGAACGCCCGACGGTGCGGGAGTTCGCGGCGAGCGCGCCCCGGATGGGGGCGCTCACGGCGGCGCGGAACGCGTGCATCGCGCGCGAAGAGTAACCCTAGGTTACTTTTCTCGTCGCTTTATCGAGGGTATCGCGCGAATTCCGTCGATCCGTCTCGGAAGTCGCGGCCCTCGAGTCGAGCGTTTTGACGGTCTAACGAACCGTGCTTCCGTCCACCGATCCGATCACTCGTGGCACAAAAAAAACATCGCGCAGACAGGAAGTTCGACCCGAGTCGCGTTTCAAACAATCTGTTCAACCCGCCCCGCGTCGTCGTTCTGTTCACACTCGCCCGCGCGGGGTCCGCGTCCGCGACGCGCCGCGACCGCGTGTGTCGCGCCCTCCGCAGCGGCCGTCATGGCGTCGACGCAGCAGGCGACGAAGAACTCGATCACGCTCAAGGGCAGCACCGAGATCGTGTCCGAGTTTTTCGGGTACGCCGTGAACTCGATCTTGTTCCAGCGCGGCATCTACCCCCCGGAGTCGTTCGAGAGGAAGCACAAGTACGGGCTCGCGATGCTCGTGAGCACGGACGAGTCGCTGAAGGCGTACTTGGTCAACGTCCTCCAGCAGATAAACGACTGGCTCATGGAGAAGAAGCTGCAGAAGCTCGTGCTGGTCGTCACCGCGGTCGGATCGAAGGAGGTGCTCGAGCGCTGGGTGTTTAACATCGAGACGGACGCGGACGCGTCGGGCGCGTCGGGCGCCGCGACGCGCGCGGAGAAGTCGGAGAAGGAGATCAACCAGGAGATCAGCGCCATCATACGCCAGATCACGGCGTCGGTGACGTTCTTGCCGCTCCTGGAGGAGGCGTGCACGTTCGACCTGCTCGTGTACACCAACGCGGATTCGTCCGTGCCGGAGGCGTGGGAAGAGAGCGACCCTCGGTACATCGCGGAGAACGCGGAGCAGGTGAAGTTGCGGTCGTTCAGCACGTCGATTCATAAGGTGGACGGGATGGTGTCGTACAAGTCCGTGGATGACGACTGATTGAAATTGACGCGGGGGAGAGGTATAATAGAGGTGGGGGTGGGGGAGCGACGGAGGATCGATTAGCGGCAACCGGGGAAGGAAGAGGAGGGCGCGGCTTCTTTTAAAACCAATCAGACGACGAATACGAAGACGAAGACGTGTGCTCTCATCATCGATCAGTCAACCAACTAGTGCTTCTTCCCTCCCCCCTCGACTATCGCGGCCCTCTTCATCTTATCTATCGCGACGTACACCGCGCCCCATATCAGCGGTATCGCCCCCCCCAACGCCAACTCCGTCGACATCGGCAGCGATACCCCGGGCGCGGCGTTCAACGCCTTCAACACGTACCCGAGCACGCCCAACGAGTAATACGTGATCGCCACCGCGGACAGCCCCTCCACGTTGTGCTGCATCATCAGCTGCGTGCTGCTCGTCTTCTTCAGCTCGCTCAAGTTCTCGTTCGACTGCGTGTGCTGCTCCAACGTCAGGCTCGTGCGCATGATCTCCGCGGCGAGCTGCGACGAGTTGGCGACTGCGGCGCGTGTTTTACGGCGTGTTTTACGGCGTGTTCATCGGTCAGTCGAAAGGGAGGGACCCCTCACGCGATCGAACGAACGATGAAACCGATGGGGTGGGCGAGGAGAGACGCCGGGAAGTAAAGTCCTTAAGGATCGGCGTTCACCACGCCAACGGGGTCGTATGGGGACCAGTATGAGATGACGGGACGCGCCTTTATCCAGTCGCCGCTGCGCCGCCGCGCACGTCCTCGTCGCCGGGTTCACCGCCGCGGTGATGAACGTGCTCATCGCGGGGATGCCGCGGATGCGTTCCATCTGCAGGTACGACACGCGGTCGTCCACGATCTTCGCGTACGCGTTCGACGCGGCGAACCTGTCGTGCGCGATCGCGCTGAGCTTCAACCCCGCGGCGGCGAGACGCGTGAGGCGGTTGAGAATCTCTCTCTGCGCGCCCGCGTCGAGCTTTTCCACCCCGTCCATGCTCCGCATGACGTGCTTCAGCTCGTCGTTCAACGAGTCCACGCGCGCGCTGATGCCTTGCGCTAACGGCAGCGCCATGAGCGCGAGCATGCGGTACTTATCGAGCTCGAGCATCCGCTGCACCGCCTTGCCGGCGGCGGAGCGCACGAACGCGCGCTTATCGTTCGCGGAGTGATACGCGACGATGCGATTGAACCCGTCCCCGTGCGCGCGCCAGTCGCTGAAACACCGGAACCGGCCTTTGTCGAGCTCGCATCCGGTGATGACGTCGCTGTCTCCGAACAAGTGCTTCAGCTCGTCGATCACGGACGACGCGGAGGAAGGCGACTCGGCTTCCGCGGCGCCGGCGGCGGCGCCGGCGGCGGCGGCGTCTTCTGAGGGTCGTTCTATACGAGCGTATATCGGGGTGGAGTTCAAAGGCGTCAGAAGCGGAATTCAAAGGCGCCGAGTGCTGGGATCGAAAGCGAAAGACCCTGGGCGGAGAGAATCGCCGGCAAAAGTCCTCAAGGATCGGCGTTCACCACGTCAACGCGGTCGTATGGGGACCAGCGTGACCAGAACGCACCCGACGACCCGTCGCCGCGGTCCTCGTCCGTCATCACCGCGACGTGCGTCGCGCATACGACCCCTCCCGGGATCTCCCTCGCCCACTCCTTCGGCACGAGCGACATCGCGACGTTGTCCGCGTCGAACGGCGCCTCGAGGACGGCCCTCCTCGTCTCCGCGTCCGGAAGACACCGCGTGAACGCGTACGTCTGAATCTCCGTGTGCCGCTCCCATCGCAGCTTCAGCGACGGCGTCAACTCGCACGCGTGGAACCGGCTCCCTCTCGGCGGCGGCGCGACGCCGAAGTGATTCAACAGCGTCACGAGGTGCGCGTAGTCCACGTCGTACGCGACGTTCGGGTCGCGGCTCGGCGAGCTCGGCGGCGCGAGCGGGCACTCGACGCCGTCCACCAACTCCACCGTCTTGTACGACGACGTCACCGCGCTGACGAGCGCCGGGACCTCGAGTCGGTGCCACGGCCGCGCGTGGAGGACCGACGCCGCCTCGAAGCGCTTCGGGTGGTTCACGATGACGTACGGCTCGGGCGAGGACGACGGCGTCGCGGAGAGCCCGCGCGACGACGACGACGACGACGGTAGATATTCAAGATGACGACGCCGCGTCAGCGATCGCGCCCCCGTCGTCGAAGATCCGGACGACGGGCGCTGGCGCGCGGCGGTCGTCTCGAACGCGACGCCGCGCGCCGCGACGCCGTCGCGAACCGAGCCGCTCGCGAGCCTCGCGAGCGCGCGCGCCGCGGCCCTGAACGGCGCCGCCATCCCCGGTGGACGCGCGCGCGGGGGTGCCGTGGGTCCGCGTCGCCGATAGCCGTTTATGAAACCGTCCGAAACCGACACTCGTACTCGGGGCGCTCGCTGATAAGGCTGCGTAAAATATGATCATGGGTCAGTTGAAATGGGACGCGATCAAATATTGAAACCGAGCGGTGGGTGAAAAACGTTTGTCGGGCCGAAAAGCACGCACCGTACAACTAGATACTTCTCGTTCGGGGAAGGAGGGGTGACAGATTCGCGGAGGGGGCGTCCGCGTCGTCACAGCGCCAGGCGCGGCGGACGCGCGCGCGTCCTTCTTCGCGCGCCACCGAACCGCCTTCTCCACCGCGCGAGATGGCGGACGTGTGCCAGATGGCCCCCGCGGTGCTGAGCCCGATATCCCCGAACGAGTCGCGCAAGCGGCGGCACGGGCACGGATACGGCCCCGGCGGGGAAGACGCGGCGCCGTCGACGTGGTTCAAGCGCCACCGGACCGGGGCGTCGTTCGCGCGGCGGCTCCTGCACCTCAGGGGGTTCGCCGTGGACGTGAGACGCGCGGAGGACATCGTCCGGTTCCTGGACCAGTTCCCGCCGGAGCTCGACAAGGTGCGCGCGCGATCTCCGCGGCGCGCCGGCAGCCTCAGATCTTGGCATTCTTTCTTTTTTTACCCTAATTTTCCCCCCGCGCGCGCGACGATCCCGCGCGTCGCGCGTCGCGTTCCCGCGCGGCGCACCCCCCACCCCGCGCGCGAACGTCCGCTGACGATCATATCGTTTCCTCTCGCGCCCCAGGACGTGTCGAGGATTCTCGAGAAGTGCGCGGACGTCGACGACGCGGAGAAGCAGCTCACGGCGCTTCGGTTGACTTTCAGCGCGAGCGGGGGCGAGAGGGGAGGCGACGCGCCCGCGGCGGGCGTGGAGGCGGTCGCCTCCGCGGCGGCGGCGGCGAGGGACGACGGCGACGCGAGGGCGACGGCGACGGCGACGGCGACGGCGGCCGAGGGCGGTGGCGCGGCGAACGCGAGCACGTCCGCGGCGTTGAAAGCGGCGGGCGGCGCCGCCGACGCGATCGGGGACCCTGCCGACGGCGTCGTCCTCTCCGGGGAATGGGTCGGCGCGCTCGTGAACGAGATGTCCGCGTCCGCGGACGTCCCGGACGCGCACGAGCGCGGGACGCGCGTGTTGAGAGCGTTCGAGACCGCGGTCAGGAACGCCGTGGCCCACGCGGCGGAAGGGGGGGCTGGGCGAGCGCGCGCGCCCCCGCGCGAGGGATCGGAGAGCGCCGGGAACAACGCCGAGGAGCAAGCCGCGGAGCGCCGACGCGTCGCCGACGAGAACGTCATCTTGAAGCGCGGGTTGAACATCCAGACCCAGCGCGTGGAGCAGCTCACGAGGGCGTGCGCGACGCTTCAAGAGCAGATGACGCAGCTGCAGCGGAACAACTACTCGCTCAGCGTGCACTTGAAGGAGGCTATGCGCAGTCGCGGCGGCGCCTTCGACCGCCAACCGGACGTCTTTTAAAAAAAAAGGCGAGGGAGGCCGAGGGAGCGCCGCATGTACCAACACGAAACGGAGTATTATCACGCACGTAGGATTAGATTCGAACCCGCTCGCGCGGTTGTAATCGCACGAAACAAACGACACAAACGACGCCTCGCGGCGAAGTGCCACCGCTCACGGCGCCGTCCTCTTCTTCGCGTCGATCGCGCGTCGCGACCCGAGCGCGCTCTTCTTCCCTCTCCCCTTCCCGCTCCCATCCTTCCTCTCCATCTCCATCTCCATCTCCATCTCCATCTCCCTCTCCCTCTCCCTCTCTCTCTCCCTTTCCCTCTCCCTCTCCTCCTCCGCCGCCGCCGCCGCGCCGCTCTCCGCGACCTTCAGCGCCCGCCGCCACCGCCGCGTCGCCGACGACGCCATCCGCGTCGCGATCGCCCACGCCAGCGGCGGCCGCGAGACGCACAGCGCGTCCAACGCGTCGTAGGCGAGCACCGCCGCGGAGGCGCCGTCGACGGCGTCCGCGACGACGTCCGCGGCGCNNCNGCGGCGGCGGAGGAGGAGAGGGAGAGGGAAAGGGAGAGAGAGAGGGAGAGGGAGAGGGAGATGGAGATGGAGATGGAGATGGAGATGGAGAGGAAGGATGGGAGCGGGAAGGGGAGAGGGAAGAAGAGCGCGCTCGGGTCGCGACGCGCGATCGACGC